AATAGATTATTTTTAAATTATTTATTTATTTAAATTGGGGCATGTGGGATCTTTAGATACAGCATGCGAACAGGGATTGAAACCCCCTCCACACACACAATTGGCAGCATGAAGCCCTAGCCACTGAACCACCAGGGAAGTCCCAAGAGGAGATTTCTTTCTTTCTTTTTTTCTGCTGTGCAACTCACCATGTGGGATCTTAGTTCCCTGACCAGGAACCTGGTCCCCCTGTGGTGGAAGCAGAGTCTTAACCACTGAACCACCAGGAAAGACCCCTGAAAGTAGATCCTGAACATTGTCTTAACAAGAAAAAACCAAAAAACTGTCACTGTGTAGTGATGGAGGTTAAATTAGACTTACAATGGTGATCATTTCACAATATATACAAATACTGAATGTCTGTGTACATCAGAAACTAATGTAATGTTGAATGTCAGTTATCTCTCAATTAATAATTAATGGGGGCTTCCCTGGTAGCTCAATTGGTAAAGAATCTGCCTGCAGTGCCAAAGACCCAGGTTCGATCCCTGGGTCAGGAAGATCCCCTGGAGAAGGAAATAGCAACCTGCTCCAGGATTCTTGCCTGGAAAATCCTATGAACAGAGGAGCCTGGTGGGCTACAGTCCATGGGGTCACAAGAGTCGGAACAATTTAGCGACTAAACCACCACCTATAATTAATTAATTAAATGAAAAAGTAAAAGAATGGTGGTTGCCAGGGACTGGATGTCAAAGGGTACAGAGTTCCATTTACAAAATGAATAAACCCTTGGATCTAATGTACAACCTGGGGAACATAGCTAATACTGTCTTGCATATTTATTGATTGATTCCTCTGCTGGATTTTTGTTGCTGCCCACGGGCTTTCTCGAGCTGCATATAGCGGGAGCTCCTCTCTAGTTGAGGCGCTCTGGCTTCTCGTTGTTGTGGCTTCTTTTGTTGCAGAGCACGGGCTCTAGGGCACGTGGGCTCAGTAGTTGTGCTGCAAAGGCAGCTAGCTCTGAGGCATGTGGACTCTTCCAGGACCAGGGATCGAACCCGTGTCCCTTGCATTGCAAGGCAGATTCCTAACCATTGGACCACCAAGGAAGCCCCTGTACTGTATACTTGAAATTTATGAAGAAAGTAGATCGTAAATATCCTCACCATCCACACCAAAAAAAGGTAACTATGTGAGGCAATGAATGGGTTAACTAAATTTACTGTGGTAACCCGTCCACAATATATACATGTAGTGAATCATGTCATACCCCTTAAATTTATACACTTTTGTCCATTGTGTGTGTTAGTTACTTAGTCTGACTCTTTGCGGCCCCACGAACTGTAGCCCGCCAGGCTTCTCTGTCCATGGAATTCTCCAGGCAAGAATACTGGAGTGGATTGCCATTTCCTTCTCCAGAGGATCTTCCCGACCCAGGGATTGAACCCTGGTCTCCTGCATCACAGGCAGATTCTTTACCACTTGAGCTACAGGGAAGTCCTTTGTACATTTGTTCATTATACATTGATCAAGCTGGGTAGGGAAAATAACCCCCTAGTGCATTCTATCATATTTAGAATAAAAGCCCAAAGTCTTCCTTGCCAGGCTGACACCCTCTCTGACCTCACCTCCTCCATGACCCCCATCCATTCCAGCCATACGGGTCTCCTCCTTGAAGTTCTCTACAAGCTGGCCTCCAGGCCTTTGCACTGGCTGTTCCCTTTTGCCTAGAATGCCCTTCCTTATGACTCACTCACTTGCTAATTTACTTCAGACCTTGATCATAACCTCCGAGAGGGCTTTCCTGACCACCTTCCCTAAAACAGCACTCTCCACCCCCTTGACATCCCTCCCCTTGATGTATTTTTCTCCTCTGCCCATGAAGCATCCTGATACATGTTTCTCTGGTAGGCTCAGGAGTTGTAGCACTCAGGCTTAGTTGCCCCACAGCACGTCGGAACCTTGGTTCCCCTACCAGGGATCAAACCCATATCCCCCGCATTGAAAGGCAGGTTCTTAACCACTCTGGACCATGAGGGAAGTCCCGAGCAAACAGTTCTTGAGAGAATGAACACAGATTCGACTTGGCCATGCTGTCGAATGGACAGCAGGTCCATTAGGTGCGTATGGTCCCCCAACATATTCAAACAAGTGGGCAGATCATTGCAAATATTTGCACCCCCCCCCAACAGTGCCACAATAATTAATTGACCCCTATATGAAAGGTTTTTTACAGGGTGGTGGGGACAAAGTGATGACCAAGATATACCCTATGCCTGCTCTCCTAGAGCCCACAGAGAAACAGGGAAAGGAAGACACAAGACACACGGTTACCCCAACAAGTATATCATGAAAACTCATGCAGCGTCGCCAAAGGACAGGGACTTCCATGGTGGTCCAGTGGCTAAGACTCTGCTCTCCCAATGCAGGGGGCCCAGGTTCGATCCCTGCTCAGGGAACTAGATCCCACATGCCACAGCTGAGAGTTCTCATGCTACAACTGAAGATACCACATAAAGACCTGGTGCAGCCAAATAACGAGCAAATAAATACATTTAAAAAAAAGAAAATTATTAAATAAATATACATACATATATTAAAAAAAAAAAAAGAAAAGGACAAAGTGTTGGGAGTGACTAACACGGGGAATTGACTGGGAAGTACCAGGCAGTGATGCCATGGAAAGGGGGCACTTGAGATGGGGCTGAGGGGCGTGGAGGAGTTGCGGACAAAGGGCTACAGGAGGCTGAGGAGGCCCAGCGACCTGTGAGCAAGAGAAAGGAGCCAGGTGGTAGACATCAGGGGGCACGAGGCAAGCAGTTTGGGGGTTTATCACGGAAGATTTGGGACAAAGGAGGAAATAGGTTTGATTTGGGATTGAGAGACAGTCTTTTTCTCTTTTTTTTTAAATCTATTTATTTGGCTGTGCCAAGTCTTAGTTGTGGCATGCAGGATCTTCAGTTGTGGCATGTGGGATCTAGTTCCCTGGGCAGGGATGGAATCCAGGCCCTCTGTAGTGGGAGCTCAGTCTTAGCCACTGAACTGCCAGGGAAGTCCCAAAAGACATTCTTCTCGCTCTTGACTGGTTAGAGCCAGGGTGAGTGGAGGCCAGGAGACCAGGGAGGAGGCCAGAGCAGGAGTCCAGGTCAGAGAAGACGGGGCTGGACCAGGGTGAGGTCATGGAGAAGAGAGCAGGGCCAGGCAGGAGAGAGGTTTGTTAGCTGAATCTAATCCTCCATGGCAGCTGGAAACTTTACTGAGGGTACGAGGTATTTGAGAAGACCCTGAGGGTCAGGCTTGGGAGGCAGGATAGATCCTGAGGTCTCCATTGAAATGGAACACAGCTCAAAGAGGGTGCCAAGCCTCAGCCCTGGGTGCCAAGTTGAGGAGCCCAGGGCTCATCCCGAGGGTAGTGAGGAGCGAAGGTTAAGCAGGGAGGGAACAGGGTCAGATTTGAGTTTCAGAACCATCCCTCTGGTTACGAATGGGAGATGGGATGGAGGAAGTAACAGTGGAGGCAAGGAGGCCCCGGAGGAGGCCAAGGCAAGGTCCTGATGGGAAAGGACTGAGGAAAAGGGGTGGGTGAGCGAGACCTTGAGAGGCTGAAAGGAGCTGTGGGGATACCAGTACAGAAGCAGAGCAGCCAAGAGCAGAGAGTTGGGAGTTCAGCCTGTCCTGCACAAACACGCAGGCTCAGAGAAACCACCACACACACACACACATACAGACACACACACACACACACACACCCATGTGCAGAACACATGGGGGAGGGAAATGAACAAGCAGGAGAAACCAGCACACCTGCACCGGATCTGCAGGATCAGAACACGCAAACCACCAGAGGGAGTCAGCAATGCAAGCGCCCAGAGACAGACCCATGAGATGCAGAAAAATCAAGGACACCTAGTCAGCTGTCGTTACCACGTGCAATGCAACTATGCGTGCCCTGTCCCCGTAGCCTGCTAAGTGGGTTCTGTTCTTATTCCCAGCTTACAGATGGAAAAACTGAGGCTTAGGGAGGCCAGTCCCTTGTAAGGTCCTGGGGTTAGTGGCAGAGGCAGGATTCCCATCCAGGTCTTCAGGCTACCCGCCCCCCCAACCACTGGCATCCTGTTTCTGTACCCACGCTGGTCTTTATTTGGTATGAGGGGTGACGTTCCCGCCACCCCCACCGCATCAGTGCACCCTAGGGATGCCCACAGAACAGTGTCCTCCCCTTTCTGGTTTCTGAGATTTTTCCAGGAATGGAGGCGCTCCTGACCCGGCTTGTCTGAGTGTGGGCCGGCGGCGTGTCCCTGCGTGTCTCCTCCTGTCCCAGCCTCGTGTGTGTGTGTGTGTGTGTGTGACATCTGAGTGTGTGTGTGTGTGACATCTGAGTGTGTGTGTGTGTGTGTGTGTGTGTCCTGGTCTGAGGCGCTGTGAGTGCAAAGGGGGAGTGCCTGGCTGGGCTCTGGGGGTGGAGGCAGGGGAGGGGGGCGTCGCAGAGGGGAGTGGAGTTCTGGAGGAATGTTTACCAGACAGCTCGGAGTGAGAGCCCAGAGGGACAGCGCCCAGAGCCGGTTCGGAGCCGCTCAGCTTCCCTGCCCCGCTGGCCCCGGAGCAGGGGCGCAGCCGCCAGGGGCCCCTGCCCCCTCCTCAGCCTCCTTCCAGGGCCCCTTTAAGACCGAGCTGGTCCTCTTCTCTCCGCGTTAACCCCTCGAAGTCCAGGTGGCCCCTTGGGCTCCGAGCCGGTGGTGGGCGGAGGCAGAGCGACGGGGAGCCAGGGGCGGAGAAAGTGTTGCCCGAAGTCTGGGAGGGAGAGAAGGAGGCAAAAGAGCTGGGACGGCGGCCCGCTGAGCCGAGCCCGCGAGGGACACCCCCCAACCACCACGCTGGGCCAGGCGGGCAGTGCCCAATCAGGGCGGGGGGAGCCGGGGGCCGGGGGGAGGGTCTGGGACTGCCCGGCCCTGCCCCCTCCCTCGCGGGGTGCCCAGCAACTTCTGAGGAAAGTTTGGCACTCACTGCCTGGTGCCCCGAGGATGGGCAAGGTCCTGCTGGCCTGGTGCTGGGCGTTGTGCTGCTGGGGGCGCGTGGCTCCCCAGGGTGAGTGATGATGGGGGGCCTGTGGGGAGGGCCCTCTCTTGGAGGGGCTGGGCGGGGAGGAGGGAGAGGAGGGGGACGGATGGCAGGTGTTTGAGGGGGGCGGCGCTGAGTCCTGAGCCGGCTCGGGGAGTTTCCTTGGGACTACAGGGAGACAAGGGGGACACAGAGACAAACCAAGAGAGGCCGGGAAAGAAAAAAAGGGGACCCTTGAGAGAGGAACAGAAGGACAGGAAACAGAAACTAGGAGCCCCAGAGATGGGGAAGAGATGGACACAGAACAATGGGACAGACAGACGGGAGACGCTGAGGGGTAGGGGCTGGACTTGAACTGGGGGCCTTGCAGAGAGGGGCTGAGCGGAGGGCTGCCCGGAAAGGAGCCTTCCAGAAGGGACCCCTAAGTCAGGCAGCAGGGTGAGGAGGCTCCAGAGCCCTAGGGAAAGACTCTCTGTCACCCCCACTTCTCCTCACCCCATGGCTGTTTGTCTGTGTGCCCCACCTCCGGGGCCGGGGGGCTCTGCCTTCGGCGCCATCTCTGTGAGTCTCCGTTTCTCTGTCTTTCTCTCTCCCTGCTCTCTAAGTGTCTCTTATCAACGTCTCTTTGTCTTTCTCTCTCCCTCTGTGTGTCTCTCCCCCAACTTTTTCCCCTCTAGGTGTGTCTCTCCATTTCTCATCCTCAGTCTCTCTTGAGTCTCTGTTCCTCTCTGTCTGCCTGACTTTCTCCGGTTCCCCTCTCTGCCTCTCCTTCCCCATTTCTCTCTCTCTCTCCCGGCTCCCTCCCATCCCCTTTTCTTCCCCACCGTCCACCAGCCCAGTCTGTCAAGTCTCTAGAGACCCTAAGCAGGGGAGGCCAGCCGGGCAGTCAGGGCGTGGGAGGCTGCCAGATGCTAGGCCTACTTCCCAACGGGATGGAGGCCGGACCCCAGTCCCCTGGGAAGGCTCCCATCCTCCCCACGAAGCCTCCGCCCTCCGCCCCCCCAGCTGAGGTCACTCGACAACTATGTGGGCCTAAGGGCCTGGCGGGGTCCTGGCAGCCGTAGGCAGGCCGGCAGGGGTGGAACCAAGAAGTCCAGGGAAGCAGGGGTTCCCGAGCTAACGTCCCTCCATCTCCCTGCAGGCCCACAGACTGAAGTGCCCCCCTTCGTGGGGAGTCCGGGGAACATCACTGGTGCCCGAGGACTCATGGGCACCCTGCGCTGTGAGCTCCAGGTTCAGGGGGAGCCCCCCGAGGTGACCTGGCTTCGGGATGGACAGGTCCTAGAGCTGGCAGACAGCACACAGACCCAGGTGCCCCTTGGCGAAGACGGGCAGGATGACTGGAAAGTGGTCAGCCAACTCAGGTGCCCAGCCTCCCCCTCCAACCAGCTGTGACCCATGTCCCTCCTGTCCCCACACCTCCACCACATGAGGCCAAGTGGCCAGTCACTTGCAGGAGCCCCCCCTGGGCTGGGTGGCAGCGTGGCCACACGCAAGCTGCGTGGGCCTGACCATGTGACATAACTCACCCCGGCTTTCGCTTTCCTCTTCTGTAAAATGAGTTAATAATAGTACCCACTTCCTAGCTCTTACAAGTTTCCGGGCCAGACCCCCTTCCCCGCTTTCAGTTCTGAGGACCCCCCTCACCGGGTCCAGCTCTGACCCTGAACCTCTCTGTCTCTCTTCTCGCCCTGTCAGAATCTCGTCTCTGCAGCTCTCAGACGCGGGATGGTACCAGTGCGCCGTGGTCCTGGGAGAAAAGACCTTCGTGTCCCAGCCTGGCTACGTGGGGCTGGAGGGTGAGCCCTGGGCTCCGAGGTCCTGGGAGGGCAAGGGTCCTGAGGGAGGGGTCAGAGGGTGCTGGTGGATTCAGGGTGTCCCCTGGGGACATAGGGCCTAGGAACATCAGAGACCTTGGGAGGGTCAGGCAAGGGGTCTATAAATTATTGGGGGCAAGCCTGAGGGGCAGATTATGTGTCTGGGAGGAAAAGCTATCTTGGGGGTTGTCAGATAAGAGATCAGAGGCAACTTACCACTCTCCCCCACCCGGGAGACTTAACCCTCTCCCCCACTGCTGGAGTTTGGGAGAGTGGCTCACTTTCCTCATAGATAAAGTAGAATGAGGTGGCTCAGTGGTCAAAGAGTCTGCCTGCAATGCAGGAGATGCGGGTTCACTCCCTGGGTCGGGAAGATCTCCTGGAGAAGGGAATGGCATCCCATTCCAGTATTCTTGCCTGGGAAATCTGGTGAACAGAGGAGCCTGGCAGGCTACAGTCCATGAGATTGCAAAAGAGTCAGATACGACTTAGCGACATTCTGGAAAAGAAACATGAAAGGGGGTCAGACATTGATGAGAGGACTCGGATATTTGGGACCTTGTGTCCTGGGAGTAGAGGTATTTTGAGGGCTCAGACATAGGCATCAAAGACCCAGCAGACTATACCATCCTAGTGGCGAGTCCGACCCCTAGGGGGATCAGAGGGACCCCAGCCTTTACCACTGCTCCCCCAGGCCTGCCTTACTTCCTGGAGGAGCCTGAGGACAGGACTGTAGTTGCCAACACTCCCTTCAACCTGAGCTGCCGGGCACAGGGGCCCCCAGAGCCCGTGGACCTCCTTTGGCTCCAGGATGCTGTCTCCCTGGCTTCAGCCATGGACCACAGCCACCAGCACACACTCCGCGTTCCAGGTGAGTCCAGGGATGCGATCAGCTCAGAACAGAGGGCCAGGCGGGATGGAAGTGGGGGGCCCTTCATGCCTCCATCTGAGGCTCTCCTCATCCTTCTATCCTTCTCTGTCTCTCTCCATCTTTGTCTCTCTCTAGTTTCTCCTCTTTGTCTCTGAGCATCTCTGTCTTTGCATTTCTGTCCCCATCGATCTCATTTCTCCCTGTGCGCTTTCTTTCTGTCTCTCTGTTCTCCATCTCTCTCTGTGTCTGTCTCCCTGTCTCTCTGTCGTCTCTCTGCTCTTTCTCCCTCCATTCGCGCCAGCCTCTCTGAATAGCATCCTTTGTCCTGGGTTTCCTCTGAGCTGTTCCATGGCCAAGTGTGTGTGGGCCCGATGCCCCTTTGTCAGCCCCTGACCCCAAGCAGGGCACCGGAATCAACTGTGCCCTCCTCTCCTCCTCCTTAGAGATGTAACCCAAGAAGGAGAGAGCCGGGACAGGGCTGAGTGACAGATGACACCCTCCCCGTCTCAGGGTGACCATCTCTTTCCACACCTCACAGATGGGGCAGGACCTAGCTTGGGGGGGGTCACGCAGTGGTCAGGCAGAGTTGGGGGACCCTGGACACAGGGAGTTCCCCTCACTGAGGAAAGAGAGACAGAGGAACACAGATGGGGGAGGCTGAGTCAGTCAGAGGGAGGTGGCTGGACTTTGGAAGGCATTTACTTCCAGCAGCCCCAACCTGCTGCCTTCATCTGCTGGCACCAGGAGGGTACTCCGGATGGAGGGTCTCTTAGGGTGGAAGCAGGTGCTCACATTCCAGCATTCCGGGGGCCCTGAGTGTGCAAGGAAGCAGCGGTGAGCATGCTGGCCTCCAGAGGAGTGACTCAGGCCCACGGCTCACTCCAGGCCTGAGTCAGCCTGGCAGGACCCCGGACAGGGTGGGGTGGGGGATGGATCCCCAAGCCCATCCCAGGAAGAGGGAGAAAGGGGAGGGCAAAGGTGTGAGAGGATCTGTGTGCTTATCTGCATGGGAGCTGCCAGGCGGGGTCTCTGTGTGTGTCCCAGTGTGGAGGGCGTGGTGGGAGGGTCTGGGTGTGTCCCTGGCCCTCTGGATCTGTGTCTCAGAGCTTCTGTCAGCATCAACCTCTCTGGATGAGGGTGTGCCTTAGTGAGGGCCAGCTGCAGAGAATGTCTCGGGTGTGTGTGTGTGTGCGCGCTACTAGGTATGTTTTGTCAGTTTAGCTGTCTGTCCCACTGTATGGGTCTCTATTCTTTTTTTTTTTTTGCCTGTGCTGGGTCTTCATTGCTTTGGAAGAATTTCTCTAGTTGCAGAGAGCAGGGGCTAGTCTTCATTGCGGTGCACAAGCTTCTCATTGCGGTGGCTTCTCTTGTTGCGGAGCACAGGAGTCTAGAGTTCGAGGGCTCAGTAATTGTGGTCCACAGGCTTAGTTTCCCCATGGCATGTGCGACCTTCCTGGACCAGGGATCGAACCCATGTCCCCTTTATTGGCAGGGGGATTCCCATCCACTGCCCCACCAGGGAAGCCCGTGTTTGGGTCTTTATGGCATATTTCTCTAAGTTTCTCAGGGGCTGTCAATGTAAGTGTGTGTCTGTGTGTGTGACTAAGAATCTCAGTGTTGGCCTGGTATCCAGCCATCTTTGTGTGTTCATAGCTGTGACTCACTGGGTGAGGGTGGAATAGGGTATATGTGTGTGAGGAGAGATGGCAGAGTGATGGACCACAGCCACAGTGTGTCTGAAGGCTGTTCTGCACAACCTCACTGTATAGAAGTGACTGTGTCAGCCTACAGGTGTGTGCCTCTAGGTATGAGTGTGTCTTGGTGGGGATCTTGTTTCTTTGTGGAGTCAGGATGGGTCATTGGACAGCTTGGTGTGTTTCCTCATTGCCACTGCAGCTGAAGTGTATGGGTAGCTCTGTGATATCTGTATGTATCTCAGGGTGAGAATGTTGGTGTACAGCTTTGTCCCATGGATCCCTATAGAAGTGTACGTATGTATGTGTCTGTGTGTGATTCACAGCAGGTAATAACAATACCCTTCAGCTTATTTGTTCTGGTGCATCAGCCCCAGCCCTGACTACCTCTTGGTGGATGAACTTGAGGTTCTCACTGGCCTGTGTACATATGTGTCTGCGTCACCTACGTGCACTTGGCAGCATCTCCATGCTTTGTGTCTGCAACAGTCCTGTGTGTCGATGCAAGTGTGTGCTTCTGTATCGTTCCGCATCTCGATGAATGTGTCCAGAGCGAGTTGAATGTGTCCAACTGTGTTTGGAAGGCTTGGCTGTGTTTGTGTGTGGGTGCATCCACATCAACCTGATCTGCACCCTATTGTGTACTTGTTGGTTGGTGTATCTCAATCTGCAGGGAGGCTGGTATGTTGGTCAGCTTCAGCCTAGGTGTATATTGTGTTACTGGGCGTTTGTAGGCTTCTTGGGTGGCTCAGTCGGTAAATAATCTGCCTGCAGTGCAGGAGACCTGGGTTCGATCTCTGGGTTGGGAAGATCCCCTGGAGAAGGGCATGGCAATCCACTCCAGTATTCTTGCCTGGACAATCCCCATAGACAGAGGAGCCTGGCAGGCTACAGTCCGTGGCGTCGCAAAGAGTCGGACACGACTGAGTGACTAAGCACAGCACAATGAGGGAGACCCAGGTTCAATCCCTGAGTGGGGAAGATCCTCTGGAGATGGGAATGGCAACCCACTCCTGTATTCTTGTCTGGAGAATTACATGGACAGAGGAGCCTATGGAGAGCTACATACAGCTCATGGGGTTGAGTTGGACACACACAGGTGTTTGCAGTCCGTGTGGGCTTGTTTGATTGTGTGTTTGTGCTTGTATGTGGGTGTGTGTGTGTCTGTGTAGCTGTGTCAATGTCAGCCCCCTGCGCCTACATGTAAGTCAACAAGCATGTTTTGTGTCACTGCGTGTTTGTGACAGTACCGTCGGCGGCCGTTGACCAGTGTTGCTGTTTTCTGTTTTAGGACCTGGACGGCCCCTGTATGTTGTGTGATTCACTGTGCGTGTATGCAGGAATTCGCGGTGGTGCCATGTTAGGAATTCCGTCCGTTTGTGTGTGTCTGTCCCTGGATCTGACTCAGGGCGTGCCCCCTCTCTCTCCGCTTCCATCCCTCCCCTTCCCTCGGAAAAAGCGAGCTGCGCTCCGGGGTGGGGGAGGGCTGGTACATCTGGAAAGCACATCTGGCCATAGGGCCCGCCTGGAGGGAGGGGGTCCCAGGCCCCTTCGCCCTGGCTCCCTCCCTCCCTCAAGGTGCGGGCCGCTGGGGCCTGGCTAGGGGGATCTCGGCCGGCCGGAAGTGCGGGGGGGCCCGCTGGGGTGACTCACGCGGGGGCAGGAATGCTGCGGTCAGAACCGGGACCCGGGTCCAGACCCCCTCCCGCCCGCGGGCTCCTTCCCGGCGGCGGGCAGCTCGGGCTCCCGCGCGGTGACCCTGGCGGGGGCCCCCACGTGCCAGCTGCCTGGAGGGGACCCAGGCTTCCCGCCGCGCGCCCCCCCCGCCCCACCTCCCCGGGCAGCCCGCCCGGGGCCGTCCTGTCCCTCGGCGGGGCCCGCGGGGGCTGCGGGCCCTGACCTTGGCTGGGAACCGCGGCCTGGGCAGCGGAGCCCTGGAGCTTCCTTGCCCACCCCCATCCGGCCTCGCCGCCTTAGCCTGCATCCACTCCCTCCGCCGCCTGAGAAAAGGAAACTTTGTGTCTGCGGGTAGCTGCTGATGGTGGTGGGAACGAACACAGCGCAGAGCGAAGGCGGGAGACACCGCGAGGCCAGCAGACACACACAAACACAGATGGATACAGACCTGCAGTCACACGCAGATTTCAGACTTGGTCCTCCTTATATCCTGTCACCCAGACGTTGTGTGTGTGTGTGTCTGTGCACGTTGTATAGCTCTGTGTTGTATGTCTCTGTATTTGTGTGTCTGTGTCTCTTGTGTTTGCCTGTGTACTTGTATGTGCCTTTGTGTGTGTGTGTATGTGTGTATATGTGTGTCTGCCTGTGTTCCCACCACCACCACACTGGGGAAGGGAAGGTAATCCCGCTTTCAGACACTCAAAAAGTTACTCAAGACTCCTCGGCGAACTCACCCATGGGTTTACACATGCTCACATTGCTACCTACCCTGAAATGCTCATAAGTACACAAATGTATCCACACCAATCCAGCCACTCATTCAACAAACATTTATGGAGCGCCTACTGTGTACCAGGCCATCTTGGGCCCCAGGGAGGGGGACGGGGTGGGACTACAGCAGGGCTGAAACCCCTGACCCCCTGGGTCAACAGTCAGCAAACACGAGACACAGGCGCATGTGAAGGATACTGTGATGAGGAGAACCAGAGAAAGTAAAGCAGGGAGGAGGCTGGCTGTGGAGGCGGAAGTCGCTCAGTCCTGTCCGACTCTGCGACCCCATGGACTGTACAGTCCATGGGATTCTCCAGGCGAGAATATTGGAGTGAGTAGCCTTTCCCTTCTTCAGGGGATCTTCCAAACCCAGGGATCGAACCCAGGTCTCCCGCATAGCAGGCAGATTCCTTACCAGCTGAGCCACCAGGGAATGTCAATTTTCTACAAGGTGCTTGGGGAGGGACAGAGTGGCTCGAAGGTGGGATCTGAGTAAGGAGTGTGACGGAGGGCGGATGTCTGCGGGAATGCTTTTCCAAGAGGAGGGAATGGAAGTGCAAAGTTCCCAAGGTGGGAATATGCTTGGTAACTTCTAGAAACTCCAGGAGGACAGTGGGGCTAGAGCAACTGAGTTTGGGGGAGAGGGGTTGGTCACAACCGAGCTTGTAAATGAACAAACACTCCTATGTTTATACACCCCCATGAAGGCCTGCTTCTTAAGTGTGTGTTTAATAGGTGTGTACGCCCCTACGGCTGTCTGTGTGGCTCAGTGTGATTATGTCTGTGATTGTGCGTATATGTCTGTGTGTTTGCCTGTGTCTAGGTATGAGTATGTGTGTTTCTGTATGGAAGTGTGTACGTTCGTGTGTATAACTGTATGTTGGTGCGTATGTTTGTGGTATCTGTGTGTGAGTGTGTGTCTATGTGTGTCTATGTGTACATGTGTCTGTCTGGGTGGGGGTTGGGTCTGTGTGGAAGTAGTGTTAGCTGGCCTGTCTTTGGGGGTGGAGGTCTGCATTCCCCATACATTACCTCCTTTTTTGACACTCCCTTCAAGCAGGCACCACTGGGGGCTGGAATGATCCTGGGGATGGGGCGTGGTGGGGCAATGCTCAGCCTGGCCCCAACCCCCTCCTTCCCCTCTCTGACCGGGCCCCCCCTCACATGACTCCCTAGGCCTGAACAAGACTACTTCTTTCTCCTGTGAAGCCCACAACGCCAAGGGAATCACCACATCCCGCACGGCCACTATCACAGGTGACAGGGAGCTGGGGAGCCGGGTGTCAGAGGGTATGGGCTTGGGGTCAGAACTGGGGTAGAGGGCCGGGCGAGGAGCTTCGGGCACAGGATCAGTCCCTCCCCTCATCTGTCCACAGTGCTCCCCCAGCGGCCCCGCGACCTCCGCTTGGTTTCCACCCAGCCGACGGAACTGGAGGTGGCTTGGACCCCAGGCCTGAGCGGCATCTACCCCCTCACCCACTGCATTCTGCAGGTAGGTGAGACCACAGCCTTTTCTCGCCTCTGTCTCAGCCGTCCTTCCACCCAGAGCCGCAATCCCTCATCCTCTCCCTGGGAAACTAGCCTTTCCCAGACATTCTTGTGATGAGAGGCAGTAGAACCTTGGGATAGGCCAGATGTCCTGGGTTTAAATCCTAGCTCCAACAAGCTGCTGGCTGCATGAGCTTGGGTGGGTGACTCAACGTCCCTGGGTCTCAGTTCTCTCATCTGTAAAATGGGCATAACGGTAGTCCCTACCTGGTAGACTGGCTGTAAGAATTCAGTGAGTGACTGCATTTAACAAACTTAAAATAGTATCTGGAACTTGGAAAGCATGCAATAAACTGTTGGGTGCTTTTGGAAATTCCTTAGCCATCCATTGGTTAGGACTCCATGTTTTTGCTGCCGGAGGCATGGGTTCAGTCCCTGATTGGGGAACTAAGATCCTGCAGGTCAAGCAGCATGGCAAAAGACAAACAAAAAGCTAGTGGCTGTTTTCGTTTTTTTAGTGTCGGTGATATTGATTCTAGCCAGAATAGAAACCCTGAAACAACAAGGACCAGAGTCATCTTCCACCACTGGGTACTCACAGCCCCTGGGCTTCTCCCGTCCCATCCCTGACCACTCTGGCTTGTCACTCTCTGGGGATGAGTCTATCTCTCCACTGGACTGTGAGCTCTTGGAGGAGCAGGGCCGAGCTGGCTCAACCCCGTTATTTCTGTATGTTTAAAAATTATTATTATTTTTACTTTTTGGCTGCCACGCAGCATGTGGGAGCTTAGTTCTCTGACCAGGAATCGAACCTTAGTTCCCCTTCCTGCAGTGGAAGCATGGCGTCTTAACCACTGGACCGCCAGGGAAACCTCTGGGTTCCCATTACTGCCCAGTGCAGGGCCAAACCCTGGGTAGGAAATGTTTACTGGAAGAATACCTGATAATTGAGGTGAGCTGGACCCAGCCTTCTGCACTGAAGTTGCTCCTGCTCTAGAATAAGAAAAACAAACCAACACACATCTCCAAATACGAGATCCGGTTCTGGCCTGAAGTTCTCTGAGATTTGAGAGTTTAAGTGAGGATGAGACGATGCCCATGATGGGAAATGACAATAATGAATAATGACTAGCTTTTTTTTTTCAATCGTGCCTCATGGCTTTCGGGATCTCAGCTCCCTGACCAGGGACTGAGCCCAGGCCATGGCAATGAAAGCCCAGGATCCTAACTATTAGGCCACCAGGAAACTCCCAATGACCAATTTTTATTGCATGTCCACTTTGTGCTTAGGTTTCCCTGGTGGCTCAGTAGTAAAGAATCGGCCTGCCAGTGCAGGAGACACAGGTTCAATCCCTGGGCCAGGAAGAACCCCTGGAGAAGGAAATGGCAACCCAATCTGGTATTCTTGCCTGGGAAATCCCATGGACAGAGGAGCCTGGTGGGCTACAGTCCATGGGGTCACAAAGAGTCAGACGCAACTAAAGAACAAAAACAATAACAACAACCACCATGTGCTGGGCCTTGTGTTACAGCTTAACACATACTTGTTTGAGTGTTTTGTGAAGCAGAGTCTATGGATACACTCATTTTCCAGATGAAGAAACTAAGGCTCAAGGACTTCCCTGGTGGTCCAGTGGTTAAGACTCACTCTCCACCACATGGGGCATGGATTTGATCCCTGGTCAGGGAACTAAGATCCCGCATGCCATATGGTGCAGCCAAAAAATTCAAAAAGAAACTAAGTTTCAGAGTAGTTAAGCAACTTGCCTAAGGACAGAGCCAGGAAGTGGCAGAGGTGGGATCCAAACCCTTGTCTTGCCAAACCCAAAGGGCACTTCTGAAAGGCCATTTAGAGTCAGTGCTTGATTAAACAGGAGCTGCCTTTCTTATAAGACCCTGGCCCTGGGGACAACCTCACATTCACTTGATATTTTAACCCCAGAAAGTAATGACTGTTTATCTTCCCATTTTCAAGATAAGAAATTGAGACCCAGAGAAGGGAAGTGACCTGCCTTCCCCAGTGGCTAGAAAGGCTAAAACTGATTCAATCCCAGAAGCTGGGCTGATTTGGGAAGACCTCAAATGCCAGGTCAGACGCCAGCTGTACCCCCAACCCACATCCATCCAGTGTCCCCCAAGAAAAGCAGAAGTGTGCCCTCTTCCTTCTCCAGGTCTCACTTCCTGCTGTGCATGAGCTCAGGGTTCAAGTTGGAGGGTCACAGCCGTGCGAGGGAAAAGAGAAGTGGGGGTGGGCAAGGGGAGGCTGACAGTCTGCGCCCATGTCCCCTTTGTCCCAGCCGAGGTTCCCCTTCTGCTCAGTCAGTGTGGGTCAGAGAGCAGGCAAGGAGACCACCTCCCCCACTCCTGTCGTCTCTTCCCCAGGCCTTGCTGTGGTCTCCCCACTCAGGGACTGTATGACCTTGGGCAAGCTGCTGAATCTCTCTGGGCCTCTGTTTCCGCGTCTATAAAATGGGAATGAAAAAAGAAATTCACCCCCATAGGTGCTCATTCCAGACTAATGTGCTTGGCAGGGTGTTTGGGGCACACCTGGCACTCAAAATAAGTTAGCTGTTGACAGGATAGGCAAGCGAGTTCATGGGCATTATATCAGTAAACCTCTCACCTTGACAGAGACTCTCGGAGGCCCATCTTCCAGAGACAGGAACTGAGAGACCCAGGAAGGTAAAGACACTCACTCTAAATCACATAGCAGAGACTTCCCTGGTGGTTCAGTGGTTAAGACTTTATGCTTCCACTGCAGGGGGCAAGGGTTTGACCCCCTGGTCGGGGAACTAAGATCCTGTAAGCCACCACATGGCATGGCCAAGATAAAAAAAAAAAAAAATCAGACGGCAAATAATATCCAAGCCAAGTTTGGACCCGATGGAATCTGGCTGTGAGCAGTAACTCTTTCCCAGCATGGCATGTGTTGTGGTTATATCACCTGGGTGCTCCCAAGGGTAAAGGTAGCACCCCTGAACGGTGTGGCTGTGGGCTGTGGGGCTGTGACGAGTTTGTGCTTCTGTGGGGAAGGGCTGTACGGACGTCCTCCCCAGCTGTGGTCCCTCCCATCCTGATCGCGTCAGTCCTGGGGACCAGGTAGGTGGAGAAGCCTTTGCCACTGCGAAGGATGTGCCGGGTTTGACACTGGTGGCCAGACAGTCTCACACACACAGAATAACAGTGACAAACACTCAATCTGCACAGACACTCTTTTTTTGTTTCTTTTTGCTTCTTTAAATATTTATTTATTTTTGGCTGTGCTGAGTCCTTGTTGCTGTGCATGGGCTTCCTCGGGGGCTGCGCTCGAGTTGCAGCGTGTGGGCTTCTCATTGCGGTGGCTTCTCTTGCTGTGGAGCACGGGCGGTAGCAAACGTGAGTTTCAGTAGTCACAACGCGGGGGCTCCACAGTGCAGGCACAATAGTTGTGGCGCACATCCCCATGGCGTGTGGGATATTCCCAGACCCAAGATCGAATCCACGTCCCCTTCATCGCAAGGTGGATTCTTAACCACTGGACCACCAGAGAAACCCTGCACAGACGTTTTTCTACATGCTTACAGGGTGTCACTTCAGTTCATCCTGTGAAGAAGGGAAACACTGTTGTTATCCCATTTTCAGATGAAGAAACTGAGGCACAGGACTAGGGAGTAGGAGAGGCTAGATTTGAATCCCAGATCCAGTATCTATGCTCTTCAGCACTAAGATGCATTGCATCTCTGGACAGAAGAGTATTATTACCATTACTGATGTTCTTAAAAGGACGTTCTTATTGTCAGTAGGGCAAAGGTTTTGAAGATAGGATGGGTTCAGGTCCCAGTTTCATCAATGACAAGCTAGTGTCCTCGGATCAGTGATTCCAACTCTCCAATCCTCAGTGCTTTCATCTGTATAATGGGCATACACACAGCACATACTTACAATGCACAGCTAAAGTGAGGGTCAAATGAGTTTAGGTTTGTAAAAGACTTTGCTTTTAAAAAAAATTATTTCTCTGGCTGCATTGGGTCTTAGTTGCAGCACATGGGATCTAGTTCCCTGACCAGGGATCGAACCCTGGTTCAATGCCCCTGCATTGGGAGCACAGGGTCTTAGCCACTGGAGCACCTTGGAAGTCCTTTTCTATTTTTTTTAATTAAGATATATGATGTTGATAATCTTTGGTGTACACCTAGATTGTTTAACCAATGTGACCACCCTCTGAATCAAGATACAGACACTTCCCAGTTGTTGAAGGTTCCCTCACCCCGCAGAGATGCCCACTCTTCTGACTTGTTTTTTAGCTATGGGAGGCTTGTGGGATCTTAGTTCCCCAACCAGGGATTGAACCTGGGTCCTTGGCAGTGAAAGCACAGAGTCCTAACCACTGGGCCACAAGGGAATTCCCTCCTCTGACTTCTATTGTGGGACATTGATTTGCCTGTGGTTGAATGTCATTATTATTGATGCTGACCACCTGCCATGCCCTGTCCAGCTGTCCTACACTTAATTTTTTTGTATGGCCCTGCCACATGGCATTCAGGATCTTAGCTCCCTGGTGATCGAAACTGTGCCTGCAGTGGAAGCAGAGTCCTAACCACTGGACCGCCGGGAAGTCCCTTACATTGAACCTTTAAGCAGCCCTGGAAGGCATTTGCTCCTCTAAGCCTCTGTTTTCCAGAGGAGGAAACAGGCTCAGAGAAAGTCTTGTTGAAGTGGCTTTTGCAACTGATGGCAAAGCCACATTGTGGAGCTGGGTGGCCTCTTTGCTTTGCAAACCCAGGTGCCTGTGTTGCACAAACATGGAGTCGACACACACACACACATCCTTGCAAAGTTGTGTCATCACACCAGGATCACTACCATTGAGAGTTGACCACTTTGAGTGTTGACGTGGCCACCCTGTCCTCACACCCCCTCCCTCTCCCCAGGCTGTGCTGTCAGACGACGGGGTGGGCGCCTGGCTGGGAGAGCCAGACCCCCCAGAGGAGCCCCTCACTTTACAAGCATCTGTTCCCCCTCATCAACTGCGGCTGGGCAGCCTCCATCCTCACACCCCTTACCACCTCCGGGTGGCCTGTGTCAGTAGCCAGGGCCCCTCACCCTGGACCCACTGGCTTCCCGTGGAGACACCGGAAGGAGGTAAGAAGGGACTGGTGGCAGGGAGACATCGTCCACTGCCCCGCTGACCCTTGCGTACATCAGCATGACCCCTAGCATCTCCTCTCACCTGTATACCCCACGTGGCTTCAATCTCCCTCCTGTCCCATCCCCAACTGGCATCTCTCCCGGATCTCATCCCTGTGCTCCTGTTCACGGGAGACCTGCACCAGTTGCCCGCATACTTGTCCTTTGCACCCTGCCCCTACTCCTTGGGAAGAGGGGAGGGGGTCAGGAAGAGGTGGGGGTGCCAGCTTCCCCTTTTCCCTGTCCTCCAGTGCCCCTGGGCCCTCCTGAGAATGTTAGCGCCATGCGGAATGGGAGCCAAGCCCTTGTGCGCTGGCAGGAGCCAAGGGCACCGCTGCAGGGCACCCTGTTAGGGTACCGACTGGCCTATCGAGGTCAGGATACACCCGAGGTGGGTGCTGCTGGCTGGGCTGGGGCGGAGTAGCTGTAGAGGAGGGGACTGGGGAGTAGAAGATGACAAGGCAGACATGGACAGTTGAGCAGGTTGCGTAGGATGTGATCACCCTGTGCTAGAAGAGCACGTTCTGGGGCAGGTAAAGGGGACCATGAGAGGGTAGCATGTGTGCATGCTCAGTTGCTCAGTCATGTCTGACTCTTTACGACCCCATGGATGGTAGCCCACTGGCTCCCTGTCCATGGGATTCTCCAGACAAGAATACTGGGGTGCGCTGTCGTTTCCTTCTCCAGGGGATCTTCCCAACCCAGGGATCAACCTGCGTCTCCTGCATTGGCAGGGTATTCTTTACCATCGAGCTACCTGGGAAGCCCCCAGGAGAGAGTTAGGGGATGGCTGTTTATGAATCCGTGAACTGTGGTGTTGGAGAAGTCTCTTGAGCATCCCTTGGACTGCAAGGAGATGAAACCAGTCAATCCTAAAGGAAATCAACACTGAATATTCATTGGAAGGACTGATGCTGAAGCTGAAGCTCTAATACTTTGGCCACTTGATGCAAAGAGCCGACTCATTAGAAAAGACCCTGATGCTGGGAAAGATGAAAGGCAGGAGGAGAAGGGGATGACAGAGGATGAAATGGTTGGATGGCATCACTGACTCAATGGACATGAGTTTGAGCAAGCTATGGGAGATGGTGAAGGATATGGAAGGCTGGCATACCGCAGTCCATGGGATCGCAGAGTTGGACACAACTGAGCAACTGAACAACAATTTGTGAATCATGTACAAAACATTTCAGTAGACATATTTGCTAGGACAGCAGATAGTTGCATAGTACGTTGAGGAAGGAGTGTCTCTTTCTAATTAACATGAAGGTACTATCTGAGCAAGCAGCACCCTGGGATGGAGAGATGGATGGGAGAAAGAGTGAGGAATTAGAAGGGGATGGAGGGATGAGAGGACAAAGATGAGAATTCGGTTCTTTCAACAACAGTACTGTGTTCCATGCCTCCTTGTGCTAGGACCTGAGGATGTACATGGCAGTGAAGAAGACAGTCCTAGACCCGGTGAAGCTGATATTTTAATGAGTGGAGGGGTAGAGAACAGAAAGGAGAGGACAGGATAGGGGATGGGAGATGAAGGGTAGGAAGAGGTAGGGGATGAGGGGCTGGCGATGAGGAGCAGGCTTTGAGAAAGATGGGGAGTTGAGGCTGAGAGTGAGGGCTTAAGCGCTGGGGCTGGAGCTCCACTCTGATGCCCTATTTGCACATCCTAGGTGCTGATGGACGTAGGGCTAAAGCGAGAGGTGACCCTGGAGCTGCGAGGGGAGGGGCCTGTGCCCAACCTGACGGTGTGTGTGGCAGCCTACACCGCCGCTGGGGATGGACCCTGGAGCCTCCCTGTGCCCCTGGAGCCCTGGCGCCCAGGTAACTGCAAAGCTGTGCTCAGCCTCCCTCAGCCTCCCCACAGGGACCACGTCTATCCTAGATGCCCGTGACTTGCTCCTTGTACCTTTTGGCGTTACCCCAGTCTAGGCTCCATTCCCACCTGGAAGCTTCCTGAGAGCCTCACTCCCTCTATCCCGTGTCTTACCAGTCTCTCTGAGCATGTCCTCCCTCCGTCCTTTCTCCTCGCAGGACAAGGACAGCCAATCCACCAGCTGGGTAAGGGCTTTCACACCCCTTCTCCTGCTCTCCCTTCCCCCAAGGCCCAGTGAGGGCCCCATCACTGCACGTTCTCTTTGCACATCCCTTTCATGTTCCTCAGACTCATCACTCTAATCCTCGGCTTCTTGGTTTTGTGTGGTCCTTGATGGAAGTGCCTGGAGTGGCCTAGAGCACTGTGGGTACTTGGTGAATGGTGGGTGGATAGGTGGATGGGTGGACTGATGAATGAGTGGATGTGTAGATGGACGAATGAATGAATGCATGGCTGAGTGGTGGACAGATGAATGAATGAGTGGGTGGTAGAAGGATTAATGAATGGGTGGATGGTGGATGGATGAATGAATGGGTAGGTGATGGATGGATGAATGAATAGGTAGATGAGTGGATGAATGAATAAATAGGTGGGTGGGTAGATGAATAGATAGGTAGAGGGACAGAGAGATGAGTTATCTCCCTCATATTCATCTTCCTCAAATATTTCTCCAAATATTCCTCCTACTTGTAACCACTATCCTTAAATATTCTTTACATGTTTTCTTGCATTTGTTTGCATACCCTTTCCACACTAACCCCCACCCTCCTTTCACATTCATCCCATTATAACCCCTTATTCTTCTCACGGGCTTCCCAAACCCAATGCACACCCACACTTCTCATTCACAAACTGATACTTTTTGCACACTCACCATGCATCCCACATTGCAGGCACTGAAAGACTTTCAATCTACACGATCCCACATTCTGCAACTCTCCTTGCACACTCACTCCACACTCCTTACACAGCATTCCCTCACCTCGAGTTAATCCTAACCCATGCCCACTTTCTGCACATACCACAGCAAACTCTTGGTACACTCAACATACACTCATCCTCCACTCCTTACACACTCACTCCCACCTTTTTGCATATCCTTCATCCATCTCATGCTCATCTTCCCCTCCCACATCCTTTGCACACTTATTGTACACTCTTCTCACACCAAAGTTACATCCTTACAAATCACTGCCCCTACCTTGTATCTAAGACTTCTTGAATACTCCTTGAATCCTCACATACTCCCAATTCCTTAAATACTCATCTGGCACTGTTTACACACTCCTTTGCACACCATGTCCCTTTGCACATTTATTTCACCCTCATCCCTTGCTTTATGAAAGCCCTTCCAAGGAATTCCCTGGCAGTCCAGTGGTAAGGACTCAGTGCTTTCACTGCTGAGGGCGTGGGTTCAACCCCTAGTCAGGGAACTAAAATCCCACAAGCTGCAAGGAGGTGCAAAAAAAAAAAAAAAAACTCTTTCATAGTCATCACATACTCCTCAAAAATGTCCCTTGGCTGTTGGTCCCTGGAGCCTCCAACTCCTTGCATATCCATTGCACATGCCTTGTGCAGCTGTCATAACACTGCACACATTCTCTCCCTGCTCAACTGTTTTCCACACCCAAGTCCCCCCTCCTTGCATAGTCGTCACACATGGGTACCCCACTTGAGATTTACTTCCGGCCCTCCCACGCTCCTCCAGCCCTCCTTGCATTCTCACAGCCCATCCCGCACAATCTCTCACTCCCATCCCACACTCCTTCCACACTCCCCAGGTATCCATCCCACTTGGCACTCACCACACTCATCCTAGGAGTTTCATACTCCTCCTTCAAAAAAAAAATTATTTATTTGGCTGCTTCAGGTCTTAGTTACATCATGCAGGATCTTTCCTTGTGACTCACGGACTCTCTAGTTGCAACAGGTGGGCTCCAGAGCATCTAGGCTCAGTAGATATGGCGCACGGGCTTAGTTGCTCCTAAGCATGTGAGATCTTAGTTTCCTATGCCTGCGTGTGTGCTCAATCGTGTCAGTCATGTCCAACTCTTTGTGACCCTATGGACCATAGCCCACCAGATTCCTCTGTCCATGGGATTCTTCCGGCAAGAATATTGGAGTGGGTTGCCATGCCCTCCTCCAGGGAATCTTCCTGACCCCAGAGATCAGACCCAGTCTCCTGCACCTCCTGCATTGCAGGCGGACTCTTTTTACCACTGAGCCACCAGAAAAGCCCCTCAGTTCCCTGATCAGGGATCAAACCCGAATCCCCTGCATTGCAAGGTAGATTCTTAACCACTGGACCACCAGGGACATCCCCTCACACTCCTCCTCCAACATCCACTCCTTTCGTATCCATTGCATGCCCCTTCCAGCCCTGTCCATCACCCAATGTACCTACACCTGCCTCCCTTCAACACCACCCCCCTGGGGACCCAAGGAACCAAGACCTCCACCATGACCTGTCCCGCGTACCCCCTGACAGTGAGTGAACCCCCAGTCCCCGCCTTCTCGTGGCCCTGGTGGTATGTACTGCTGGGAGCAGTGGTGGCAGCCGCCTGTGTCCTCATCCTGGCCCTGTTCCTCTTCCACCGGCGGAAGAAGGAGACCCGCTACGGGTAAGTTGGGACCACGGGGGTCGGGAGGCTGACCTGGACTGGGGTAGAGAGGCTGGAGGTGGGGAGCTGGCACAGGAGGAGAGAGTACCAAGAATCAGAATGAGGACAAGCGTCTGGGGAGTGAATGGAAGGCAGAAGGCAGCAGAGGCGCTCAGCAGACATTGGAGGAGAGGGCCGGCAGGTCTGGGGGTTGGGATGGCGCTTGCTTCCACTGCTTGTGGAAGTGCAGGAGGTTCCACGTCACTGCCCTGCCCTCACCTCCTCTCTGTACCCCCCTAGAGAGGTGTTTCAGCCAACCGTGGAGAGGGGTGAGCTGGTGGTCAGATACCGTGTTCGCAAGTCCTACAGTCGGAGGACCACTGAAGCCACCTGTAAGTGAGCCCCATGCCTCCCTGCCTGGGTTTGGGGTAAGAAGTATTGAGTGTTGGACCTGCTGGGCTTCAGCAGATGCGTGAACCAACAATTTCTGAAGGCCTTGGAATATTAGCACCACAGACCCTAAGAACAACAGGACTGTGGGACCACACACGACTTTAGAATAATTGAATCTTAGACACAATAAATTTTAGAAAGGCCAAACTCTGAGTCATAGGCTCTTAGAACCGTGTAATGATGATGATGAAGATGATAAACATGATGATGATGGAAATGAAAAATTGCCCATGATGAGATGATTACAATGCTGATGGTAATAGCCAACCCTAACACTTCCTCTGTGACTACTACTGTTCCTTTTTTAAAATTGTTTATCTATTTACTGGCTATACTGGGTCTTCATTGCTGCTCAAGGGCTTTCTCTAGTTGCAATGAGTGTAGGCTACTCTCTAGTTGTGGTCTGAGGGCTTCTCGTTGCAGTGGCTTCTCTTGTGGCGGAACACAGGCTTTCGGGTGCATGGGCTTCAGTAGCAGCGGTACGTGGCCTTAGCTGCCCTGAGGCATGTGGGATCTTCCTGAAGCAGGGATCGAACCCATGTCCCCTGCAGTGGAAGGTGGATTCTTAACCACTGGGCCACCAGGGAAGTCCCACAGGTGCTGCTTTAAGCTTCAACACGTGTCACTTCATTTAATCCCCATGACAACCCAGTGAGGTAGAAACATTATCCTCCCCACCACCGGTGAGGAGGCTGTGGCACAGAGTGGCTAAGTAACTTATTGGAAGCCACACAGTTTGTAAGTTGGAGAGCTGGGGTTCACACCCAGGCAGTTCCACTCTCAAGTTCATCCTCTGAACTGCCTCTTGGAAGTAGAGGATGTGCGAGAGGATGTGCAATTTATAATTGGCCTAAAAAATTATAATCCAGTGCTACAAACTCTTAAGGCTCCCCTGGTGGCTCAGATGGTAAAGAAGCTGCCTGCAATGTAGGAGAACCAGATTCAATCCCTGGGTCAGGAAGATCCCCTGGAGAAGGAATGGAAACCCACTCCAGTATTCTTGCTGGGAGAATCCCATGGGCAGAGGAGCCTGGAGGGTTACAGGCTATAGGGTCGCAAAGAGTCAGACATAATTGAGCAACTAACACTTAATAGACTCTTAGGATCTTAAAAATCATAGAATCTTAGCACTGTGATAGATAGACTCTGTGTTAGAGGATTGTAACATTTATGGAGGGTCCCAGCTAAGAAGGGACTTCAGGAGCCACCTAGTCAAATTTCTTCTTCTCCCAGTTGGGAAAACAGATCCAGAAAAAAAACGGGTGGGTGGGGGACAGAGTAGGCCTCTTCTAGAGTTAGCACCCAGGGAGAAGACTGCCAGGGGCCCCAGGGAGATACCGGAAGGGGCTGGGAAAGACATTTGTTGCAAAGGAGAAGGAAGAGGAAGTGAGGAGGTCACAGCAATCTAATGGGAATAACATGCAGCAGCAGTTCTCCAAGTGTGATCCAAGTCCCCAGAGGTCCCCGAGACCTTTGCAGGGGGTCCATGAGGTCAAAACTATTTTCATAATAATACCAAGACGTCATTTGCCCTTTCACACCCTCCTTCTCTTGCAAGTGCTCCTCAGAATTTTCCAAAGGCTTCCAAATATGTGATGATGTCATCCTTCTGTTGACTGATGTGCTTGTGTATTCTTGTGTTTTGAAAATTTATCTGGGGGACTTCCCTGGCGATCCAGTGGTGAAGACCCTGAGATTCCACTGCAGGGGGTTCCGGTTCAATCTCTGGTTGGGGAATTGTTAATAAGATCCTTTGTGGTGCGGCCAAAAATGAAAAAAGGAAATCATATCAGTTTTCATCCTGAACACAGTAAATATTGCTGTGTAGACAACCCACATAAAAGAAAACTTTTTTCAAGTCTCAATAATTTTAAGAATGTAAAAAGGTCCTGGGGCTAATAAATTGGAGAACAATTGCTACACGTGAAAATGAATAAACCCAACTACACACAGCTGCTGGGCTTCCCTGGTGGCTCAGTGGTAAAGCACCCACCTGCCAATGCAGGAGACGTGAGTTCCATCCCTGGGTCAGAAAGATCCCCTGGAGAAGGAAATGGCAACCCACTCTAGTATTCTTGCCTGGGAAATCCCATGGACAGAGGAGCCTGGCAGCTTACAGTCCAGGGGTCGCAAAGAGTTGGACATGACTTAGCAACTAAACAAGAATAGCAACAACATACAACAACTGCATTACAGTTATTTCATAGATACTGTGTGAAGTGAAAGAAGCCGGACACTAAAGAGAATATAGTATGTGATTCCATATTTATAACATCCCCAAACAGAAAAGACTAATCTGGGGTAAGAAAAGTCAGGAAAATGCCACCCCTGACAGGACAGGTCAGTCTGTTCTTGACGTGGGTGTTAGTGACACATACTGTTGTGTTTGGTTCATGAAAATCCATTGGGCTGCTCACTTGTGATTTTTGCAGGTAATACTTTAAGAAAAAGTTAAGAAAAATTTTGAACAACTGGTACGGCAGGATGTTAACCAATCAAGGTGCCACTACTGCAAGATTACGTGCCCGGCTCTAACCCTTTAGTTACTGCTCTGGGGGAAGATTTGGGGGGTCTAAAGGAGAAGTGGGAGTTGGGAGTGCTCAGGGCAGTAGCTAATCCTGAATGAATGCAGAATTATTTCAGTATTTTAACAATGGGTATACAGGCATGGGGCTTCCCTGGCGACTCATGGTAAAGAACCCGCCTGCCAATGCAGGAGATGCGGGTTGGATCCCTGGGTCGGGAAGATCCCCTGGAGAAGGAAATGACAATCCACTCCAGTATTCTTGCCTGGAGAATCCCATGGACAGAGGACTCTGGCAGGCTACAGTCCTTGGGATTGCAAAGACTTTAGTGACTCAACAGTGATAAACAACACAGGCATACCTGGGAGACACTGCACATTTGATTCCAGACCAACACGATAAAGTGTATAATGCAACAAAGTGAGTCACATTCATTTTGGGGTTTCTCAGTGCATATAAAAGTTATGTTTAGGACTTCCCTGACAGTCCAATGGTTAAGACTCCATGCTTCCTCTGCAGGGGCCCAGGTTCCATCTAAGATCCCACATGCTATGCAGTGGGGCCAAAATAAACAAACAGAAACATAAAAACAAACAAAAATAAAAAAGTTGTGTTTACACTGCACTGTAGTGTACTAAGTATGCAACAGCATTATATCTTTAAAAACAATTTAGATACCTTAATTTTATCTATTTATTTTTTAAATTTGGCCACATCATGGCAAGTGGGATCTTAGTTTCTCAGCCAGGGATCAAACCCTTGCCCCTTGCAGTGGGAGTTCGGAGGCTTAACCACTGAATCACTGGGGAAAGTCCCTACATACCTTAATCTTAAATTGCTTTGTTGCTAAAAAAAATGCCAACCACCATCTGAGCCTTCAGTGAGTTATAGCACTAACATCAAAGATCACAGATCATCATAACAAATACAATAATAATGAAAAGGTTTGAAATATCACAAGAATTACCAAAATATAACACAAGAGACACAAAGCAAGTTTGTGTCTTGCTTTGAAAAATTGTAACGATAGATTTGCTTGACACAAGATTGCCACAGACCTTCAATATGTAAAAAAACACAGTATCTGTGAAGTGCAGTAAAATGAGGCACGCCTCCTGTATCCTTATGGGAGGTGCTGCCTGGATGTCAGCTCTGTGCCCTGGCTCTGTCTACCCCCACCCCCACCCCCACCCCCCATGCAGTGAACAGCCTGGGCATCAGTGAAGAACTGAAGGAGAAACTGCGGGATGTGATGGTGGACCGCCATAAGGTGGCTCTGGGGAAGACCCTGGGAGAGGGTGAGTGCCCCCCTCCCCATCTCACACACACACACACACATATCTCCCTGAACTATGCAGTCCTTCATCTCCCCACCCCTGCCCAACCACAGGAAATGCAGTTCCTACAGGGTCCCCCCTGAAGTCAATAGGGAGTACTCCCCCCATGCATGTCAAAGTCTCTCTCTGGTCCCCCACAGGAGAGTTTGGAGCTGTGATGGAAGGCCAGCTCAACCAGGATGACTCCGTCCTCAAGGTGGCTGTGAAGACAATGAAGAGTGAGTATGCACATACATGCGCACACATGTGGGATCCCCATCCCTTAACCTCTGGCCCCTCCCCTGTGCCCCTAAGGAGGCAGAAGAACAGGAACAGTGACAGCAATTTAGCCCAACCCTAGAACTTCAGTGTTTCCAGACAAGAAGTTAAGCCCCTGCCAGGTCCTTCAACAGTAGGAACTCAGTTTGGGGAGATTACTACAAAGGTGCAGGGAAAACTGAAGGAACAGCAGGCTGCAGTTAAGACAACCTAGAGATTAGCAGCAGCAAGCCTGTCACTTCCACGCCCAGGCCTGAAGGGGTGGAGAGAGGACGTGGAGTTACCGGAGCCCACAGCCAGGGCCCCCTGATGGGATTTAAGCATCACAGAGTTAGGGGCTATCTTGTGGGAGCCTGAAACACGAAGGAGACGCAGCCACCACCAAGGCAATACTGGAAGCAGAGAGAGGGTGAAATGCCCTGATTTCTCTCCTCCTCTCGCCTACCTTCCAGTCTCCCATCAGTGCTTCCCATTAGCAGATTCCAACAGGAAACAGCAGGAAAGGGAGCCTGGGAAATGTAGTTTTCAAGTGTGATACATAGCAGAGCATGTGATGGTCCAGAATGAGGCACACCTGGCGTCATCATTCACTAGTTGTATGCTTTCCTGGTGGCTCAGATGATAAAGAATCCGCCTGCAGTGCAGGAGACCTGGGTTCAATCCTTGGGTTGGGAAGATCCCCTGGAGCAGGGAATGGCAACCCACTCCAGTATTCTTGCCTGAAGAATCCCATGGACAGAGGAGCCTGGTGGACTACAGTCCACGGGGTCGCAAAGAGTCGGACATGACTGAGTGACTAACACTTTCACTATGATCTCAGGTAAGTGACTAACACTCTCTGAGCCTACCATTCCTCACCCGGAACAAAGTATCATAGTGTTCCTACCTCCTAGGGTATTACATGTCAAAGCACTTAATGCTGGGCTTGGCACATAGTACACACAGTTAATGTGGACTAAAACCACGTTATCTACATCAACAGAGAGGGTGAGCCAGTCCAGTCCAAGGCTCACACAGCACAGAAAGGCCAGGCTAAAGTCTTTTCCACACAGGGATGAAGCTTAGAAGGGTCATGCTGGACATAAGGGAGGAATGATTGTTTCAGAATCACAAGGGCTAAAAAACTTACATTATGGAGTCATCACTCATTCATTCATTCATTATTGACTGCCTTCTGAATACTGCATTATGCTCCTGATCTGGGTTTGAATCCCAGCTGTGTGATGCTGGGCAAGTCACTTTGCCTCTCTGAGCCAGTGTCCTGAGTTGTAAAACAGGGACAATCAATCGTTTGCATCCTAGGGCTGCTGGGAGCGTGCTGGGAAGCAGCCTAGCATGGAGCCCACACATGGACCCCTGAGCCAAACTGCCTGGGTTTGAACTCTGCCTGTTCCTCTTGCAAGCTGTGGCTCATTTCTTAAACATTCTGTGCCTTGTGTCTCCATCCTTGTTGTTCAGTCGCTAAATCATGTCAGACTCTTTGTGACCTCATCAACTGCAGCATACCAGGCTTCCCTGTCCTTCATTATCTCTCTGAGTTTGCTCAGACTCATATCCATTGAGTCAGTGATGCCATCCAACCATTTCATCCTCTGTAGCCCCCTTCTCCATTCTTAAAATGGGGAAATAAAAGCTCCTCAGAGGGTTAAATGGGTTAATATATGTCAAGCGCTGAGTGCAGCCCCTGGTACTTACTTGGTCATGCTTGATGAAGGAGAAGATGATGATGGTAATGAGGAGGAGGAGGGAAAGAGTCCTCCCTCCCCTCCCTCCGCCTCCTCCACCTTCCTCTCTCCTCCCAGTTGCCATCTGCACAAGGTCAGAGCTGGAGGATTTCCTGAGTGAAGCCGTCTGCATGAAGGAATTCGACCACCCCAACGTCATGAGGCTCATTGGTGAGGGAGGGGCAGATTTAGGGGGCTGACAGGCCCCATGGAGGCTGCACCAGAGGGAAGAACCCTCCCTCAGGCACTGGGAAGATCAAACCTCCAGGCTTCCTTCGCACCCCCCCCACCCCGGCCAGAGTGAGCAGGCTCCCCCCTTCCTCTCTCCCTCAGCTCGGAATGTGACCTCTGACCTTTCCCAGAAATAGCTGAGGTCCCCAGGAGGGCTGGAGAAATATCCCTGGGAACCAGTGCTAGACATGGCTTCTCTGACGCTTGGTCCCTGTCACCACCACCCCTGCTCCCCAACAGTTTGGAGGCCAGATCTGAGAGGGAGTGGGAGAAAGAGGTGGGAGTAGGGGTGGCGTCCCCTTCTGCCCACCTCCAGTGACAAGGCTATCTGGGGGGTGGGGGCGGGACTCAGGTGTCTGTTTCCAGGGTTCTGAACGAGAGGGCTTCCCAGCGCCCGTGGTCATCTTACCTTTCATGAAACACGGAGACCTACACAGTTTCCTTCTCTATTCCCGGCTCGGGGACCAGCCAGTGGTGAGGGCATTTTATTATCTGGACCACAAGTGTTAACTGAGCGCCTACTAGGTACCCGGTAATCTTTCTTTCTTATTTGAAAAAAATTGATGTCTATTCTACGTACACTAAAATATGCACATTTTTTGCATGCAGTTCAGTGAATGTTTTCTTGTGTATAGACCCATGGAAGGGCTTCCCAGGTGGTTCAGTGGTAAAGAATCTGCCTGCTAGTGCAGGAGATGTGGGTTCCATCCCTGGGTTGGAAAGATCCTCTGGAGAAGAAAATGGCAACCCACTCCAGTATTCTTGCCTGTGAAATCTATGGACAGAGGAGCCTGGTGGGCTATAGTCTGTGGGGTTGCAAAGAGTCAGACATGACTGAGTGACTAAGTACACACGCATGCATTAGGTACCTAGCGCTGCTCAGACACTAGGAAGGTGATGGAGACCAAGAGGTTGTTTTCATGGAGGAACTGTCTGCCAGAGGTGGGGGGACCAGGCAATAAACAAGTTAACAAATGAATAAGCACGATAATTTTTAAGTGACAGGAAGGAAATAGTGCAGGATGAGTGACAGGGAGGCCAGGCAGTTTGTTTGCGTGAACAGGGAAGGTCTTACGGAGGAGATCGAAGGAGGAGCTTAACTGGTGGGAAGTGGGTGATCTGGGAGGAAGTGGTCCCGGCAGAGGGCACAGAATGTACAAAAGCTCAGATGTGGGAACAAGCCAGAAAGGGGGTTCCCTGCCGGAGCGTATGTCAAAAGCAAGAACAATGGGAGATCAAGACAGGAGAGGAAAGTAGGAGGGGATGACCAAGGGCTGATTGGGAAAGGGGTGGGTGGGGTTTAAGTCTCAAAGGTATGGGAAAGCATCACAGGGCAGAGCTAGAAGGGAGGAGGGATGGATTTCTGGGACTCCGCTGACCCCTACCCCGTCGTGTCCTGCCTACCCCCAGTTCCTGCCCACCCAGATGCTGGTGAAGTTCATGGCAGATATTGCCAGTGGCATGGAGTATCTGAGTACCAAGAGATTCATACACCGGGACCTGGCTGCCAGGAATTGCATGTGAGTGCCCGGCCTTCCAGGAATCCCCCTTCTTCAGGGACCCACCCCCACCCCCACCCGCCTTCCCAGGATGGAAGAAGGTGCTCCACACACACACACACACACACACCCTTCAGGTAAGTCAGAGCTCAGGAGGTTGGGGCCAGCTTTCTGGAGGACGTGGACCCTGAACTAATGTGCAGAGAAAAGGAGAGGGGGCAGGCTCAGTGAGTAGCAGGATGTGAGCAAAGGGCAGAGGAAACCCAAGAGGGTGGTGACATTTAAGCTTCATCATTATCCCCCTCCAAGCTGAGTGTCTTGCCTGGGGCTACACTTGGGCAGTGTCCACACTGGATAAAGAGACCACACCCCCTGCTAAGTTGTTGCTGCTTAGTCGTTCACTCAGTCGTATCCCACTCTTTGAAACCCCGTGGACTGCAGCACACCAGGCTTCCCTGTCCTTCACTATCTCCCAGAGTTTGTTCGAACTCGTCCTTTGTGTCGGTGATACCATCCAACCATCTCACCCTCTGTCACCTCCTTCTCCTCTTGCTTTCAATCTTTCCCAGTATCAGAGTCTTTTCCAATGAGTCAGCTCTTCGCAGCAAGTGACCAAAGTATTGGAGTTTCAGCTTTAGCATCAGTCCTCCCAATGAATATTTAGGGTTGAGTTCCTTTCCGAGGGACAAGCAAAAAATAGCCCAGAACCTGTCTTAAGGGCTGTGTGTGTGTGTGTGTGTGTGTGTGTGTGACACATAAGCTTAGAATATTAGTCTCATTACAATGTCATTACAATGTTGGACTCAGAAATTGGAGCTCGAGAGGACTTCTCTGGTGGTCCAGTGGCTAGGATTTCACACTCCCAATGCAGGGGGCCTGGGCTTGACCCACTAAGAGTTCACATGCTCCAACTAAAAGATCCTGCATGCCACAACTGAGACCCAGCACTGTGAAAGAATAAGTATGTTTAAAAAAATTTAAAAAGAAGTTGGAGAATCAGAGAATCTTCAATAAGACGTGCAGACGTGCCCAAATGATTTTGATTACCTTCCATGGAATGCACATGTCAATTTGAGAATTGCCTTTGTCTTCTCATCCATGATTATAGCATAGCTTTCCAATTTATTTAGGTATTATCCAGCTTCTTTCAGCAAAACAGTATAATTATCTTTTTTTTTTCTGCCCCACTACACAGCATGCAGGATATTGGTTCCCCAACCAGGGGTTGCACCAGTGCCCCCTGAAGCAGAAGTGCAGAGTCTTAATGGCTGGACCAGGGAACACCCCACTCCCAATTTTTATTTTGAAAAAATTCCAAATCTACAGAAAAGTTGAAAACATTTGCCGTGAACACCCATATCTCCTCCTTGTTGGGATTTTGCCACATTTCTCCTCTCTTCTCCGTCTCTCTCTCCCCTCAACCACTTGAAAGTAAGTTGCCAAGATGGTGACATTCCACCCCTAAATCTTCAAGAGGTGTCTCTTGGAATAAGGACTTAAGCCTAAACAATCACAATTCTGTTTTCAGACCTAAGAAGATTAACAATAATTCCGTAACACAGTCTCCTATCCAATCCATATTCAAATTTTATTTATATAAAGTGCAAAAACAAACACAAGTAATCCACGCTGTTAGAAGTGAAGATCTCAGTCACCCTATGAGGGGTAATTATACCCTAGGAAGGAAGGTCTGGTAATCTTTCTTTCTTGTTAAAAAAAATGGATGTTTATGCTACATACATTAAAATATACACATTTTATGCGTGCAGTTCAATGAATGTTTACATATTTATAGACACATGGAAGGGCTTCCCAGGTGACCCAGTGGTAAAGAATCTACCTGCCAATTCAGGAGACTCAGGTTCGATCCCCGGGTTGGGAAGATCCCCTGGAGAGGAAATAGCAACCCAGGATTCTTGCCTGGGAAATCCCATGGACAGAGGAGCCTGGTGAGCTACAGTTCATGGGGTTGCAAAGAGCTGGACACAACTGAGTGAGCATCCACACAGACCCATGGAAACAACCACCACTAAATCAAGATAAAGAACATTTCTTGGCCCTTTGCAGGCTCTCTCCTGCCCTTCCCAGCAACTGCCCTCAAGGGGTAACAACTATTCTGTACTTCTGTCACTTGTTCTTAAATGTCATGTAAATGGAATTGCAATTTTGACTCCTCTGTGTCTGGCATCTCTTGCTTAGCGTGAAGTTTTTGAGATCAGTCCATGTTCTTGTATGTATCTGTAGTTCTTGTTCTTTGCTGTATGGTATTCCATTGCACAGCTGCCCCACGACATTCTCTTTCTTAATCTGGGTTCTAGTTACATAGGTGTGTTTGTGAAAATCCAGTGAGCTCTCCACTTAAGATTTGTGCATGTTTTTGTATTTATATAGTATACTTCAAAAAATTTTTTTAAAAACAGACTCCCCTGGTGGTGCAGTAGCTAAGACTCCATTCTCCCAATGCAGGGGTGCTGGGTTTGATCCCTGGTCAGGGAACTAGATCCCACATGCCACAGTGAAGATCTTGAGTGCAGCAACTAAGGCCCAGTGTAGTCAAATGACTATTAAAAAATTTTTTTTAAATATCAGAGAATCCAACCCAAGGAGCCTGTGAAGGACCTTAGAATCTGGCAAAAAGCCAGAGCTGGGAAGGTCCCCTAGCAGCCCTTTTCAGACCCACCTTTCACAGAGGGTATAAGAAGTAACATAGTTCCCTCCCAGGTTTGGGGGCTGACCGATCCCCACCCCCAGGCAGGACAGCCAGGACAGGAGACAGAGACAGGTCTGAGAGTTAGGACAGGCTTCCTGGTGGAGGGGGCAATGCCGTGACCCCATTCCTCTCCCCCATCTGGGCAGGCTGAACGAGAACATGTCGGTGTGTGTGGCTGACTTTGGGCTCTCCAAGAAGATCTACAACGGGGACTACTACCGTCAGGGACGCATCGCCAAGATGCCGGTCAAGTGGATTGCCATCGAGAGCCTGGCGGACCGCGTCTATACCAGCAAGAGCGATGTGGTACGTGCACCCCGGCAGGAGTAGGGGGAGGGCGTGGCCTGATCATCTCACACCAGACCCAGGCTCCCGGGGACATGAGGGCTTCCCTGAGCAGGGGCCTGTCCACATGGACCGTGTGTGGTGGGCGTCTGTGAACGGTGGTGTAGACATGCTTGGGGGGTGTGCACGGGGCTATGTGTGCATGGTGACAGGTTGCCACATGGATTATGCAGACAGCCTAGGTTGGGAGAGGCACTGGTAAGTGTATACATGTGTATAGCTAGGGTGTGGAGGGTGACCCTAGACCACGTGTCCATGGAGTGTGTAAGTGTGTGCACGGGTGAGCAGGTCTGTGTGTGCACACAGATTGTCTCCCTAAGTGTGTACCTATACCAGAGTGTTTCTGTGACTAGCTCTGATGCACCCACAAAGACATCTGTGTACATGTAAGTGTGGGTGTATCTGTGTGTTGGGTGAGGCCGTCTTTGTGCAGGAGAGACCCTCTAATTTTCTCCCTTCTGTCCCCCAACAGTGGTCCTTTGGGGTGACGATGTGGGAGATTGCCACTCGAGGCCAAACCCCATATCCGGGAGTGGAGAACAGCGAGATTTATGACTACCTGCGCCAGGGAAACCGCCTGAAGCAGCCCGTGGACTGTCTGGACGGACTGTGAGGACCCTCAGGACTCCACTCCCCTACCTCATGGGATTCCATCCCCAAACTCTGAGCACCCCACATGGCCCTGACATATCCAAGACCCTCTAAAACCTGCACAGGGATTTCCCTGGTGGTCCAGTGGTTGGGACTCCAAACTTCCACTGCAGGGGCGCAGATTCGATCCATGGTCTGGGAACTAGGATCCCACGTGCCACGTGACATGACCCAAAAAAAGAAAAACCTGCACAGAATCCCTCAGACTGTTGGGGAACCTATCTGCCCCTCACCCATGCTCCTCAGAACCACTATTAGCTTGAGAGGTGTACTAAGTCACATGTGCTAAGGGTCAGTCGTGTCCGATTCTTGGCAACCCCATGGACTGTAGCCTGCCAGGCTCCTCTGTCCATGGGATTCTCCAGGCATGAGTGGGTTGCCATGTCCTCCTCCAGGGGATCTTTCTAACCCACCCAGGGATCAAACCTGCATCTCTTACTATATCCTGCATTGGCAGGCAGGGTCTTTACCACTCATGCCACATGAGAAGCCCGAGAGGTGTGAATCAACAAAAGGTGCCCTTTTTTCCTTTTCTCTGTGCCAAATTCAGGCTGGATCAGTCTCCCACCACGTATCTGTGGGCTATAGTGCCCATGCCCAAAGAATTCTAATTCCTTCCAGACTCCTGAGCACCCATGCTTCCCCCACGTGCTCTTCAACACCCAGAACCCTCTGCTAAACCCTTATAATGAACTTCTGCAAACTCTCAGGGCTCCCCTGAGATGTTCTCAGAATCCTTTAGAGTGGTGGTTATCACACTTTGCCATCCCATGAAATACATAGAGAAGAGAACTTGGGGGATAAAGAGAAGATGTTGCTTGGGTCAGGAGGGGACAACCTGGGGCTTCAGACTCCCCAGGTCCTCCTTGGGTGTTCCAAGAGCTGAGGGGAGTAAAAAGGGTGAAAATTTCCATAGAACTTACTAGAAGGCATGGTTTCAGGTGCTTTGCATGAAATTAAGTCATTTGGTCCTTACTACAGCCATTTGAGGTGGGTTGCCACCATTTGAGGTGGGTTGCCACCATTAGTGGAGAAGGCAATGACAACCCACTCCAGTACTCTTGCCTGGGAAATCCCGTGGACGGAGGAGCCTGGTAGGCTACAGTCCATGGGGTTGCGAAGAGTCGGACACGACTGAGCGACTTCACTTTCACTTTTCACTTTCATGCATTGGAGAAGGAAATGACATGCCACTCCAGTATTCTTGCCTGGAGAATCCCAGAGACGGGAGCCTGGTGGGCTGCCGTCTATGGGGTCACACAGAGTCGGACACGACTGACATGACTTAGCAGCAGCAGCCACCATTAGTAGGGCTTCCCAATTAGCACAGTGGTAAAGAATACACCTGCCAATGCAGGAGACACAAGTTCGATCCTTGGGTCGGGAAGATCCCCTGGAGAAGGAAATAGCAATCCACTCCAGTATTCTTGCCTGGAAAATTCCATGGACAGAGGAACCTGGCCAGCCACAGTGCCTCAAGTTGAAGAGTCAGACACGACTGAGCAGCTGAGCATGCAGGCGCTCAAGGCACCATTAGTATTCCCCTGTGTAAATGATGTAACAGAGACCCACATCAAGGGAAGGTCATTTGCCAAAGGCTGCATAGCTGGTGTTTTAGTTATCTATATCACCAAAATCCAGTAACTTAGAACAACAAGCCTTTTATTACTTCACATGGTTTCTGAATGTTAGGGGTCTGGGAACAGTGTGGCAGGCTGATTCTGAATCAGGGTTTCAGTGAGGTTACAGTCAAGATATCAGGGGGGCTACAGTCATCTGAAAGTTGAGACTGGAAGCTGGTTCACTCACATGCTGTGGCAGGAGGCCTCAGTTCCTTGCCATGTGAAACCCTCCACAGTGCTGCTTGCGTTTCCTCATGACATGGTGGCTGGCTTCCCCCAGATGAGCGTCCCAAGAAAAAGAACAAGGAGAAATCCACAATACCTTTTCAACCTAGTCTCAGAAGTCACACACACCATGGAACTTCCCTAACAGCCCAGGGGTTAAGACTGCACTTCCAGGAGGCATGTGTTCAATTCCTGATCAGGGAAGTTTCCTATGTCATGTGGTATGGCAAAAAAAAAAGAAGTCTCCACACACTATCATTGGTACCAAGTCAGAATGCAGTGCTCTATCTTTTGAAGGGAGGAATGTCAAAGAATTTGAATACATATATATATTTATTATTTATATATTTGGCTGCACTGGGTCTCCACTGCTGTGCGAGGGCTTTCTCTAGTTGCAGAGAACAGGGTCTCTTCTCTAGTTGCAGCTGCATAGCACGGGCTCCAGGTCATGGGGGCTTCAGTGGTTGTAGCATGTGGGCTTCGTTGCCCCGCGGCATGTGGGATCTTCCTGGGCTAGAGTTAGAACTTGTGTCTCCTCCATTGGCAGGCTGATTCTTAACCACTGGATCACCAGGGAAGTCCTGAGTTCATATTTTAAACCAACACAGCTTGCAAAGCTTTGATGGTAGAGTCTGTCCTGAGAAGCCATATTGGGAAGCTTTGCTTTAGCAAAACCTCACTAGAACATCACCCCACACCTAGAAAGACTTCCCAAGACATCTTCCAGCTCCTGAGTGTCTGTTCCAGGACTCCCCTTAGAAACTCTTGCGAATTCCCACATCCCCATAGGTGGCCCCCTCAAAACAGCTACAGTCCCCTCCACTCCCATGAAATGCCCTCAGTCCCGAGTGTCCTGAAATGCCCCCAAGCTCCTAGGAGGCTCCCTTTCTGAGCCTGCTCAGTGTCCCACTCCTCATTCTGCTGCCCTAGGTATGCCCTGATGTCCCGGTGCTGGGAGCTAAATCCCCGGGACCGGCCAAGTTTTGCAGAGCTGCGGGAAGACCTGGAGAATACGCTGAAGGCCCTGCCCCCTGCCCAGGAGCCGGACGAAATCCTCTACGTCAACATGGATGAGGGTGGGGGTCATTCTGAACCACTTGGAGCTGCTGGAGGAGTGGACCCCCCAACTCAGTCTGACCCCAAGGATTCCTGCAGCTGCCTCACCGCCGCCGAAGTCCATCCTGCCGGCCGCTATGTCCTCTGCCCTTCTACAGCCCCCGGCCCCACCTTGCCTGCTGAAAGGAGCTCCCCAGCACCCCCGGGGCAAGAGGATGGCGCCTGAGACCACCCTCCACCTGGGACTTCCTCTCAGGACCCAAGCTAGGCACTGCCACTGGGGGACCCGTCCCCTACTTTCCCACTCCAGACCTTACCCCCAACCATAGCCCTCTCTTCCTACCTGTTCCACTTCCATTCCAGACAGATTCTCTCCCTTTTCCACACCTTGGTGTCCCCATGTGTAAAAGAAAGGGACTGGACTGAAATCCCTGAGGGCCCACCCAGGTCTAACATTCCAAGATTCTAGATTCTAAGGTTTAAAGAGTCTAGATTCAGAGGTTCTAAGTTTCAGAGCTGAGTTTTTCGTTCTAAAGACTTGGGATTCCAGTCTCTAATTCTAAAATGCTAAGGTTCTAAACACAGAAGTTCTAAGGCCTACATTCTAAGGCTCTGAGATGCTTTGGCTTTAGACTTCTCTGGTTCTAAGATTGTTCATAAAGCCCATGAAATTTTAGGTTACAAAGCTCTAAGATTCTATTTCTAGAATCTGAGACTCTGTGATTTTAGATTTTATTTTTCTAGGGTTCTGAGTCCTGAGGGTGTAAGATACTAGATCCTACAATTTTAAAAATCCTACAGTTCTAGACATGGAGGTTCTAAGGTCTTATGTTTTAAAATTTGAAGTTCTGAGCCTCTTAGAGTATAACTTTTCTGGTTTTAAGACTCCAGATCATAAGGCTTCAAGATGTGATCTTCTCAAGTTCTAAGATTCTAATGATGGTCAATGGCAGAGTCTAAGGCTTTATGATCCTCGAAACCCTTGTTATAAGACTGTGGATCCTAAAGATCTAAAATGCTAGCATCTGCAATTCAAGAGTTCTAATAGTCTAAAGATGGAGGTTCTAAGGTCTAATGTTCTAAGATGTGATGTTCTAAGGCTTAGTCTAAGAACCTAGATTCTCTGTGTCTAAGATTCCAGATCACATGCTTCAAGATTCTAGATTATTAAACTCTAAGATTCTAATGTTGTTCTGTTCTGTGTTCCAAGGCACTCTAGATCCTATTGGTCCAAGATTCTGGATCCTCAGCATCTGTGGTGTAGATACTCCACAGTTAGTGGTGACAAACTGGATGCCAAAGTTCTAATCATTTTTAATTTTGGACACCTTTAAGTTCTATGCTGCATCTTCTCTTTCTAGGATTTTAGTTAAGGGTCTAGGAATTCATGGTTCTAAGTCTTATGATTCTGGGTTCCAAGATTCACATGTTATAAGATTCTAAACATCTAGAATTCCCAAGTAAAATTCTGAGGTTCTAACCTTATAGTTTTATCCTGTGTGACCCTTCCCTTCTTAGCCACCTCTGCTTCCTCTTCCTTTCATGTGGGGGTGTGCCCCCTCAAACCTGTGCAATGCATTAAGGACGCCTCCTTTCCCCAGAGGACAATATCCCTCCTTCGGGGGCCATATTGCCCCCCTGAGCCAGTCCTTTATGCCCCCTGAACAGAGTGTATACTCGGGCACCTTCAGCGGGGCTCAGATCACATAAAACTTTGTAACCATGCTTCTGTCTCCTCTTGTCTCCACTTATGGTCCTTTTCCCAGGCAACTCAGCATCTGTAAATTTGGAGGGTTTGGTGGGGTCTTGGAGTTCCCCCCTCACTAAAGAGGGTAGGTGTGAACAGATACAAAGACAAAAGGATAGGCAAACAAAGAAAAGCGGACTTGCCAGACTCAACGAAACCCCTAGTGAGGAATAAGCACATAGATACTCACAGGGTCACACAGAGATCCTCCCTATTTCCCAAAGTAACAGACTCATCAATTAAAGGACAAACTCAAGCACTCTTGGTCACAAATAGAGAGACACAAATTCAGACAGAGAAACACAAAATTACATAAACATGTTTACAAATATGCACCGGCAGGCGGTCAACCAAGAATAAGAAGAAACTTGAGTAACTAGAGTAACACAGATACAGACACAAATACTCAGACATATAGAGTACTTAGGGGGCTTCCCAGGTGGCACAGTGGTAAAGAATCGCCTGCCAATGCAGGAGGAGCGAAAGATGCGAGTTCAATCCCTGGGTCGGAAAGATCTCTTGGATAAGGAAATGCAACCCAGTCTAGTATCCTTGCCTGATGAATTCCATGGACAGAGGGAGCATGGGAGGCTACAGTCCACGGGGTGGCAAAGAGTCGGACATGACTGAGCACACACAGACACACAGAGCCAAACGTTCAGAGTCACATAGAAACACAGGCACGGACTACCGCCGGTAACCACGGGCCCACAAAGGGACTCCTGCCAAGACAAGCCCACTGTGTTTTGCACGAATCATAGGCAAAAGTTCCTGGGTGTGTCTAGCAACAGTCGGAGGAACCCTTGGCAGCGCCCGGACGCCCCCCAGTGGTGGGTCCTGAGAATGAAAAACAGTTCAATCCGGGCCACAAACTTTTTTAGAACAAATCATTGTGGGAAGCTGGGAGGAGAGAGGAAGTCGGACGTGGGCGAGGGGCGGGGTGTCTGGACTGGAACCTACTGGCCCACGTGAGTGTCTGTCCCGCTTCTGAGTGGGTGCTGTGTGTGTAGGTTGCCGTGGTGTAAGCTTGTAGTGTAACTGTCCTGTGTCTATATCGTTTGATGCTGCCTGCTTGTGCCAACCTTAATGGGCACATCTACATCGCAGTTCGGGGTACTATCCCCTGAATGGATGGATCTGATCCTACACACGCCATTTGTTTATCTATGTTGTGTGTGCGCCTTTGCCTAAGTAGAGGTTGTGTATGGATTTTGTGGGGTTTAGGTATGGCTCCGTGGGCAGCGGGCATTTGCATTGCGTATCTCGATAGTGTACCTTCCAGAAGTTTTGTGTCTTTTGAGTTGAGAGGCGACAGGGTTAGACATTGTGAAACTGTGGCGTTTAACAGAGCCTTAACTACGGACCTGTGTGTTTGAGCTTATATTGACGCCAAACAGGCGGATCTATTGAACAGTAATTAAGGATTTGTGGTAGAGACCTCTGAACTTGAGGTCTTTCCGGAGGGAAAGGCTCTATGATCGCGTGCAGAGCGCCCATTCACTTAAGATACCAACCATAAAGACGGAAGCTCAGCTACGATCGTGGAAGGAGGCGCTCGATGAGATGTACTATCAAAGGGGAGAGGGTGCGATTCCCCGTTATAACTTTTCTCCCGCTGTTAGCCTAGCGTTTATTTTCAAACCTTCAGGACTCTGAAGTCAAAGGGTTGCTTTTCTTACAGACAACTGAGTTTCTTCCAGATTAAGAATAATTTATCTACTTAATCTCGATTTCATATACTTCCTCTACAGCGAAATTTGTAAGGCCGTCCGTAACCAGAATGGCCAATCTATTTAGGTTTTCCTAAAACCATGCAACTCTACTAGCTTTAGTGAGATAAGTCAGTAACTGAGATTGGTGGACAGATTGTTTTGAAACCGCCCTAACGGCAAGGGGCAGGTCTTTAGTGAATTCATCTCTTTCCGGTTTCTTAAAGGCAATCGTGAGAGGAGGAGGGGGGAGGTCTGCCGACTCTCCATTTGATTGGTTCTGGTGGTTTTACCCGCTTGGACGCCTCTGGGGCGGGAGATTTAGACCAATCAAGATATGTGTTACAGAGACACTAGTTTGATGAAAGGACCGCGCAGGGAAGGCCGTGCGGCGCTCATTCTGAGACCCCATCACTGATTGGTCCAAATCTTTACTCTCTTTCCCTCATTTGACCCTACGGGAGCGGGCGCGCGGGCACTACCCAATCACCGCGCGCTCCTCCTCCCTCCTTTTCCCGCCCTCCCGTTTTGGCCCCGGCTTCGACGTAGGCCAACGCTTCCTCCCCGGCAGCTCCTAAGCCCTTTCATTGCCGTTCTTTTGAAAGACGCGCTCTGATTGGTTGAGCTCTTGGCCCGCGCCCGTTGCCCCTATGAGGTGGCCAATTGGCAACCGTGTTGCATCGCGCCTGGCCACGGAGGAGGGGGGAGGTGGCGGCGGCGGCCATTTTGAGCCGCCGCCGCCATTGGAGTGGGGGGCCCCCCCCTTTCCCCCTTCGCCTGCTGACAGGAAAGGTTTAAGGGGGACAGAGCCCTGGGAGGCCGGGCCGGGCTCGGGGGCCGCCCCGGGGGCCCGGGCCATGGATGTGCGCCGTCTGAAGGTGAACGAACTTCGCGAGGAGCTGCAGCGCCGCGGCCTGGACACTCGCGGCCTCAAGGCCGAGCTTGCTGAGCGGCTGCAGGCGGCGCTGGAGGCCGAGGAGCCCGACGACGAGCGGGAGCTCGAGGCCGACGACGAACCGGGGCGACCCGGGCACAACAACGAGGAGGTCGAGACCGAGGGGGGCTCCGAGCTGGAGGGGACCGCGCAGCCACCGCCGCCCGGGCTGCAGCCGCACCCGGAGCCCGGCGGCTACTCGGGGCCGGACGGACATTGTGAGAGTGCGCGGGGCGGGGGCCGGGGAGCCCGGGCTCCGGGCCGAGGAAGGGCTGTGGGACGCGGGAGTCCGGCGCCTGAGGTCGGGGAGAAGGTCTGAGGATCGGGGGATACCGCTCCCCGCCGCTGAAAAGGATCGGGGGACGAGGCCCGCGGGACGACCGTAGGGTGGATCCTGGCATTCGGCGCAGGGAAGATACTGGAGTGGGGGCTTTCGGTTTCGGAGATGAGGAAGGTCCGGGGTGGGGGTGTACAGGATTCCCGAGCCTACGGCTCAAAAACCGGAAGCCGTGGTTTTTGGAACCGAAGACAGTCGGAAGAACAAGGGATCTCTTTTAGGAGACTGAGATCTTAAAGATGGTGATCTTAAGATTTGGAGCTGGGTAGGCTTGGGAGCCGTGTTTTCAGGGCTGGGAGCGTTTTGAGGATGGAGGATCCTGGAGTTTGCTGCTGGATGGGGTACCGGGGGATTCTCGTGTTTGTTATTGGGATGGGTTGGTAAGATGGAGTTCCGGTGTCTAGCCAGGGGAGGGTCTGACGGACTGTGCGTTCTGGTGGTTGACTGGGGAGCTTTTAGGGGATGCGAGAGACTACTATGTGTACCATGGGGTACACCTATCAGTCTGAGGACGGCCAGGGGCGGGGGAGTCTCAGATCCAGGGCTGAAAGGCCAGCCTTGAGGCACGGGCAACCTGGGCGTTTGATGCTGGCCATCTGGGGCCCTTTTGGCTGACTTTTAGAGAAGGTATATGGGAACATCGATGTTCAGAAGCTGGTGGGGGAGAGAATACTTCACTGAGTGAAGTACCTGGAGGTCTGGAGCTAGGAAGGCACTGGGGACAGATAACGCAGTGGCTCCTGCTGAATGGTCTTAGATTAACAATACAGGGTGTTTGGAGAGCAAGGTAGCTGGGGGTGGGTGGGGTAGATAACAAGTCTGTGGAGTTTGAAGTTAAGGGATTATCTGGGGGTTAGAGGATCCTTGCACAAGAAGAGTGTGTAGCTGGTGTGTCACATATAGGGAAGGGAAGAGTGTGTATGATGTGGAGGGTGAAAGAAAACTTGTTGACTTGGCAGGGGGCCTCAGGGTGAAGGGGGGGGGGAGTGTTTCTGGGGCTGAGCATCTCTGTGAGAGGGCTCCTCGGTCCCCAGAAGCAGGGTTTTTTGTGTGTGTGCCTAGGGATTGGAGAGGCCTCAAGGGGTAGTTGAGAACCTCTGCATCAGACATTCTGAAGGAGAAGAGATGAAGTAGATCTGTGACTTTCTGAAGGGAAGAGACCCCGGTATGGGAGGAAGTAAATCAAGTTAAAAACAGGTGGCTTTCTAGCAGGACAGGACATGGTAATTGGAAAAGATGAAGAGTAAGTAGAAAGGACTCTGGCATCCAGAGTTTGTTTCATTTACCTGAAAAAGAGGGTACCCTGCGCTGTGGAACTAAAGAAATGAGAGCAAGAGGATCAAATGAGGGAAGCAAGAGAATCAGGGAAGAGAGTAGATTTGGGGTTGGCACAGGGTATTTCTGTGTTGTCGTAGAGCAGGGCAATCTGAAGGTAGATTGGGGGTGGAGGGTGGTTGTCTAGGACTCAGATGCTGGGAGGAGTACTTCCCATTGCAGAGACGTGTCAAGGAAGGAGGAGTAGCCCAGTGTACCTGCCTAGGGCAGGCAGGACCCTGGCAGGAATGCCGATGGCTAGAAATGTCTCCAAAGAAAAGTGATGTGCTTTACGGCAGAGACTCTAGACTCAGATTTTTGTCTTGGGCAAGTCACTTCACCTCTGAGCTCTGGCTTCCTTGTGTGTAAAATTGGGATATAATAATAGTGCCCCCCTCCCTGCTTGGGGATGAATGAGATTACCTGTGTAAGGGGCTTAGCACTGGGCCTGCCTGTTAATAGGAGGTAAATGTTTTAGAGAACAGAGAAGGGCCCCAGAATCATAAGCTTCTCTGGGCGAGGCTTCCTCTGTGAGCTCAGGAGAGATTCTCGGAAAGAAAGATATGAGGCTTTTGTGGCAAGAACAACACTGCTTAGGGCCTGGAAAAAACGCAATGGTATGAAAGGGCCCCCTGTGTTCTAATTAAGGAGTTATTCTTCCTTTCTCTCCTATCCATTACAGCAAAATCCTTTGAGCCCCTTTTATGCCCCCCTCCAACCCTTCCTTCAGCCCTGGTAAACAGACCTGTAGCGAACCACGTGATCTGTATGACTGTCCTCCCTTTGGGCCGCACCTGGTTTGTGCCCAGATACATTTGTCCTCTGAGAAAGGATCCAATCAGTTGGCAAGCAGCAGAATAGTCTCTCCTTCCCCATGGTTCCGCCTCACTGGTCCTGGCACAGTCACTAGTAGGGCCCTGGAGGCACCTTGCAGAGCCTGCCCCTAGGGTGGAGAACCTGCTTGCTACTCAACCTAGGTTTCCAAAGTTCTCTCTAGGTTTGGCTACAGGGTTCTCCTTGAAGGAGTTTCAGATTTTAGTCCCATCTGTGAGCTTTCACATGTGTCACCCCACCCCCAGGAATGTTTTCTCCATTCTCATCACTGGGTTATCACCACTTATGTATCCTTTGAGTCCAAGCTTATCTGTTACTTTCTGGGTCCCTGATCTCAGCCCCTGGTACTTCTTCATAGCCCTTAATACAATACAATTTTTGTGCTTTCAGTTTTGTTTAATGTGTGTCTGTCTCACTAAGCTGAAATTTGTTCTTAGTTGTATCCTAGCATGTGGTGTGTAGTATGTACTCTACTCCATGAATAGTTGATATTGTGTTTTTGGTTTTTTTTTCTTTTTTTGGCCTCACTGCACAACTTGCGGAATCTTAGTTCCCCAACCAGGGATTAAACCCTGGCCCCAGGAGTGAAAGCACTAAATCCTAACCACAGGAAATTCCTTGATGTTGTTATTCTTGCCACCCTTCAGTTGAGTTCCTCCTGGATCCACAAAAACACCTTCCTGAAACACTTCCTGCCTAACTCCAAATGTTTTAGGGCTTATCCCTAATGAGTCTGAAGGCCACTATTATCATGACTCCTGTTTTCTTAACAGTTCCTTTTCCTTCCTCCCCCATTTCCCCTTCAACTGAGATGGTTACCCCTTATCTTTACAGCTGTTGCAGGGTAGAAGAGATTCATAAAGAGACTTGGCTCTGCAGGTGGGAATAGTGAATTGGTTGGATAGAGGACTGGTTTGTGCTCTGAACAGTTTTTAAGGTTGTACCTTAAAGGCAACTCCCTAAGCTTTATACCATGTCAGAGAACAGCTGGGCTGGTAATTTTTAAGCTGTGTTCATGGAGTTGCCCGCCACCCCAGTGGGGACTTAAAGGGGAGGTCAAGCTGGACCCCTTCTCCGACTTTCCCATCTCCTTGCTCCAACCAGAGCATTTCTGCTTCATCTGGTTTTATATGTTAGGATTCTGTAGAACCTAGTCACAGATAGATCTCTAACTTTTGAGGGGCAGGAGGGCCCGTCCTCAGGCAGCTGGGGCCCCTGACTGCCCAGGTGGGTTTCCATCGGAAGGTGTTTTCACATCTTTTGGCCTCTGGAAGACTGATTGTCCACAGTGGGGCTGGCATCATTTTGTTTTAAAAAGCTACCCCTAGTCCCAAGAAATACCCTTCTAACTGGCCATTTTTTGTTTTAAGATGTCATGGACAATATTACCATGCAGAACCAATTCTATGAGACGCAGGTCATCAAGCAAGAGAACGAGTCAGGCTACGAGAGGAGACCACTGGAAATGGACCAGCAGCAGCAGGCCTATCGCCCAGGTAGGAAAGCACATGTGATACATCTCATTTGAAGAAAATGTAATCTATGTGTGGGTGGCCTTTACCTTCTACCTACTGCCTTTCTTCCCAGAAACTTTGTATCTTCCTTTTAGGCAATACTTTGGGCTTAGTCACTCTGGCACGATCTTTTTGAAGGGAAGAAGTTAGTCTCTCTCACTCCCAAGTATGATAGGAGAGTCTTCAGGGTATCTGTTTTCAGATGTTAGTACCAACATCTTGGAGAGCTTAGACCTAGAGGCCAATATCTGAGTCCTACTTAGAATCTTAGAGTGTTGAAGCTAGAAAGGACCTTCGAAATCTAGTCTAGTATTGTTCCAGGAGATATTGCTAAGGACTTCTCAGAGAAGAGTTCCTTGGCCAAATGCATCTGAAAAATGCAGCATATACCTTGCCACCTCTGTGAGAGTCACTGTTCTCATTAAAGATGCTAAGAAGTCCTGGATTGGGAAAAACTCTGTGTCACATTGTTTAAACCCAGCGTTTCCCAAATATGTAAATGTGTCTTTGTAGAGCAAAGTTTTCTATGGTACAAGCTTGAAAAGCACAATTATAATGTAGATCTCTCTCCATTTTACAGATGGGGGAGGAGGTGGGCTAGGGTTGGATCCAGGAGATTTAATTGGCTTCTGGGCCACTGCTCTTGGTTGATAAGCAGCACTCCTTACCTAGTATTTGGGAAGTGGGGTCCTACTATTGAGTAGTGGCAGAGCCAGGACTGACTCCCAGTCTTGTGCTCCTTTCTCTGTGCTGTGGTCCCAGTGCCTTGTCGTAGTCAGTCCCGTTTGTTCTGTCTGATTCCATTCTGGTTCACCCACAAAGTAAAATCCCCAGACGTTTCTTGTGAGTGGCTCAGGATTTTAATGAATGTAGGTTACACTGCATTCTAAACTGTAGATTTGTGTCAGGATCTGTGAGACTTGTGGTATCATTTGGCCCAAGGAGACTGTTTTCTGTGCAGACATTTATCAGGGCCTCCCATGAGCCCAGTGCTGTGATGGGAACCAGGGAAGCTCTGTACGTGTGGGTGAGCACCATCTCTGCCCTAGCGAATGAGGAGCCTTCTCTGAGAGATTTTGTCTGTGTGCCAGAGCCAGGGAGTGCTCCAAGGTGGTGTTGAGTTGAATGCTGAAGTGTGTAGATGTGATGTGAGTGATCCACAGCATCCATAGATGAGGTGAGTCTGAATCCACAGTTTTCTCTTTGTAGGCACGGATTCTTGGAATCTGCCTGAGCGTGGGACATTCCTGTGGTCCACAGCGTGTTATCCCATCCTGACTTCCTATTTGTGGTGTGATTTAATGAGGCCATCCCACCTGTGGGCTGGCTTATACACAGACCCCTCCCTTCTGGAGCGCTTCTGGGCTTTGTAATAGTGATTAAAGCCTATGGAGTTAGGTGGGGGACCACAGCACTGCTGAACTGACTTTTCCCCTCCATTGCTAGACTGAAGAAGCTCTGTAAGAATTGAAGTGAAGAGATTCTTTGGGAGAAGAAATTATAGAATGCAAAATTGTGAAACGGTAGAAGTCTTTTAGGGCTCCCTCCTACTTGGTAGTCTCGATGGTAGCTCCCAACTTTCCCAGCTTTACCTTGCCTTTGGCAAGGAAGCCCAGGCAGTCATTCGCCTTTGATTAGGCCCTTAGAGAGCTTCTCCTTGTTTAGTGCTGAAGTTCCCTCTCCTCTCCATGAAGCCTGAGAATTATCTGACTGACATTTCTCACCCTGTCAACTGCTGGTGCTGCTGGGCCTGGATGGCCATCCCCAGCCTCTCTTTATCCTAGCCCTCTCCTCCAGTACAGCCTTTTAGGCTCCCTCAGCAGGCTTCCACTGAACCTAGCAAGAGCCTGGGCCCAGACCTTCACCACCATAGTCAGGATCCTGCCAGTATCTCCTGAAGTAGAGGGGACCAGAAAAGTGATAACTGAAGAGTTTCTGAGTGTCTTAACCATCTGGATTTGTCCTGACTATAGAAGTGAAGACAGAGATGAAGCAAGAAGCACCCACCAGCTTCCTCCCACCCGAAGCATCTCAACACAAACCAGACAGACAGCAGTTCCAGAGTCGCAAGAGGCCTTACGAAGAAAACCGGGGACGAGGGTACTTTGAGCACCGAGAGGATAGGAGGTGGGTCTGTGAGGCGGTGGTCCTCCTTTTTCCAGTAGGTCTCAGTGTCTGTAGCTCAGTGCCCACTGGGTCTGTTTACTAGCCAAGAGGGCAGAGCTGAGGTCTTGCTGCCCTCTCTCTCCCCCAGTTCTTCCTACACCCACTGCAGATTCAGGTTCGCTAAAGTTCAGATCCTTCCCTCAGCTTCTCCCTTCCCATTATTTAAAGGATGAAGTTCAAACACCTTGCCATTCACATGTGAGATGCCAGCCTGCCTTTTTAGTGTTTTGCCCCACTGTCCTGCATATGACTTGACCTGAGCATATGGTAGACTGAGGTCATCCAGACTGTCCCAGGGAGGACCCTATGCATTAGACTCCACACTTCTACCCCTTTCTCTTATTCCCATATGTTGGAAACAGCCAGTATTTTCACATAGTCCCTTTTAGTATTTTGGTCGGAATAAATTTTGTTCATGATTTAGGACACTTTTAAAAGAGAAGAAGACAAAAAATGGGTCATTTCAAATCCTTTCAGATGTGGAGTTTTGGGAAGCCTGGAATATGGACAGATTATAATAACAGGTTTATCCAAATTCTTACAGATTGCCCTTCCTGGCCCAGTACCCTTTGGGCTACTGTAACCTCCCATCAGTAGCAAAGGTCAATGTGAAGGCAGTGCTCAGCATGTAGAGGGGTGGATTAGAATCTGAGGGTGAGAGTCGTATTTTTTAAAAAAGTTCTTTTAATGATTCTCATGGCCCTCTTTAGCAGAGCACACACTCTCCAGTCCCTGACCCTGCCCTGGTAGTTAGTCATTGCTCTTATTGCAAGGATGTAGAGTTCCACAGTTCTTTTGCTAACCTCTGTGGGAAGAACTTGAAATCCACGAAGCAGCTTGGAGGCCACTTGTAAATTCCAGCAGAACCTTGAGGTCCCTTCTTTCCTTGTCCGTCTGTTCTCCTGTGACTGATACCTGTTTATGACACAGGGGGCGATCTCCTCAGCCTCCGGCTGAAGAGGATGAAGATGACTTTGACGACACGCTTGTGGCCATTGACACATGTGAGTCCTTGGAGTGCCTATTTAGTACTGTCTTCAGTCAGTGTAAGGAAACTGCCTTTGCCTTCACAAAATCCCCACCTGGCACCATCCAGAGCAGTGTTAGTTCAGATGTGAGAAATAGCAGATCCCTGGAGTCAGGGTGTTGGTTTGGAGACAGAAGATTTACTTCAGCTTTATCTGTGAGATTCTGGTCAAGTCATTCTGCTTCTCTAAGCTTCTCTTCAGAGAGGAAGAACCCTGCTCTTACACCTCAAGGGACTTTCAGTGACATTCATCAGAGAGCAAATTGGAAAACCCTGAACACCCTGTAAAGTTGCCATCTAATCAAGAAAGGAACCTGAGTGCTGCTGGAGAAACTTAACTCTTTGACAACCATTTCCCCAGTTTCCATCAACTGCTCACGTTCCTGGTGAAACCAATGCTGCCTCGTCTCCTCAGACGTTAACCTGGCCTGCCCTGCCCTCTCTGTCCCCCAGTTCAGTTTTGTTTTCTCTAGATAAGTGACTTCCCCCTTGACCGTGCATCTAAATACTTAGGGGAACAAATGTAGAGGTCCTGTCCCTCCTCAGGTAAACTCTTAAGTGGTAGAGCCTGTGAATCTGAATTTTTGAACACACCCAGAAGCCCAGTTAGGTCTGCACTTTTCAACTGAGCAGAAAGTTAATAGCTATTCATTCGTGTACTTATTTACATAGCTCACGTTGATAAACCAATGGCTACACGCTTTAAAAGAGGTAAAGACATCTCGTATACAGTCCCTTTTACCACAGGATTCTAAGGATTCAGAGTAAAAGTGAGCATTAAAATTTTAAGTATTGGGTGGCAGTGGTTCATGAAACAGCATCTGATTAAATGCCAAATATACAGACCATGGTACTCAGCCTTTAGAGAAAGGAGAGAGCCTACTGGACGAGACAGACAGGAAAGACTTTCCTGGAGACGTAAGTGGCTCCTGGAAGAGTGGAGAGAGTCTGAGCCACAGAATCCTAGGCCCGCGTGAGGAGCTGGGAGCCTGTGGTGCTCCTGACAGTGGTCCTGGGTGGTGGCTGTGGATCAGGGTCAGCTGTTTGTGCAGCTCCTGGCAGCAGGAGTCTGACTGATATCTCACACTGATAAGAGTTAGCATGGCAGATGGTTGACCTTTATGGTGTTGGGAGTTAATCTTTGCTAAATTCTAAAATCACTTGAGAGTAACCTTAAATTCTAGAATCACTTGAAAGGATATTGATACCCTCTCCCTAACAAGTGTGCGTGCTAAGTCACTTCAGTTGTGTCCGACTCTTCGTGACCCTATGGACTGTAGGCTCCTCTGTCCATGGGTTTCTCCAAACTGAAATACTGGAGTGGATTGCCATGCCCTCCTCCAAGGGATCTCCCAGACCCGGAGATTGAACCCATTGCTCTTATGTCTCCTGCACTGGCACGCGGGTTCTTTATCACTAGCCCCATTAGAGGCATGTGTGTATTACTTGCGGGAGCACCCTTGGCAGCCATCCTTGGACCCCAGCCAGGTGAGGAACCCTATTTCCTATGTGGAGTGGCAGCTTTCATCCTGTGCAATCCAGTTTGCAGTATTGCAGGGCGTTTGTCCCAGAAGAGAGAATGGCTAGGTGGTGTGGCTGGTTTCTCAGGAACGTGTCCCCACAGCATGTCAGCTTGTGTACTTTTGGTTAACACTCTTTGGAAACTTACCTCTGCCTGTCCCTCTGGGGACCATTAAAACATCAGCCAACTACAGGCTTTTTCCTCCACAGATAACTGCGACCTCCATTTCAAGGTGGCCCGAGACCGGAGTAGTGGCTACCCGCTCACGATTGAAGGTTTTGCATACCTGTGGTCAGGAGCCCGTGCCAGCTATGGGGTCAGAAGGGGCCGTGTGTGCTTTGAGATGAAGGTGAGTGGGAACAACAGAGGGATGGGGACAGAAAGCAGGTCCATCCTTGGTCAGAGCCATGATTGCAAAAAAGATTTGATTAAACATGAATTTTATGTTCAGGCCAAAGAAAAAGTAAAATGAACTCAGGAGAACTGTGTCATTGCTAAATATTACATGGGGAAAGCAAGACGACCATACGTTGCTTCATTAAGCGGATTTTTTCCTTGACGGGGTTTGACCTAGGTGCTGTATAGCCAGCCATTTGAGGGTGACATGTTTGTAGAGCTGGGGAAAGGAGTTGTTTGGAAGAATGGTGAGCTGGAAAGAATTGGCCCTGGCCAGTTAAAGGGAGGCGAGGCGAGAGTGGGGCAAAGAAAGGTTCTGCTATCCGGATACCCTCTACCATTATCTCTCTACAGTTCCGCGTCAAAGTGTATTTATGAAAATAATACCTGATCATGTTCAGTAAAAGGTCAGATAGCACAGAAGAGTAAAAACCTTCTTCACATCCTCCCAGCCCCTATCCTACCCTCTAGAGATACCTTATGTGTTAACAGTTTCTTGTGTATACTTTGTATATCCAAACTTATTTATGATAGCTAATCTCTATAGAATACTTTGCATGTGCTAGGTAGAGTGCCAAGTTCTTTCCATGGAAATCTCCATTAATCCTCAGTCTCATCACAAAATATGTACTCTTGTCCCCCCCTTTTCAAGAGGTAGAAACTAAGACCAAGGGTTTTTGTTTTTGACTGACTAAGACACTTGATTCTAAGTTGCATTGTTTTGTGTGCATAGAGAAGCTGCCAGTTATACTAACATAGTACTTTCAGACATCAATTGTAAGATATATACTGATTCGAGATGTTAAAATGTGAAAAACGTGTGTCCAAAAGTTATGAGTAAGTTTCCAAAAGTCTCAAATTAATAAGTATTGGTTATTAGATAATCTAACTGCTAATTAAAAGTTAAGTCAGGAGGTGCCTTTTTTTTTTCTGCTCCTTTTAGTTAATACTATAACTTGAACAGTTTTTTGTACCAGTGTATTAGCCCTGCTTCATTCTTTTTAACTGCTGCATCATTCTGTGGCGTGGATGTGCCTTCATGTGACTGGTACTTTACAGATGGTTTTTTTCTTTCTTCCTCTTCCCCTCTCTTCCTTCCTTCCTTTTCAACATAAAGACCACCACACTACATATTTTTGTGTGTATATATCTCTAGGATAGACTGGAAGTTGAATTGCTTGGTTTTAGAGCATGTGCATTTGCTGTTAATAATAAGACTGCTAAGTTGCCCCCCAAAGACATTACACCAATTTATGTTTCCACACCAAATATTGTGAGTCCCTGTTTGCCTTGTAGCAAGTATTAAAGCTAAAAAATAACTAGTTTTAGAATTCCCATCTCTGTGGCCCTGAACTCGCCTGAGCCTTCTGGAGGCCCTGGTTTCAGTATAGCTGGCCCTTCACACAGCTCAGATACATTTCCCCAGCCACAGAAGCCATTCCTGTTTTTTTAACATCTGTGCACTTCTCACCTGTTTTGCTTTCTAAACTGTCAGCCTCCAGAGAATCAGTTCTGAGCCTTCTTTTTCTCTGTCCCCAGATCAATGAAGAAATCTCTGTGAAGCACCTTCCATCTACAGAGCCCGACCCACATGTGGTCCGCATTGGTTGGTCCCTGGACTCCTGCAGCACTCAGCTAGGTAAGGGAGGTCAGCCAAGCAGTCCAGAGAGTAGAGCAGGTGCCTTGATCCCTGGATTCTCAAGCATCCTCAGCTTCTGTCTCCCGCATTGGACCCAGATCAGAACTACCCTGGGGTGGAATAGACAACAGGGATTAGGTTTGTGGTGCTGCCTAGCTTCAGACTTACAGGGTTCAACTGGAAGGACCACAGTCCTACAACAGCTTTTCTACAAAAAATGTATCCTTCATCTTTAAGAACAGGGTCCAAAGTTCTCTTCAGAAAACTGCTCCCTTTAAAAAAACAAACAAAAAAAAGACCAGTTGTCTCCTGTTCTCAAACCAATGTGAAAGTAATAAGGTCCTCAGCTTTCATTGAGTTCTGTCTGGAATCTTCTGTCCAGAGCCTAACCCAGAGTAAAAGAGAAAGCAAAGACCAGTGGGGCCAGGGCTGGCTGGCGGAGAGGGGCAGGGAGGGGCTGTCTTGAGAGGTTTTGAATTTTCAGATTCCCCAGGTCCTAATGACTTTCTGGCCCCAGGTGACTGATTTCAGTGACCCATGGTGAGACTTTCTTGATCGTATAAAGATTCTGATTGAAAATAACGTCTGCTCCTTGTGAAAATTCAGGCCATTACAGAGAGGGGGAAATGAAAATTCCTCTAAACCTGTGAGATAATGACCAGTATTAACATTTTCATCTGCATTCTTCCAGGCAGTTCTTTTGTTCTTTGTTTATTTCAAATGGGATATGTTATAGAACTTTTTTGTAGCCTGACTGCTTTTTCCCACTTAATATTGATGGTTATATTTTTGTAAATAAGTATAGGTTTTTTGAATACTGCATAACTTTTCATTTTATAATTGTATTACCTATTTATAAATGTTTTGTAGGTCATTTATGTTGATTACAAAATTTTATAGTAAAACACTTGAGCTCTCCTTGTATGTAATTAGTCTGAGCCGTAAAAGTAGAAATGGTAGGTTAAAAGCAGTGTAGTTTTCATTTTGATGTGTATTAGTAGTTTTATTTAAGATTCATGTCATCTCCTTTTATCTTTGTTTCAGTTTTGAGAGGTAAATGGAGAATAGTTGATACAGATAAACATGTAAAGCCCAGAACAGTCAAGCAGATGTCCAGGTTACACAGCTGATTCAGGCTAGAGCTGGGCCTGGAATTCATGCTTGTTGGCGCCTGCTTTACTGGCAGAACTTAGGTTTCTGGCCTAATATCTGTGTAACTCAGATGTTAGCCAGGGCCCTTGGGTTCTCAGTCATCTTGCTTCAGAACCCAGTTTTGTAGCCTGAGGCAATCAGTACCTTTCTTACGTGTTAGACCTCGTGGTCTGCAGAAGCAAAACCTCTTTACTGATTTCTGACCAAAACTCACTGACACCAAAAACAGACACTGTTAGGAGACTTAACTGAATGTTGAATGTCACAGGGAAGAAATGTGCCTTAGTGTACAGCCTTCCTCCATCCTGGCTTCTCTCTTCCCTCCTCCCTTTTTTCCCCAGTTCTCCCTTTCTGTTCAAAGCAGTTTAGGTCAGCTTAAACTCTCAGACTTAACACCTAAAGCCATCAAACCCTCAGAAACTCTGCATGGTGAAGGGCTTCCTTTCAATGGAAACTTTCTTACCACCTCCCCCAAAAGCACCTGATTAGTAAAACTGGCAAAGAAAATGTTTCTTTCATTTGTTTTAATTTAAAACTATGTAACAGCCATAAAGGCCATTGTGACCAGCACAGGTTTAACCTGACTTTGCCTGTTTCTTCCCTCAGGTGAAGAGCCTTTCTCCTATGGCTATGGAGGCACTGGGAAGAAGTCCACTAATAGTCGCTTTGAAAACTATGGAGACAAGTTTGCAGAGAATGATGTAATTGGCTGCTTTGCGGTGAGTGCTGGCAGCCCGTGGGAGTTGAGAGAACCGAATGTTGGTCCTGTGAGGTCAGCCTGCAACGTTTTTCTCAGAATACCTCTGTCCGTTGTCTGCGCTTTGTCCAGCCGCTCTTGCCATACCTCTGTTTCTCTTTGACACACTGAAATGTTTGTGGTCATTTTGTGCAAAATTCTGCCATTCTTCCCCCTGGTCTTTTGTGCAAAGTCCTCAGATGGCATCCTGAAGATGTTTGGGGATGTCAGACGTGTACAACTCCTAGATACCAGAGTGACATTTCCTAAGCAAACTAAGGAATTACTTCCCTTTGCTATAGAATAGTCTGCATGCACAGGTGCTCAATTGTGTCCGAATCTTTTCAGGCCCATGGCTGTGGCCTGCCAGGCTCCTCTATCCATGGAATTTTCTCCAAGAATACTGGAGTGGGTTGCCATTTCTTTCTCCAGGGGATCTTCCTGATCCAGGGATCAAACCCTTGTCTCTTGTGTCTCCTGCGTTGACAGTCAAATTCTTCAGCATCAGCACCACCTGGGAAGCCCATGGAATAGCCTATCTGTTCTCAAGGGCAGTGGTGTTGGCTCTTGCCCCCACTTTAGCATCATCTCATTCCAGATCTTCTCCCTTCCTTCACCTCATTGGTTTAGCCAGGCTTCCAATAGTGCATTGCCTTTTAGGAGGATGGGATGGATGCAAAAAACAGAACAAGATAGAAGAGACCTGAACTGCTGCTGAACTTTAGTCTCTAAGAGCAGTGACCAGCACTCACAGAGGTGTAGAGTGTGACTGATGGTTCTAGGGCTGGAATCCCTAGCCCCAGACCCAGTCCCTGCTTTTCAGCTCATAGGCCTGGACAGGCTGCCCTCCTTGTGTTTCAGTTTCCTCTCAGTGAGAATTCTCACACCTACCTCAGAATTTCATGTATTGTCATTAAGGTAAACTGTTAGAAGCACTTACAACAGTGTCTGGCAGAGAATGAATGCTCAGGAAATACTCTTTAACACTGTGACCATTGGAAGTTAAATGTCTAAGGATATGCCATGCACCCCCAGGAGAGTGGTTGGCCAGGTGAGTGCTTCCTCTTGGCCCGGTTCCCTCTCCCTTCTCCCTCTTTCCCTCATAGTTATGTACACGGTACTCTTTTTTTTTCTTTCTTTCTGTCTTTTTTTCTCCCCTCTTTGAAAGAATTGCCATAGAACCTTGTCCAAATTCTAAAGTTTGCTTTACTGTTTTTCACAAATATATGTATGTGTATGTATATGATTTTTATCTGACCTGTTTGAGAGTAAGATGCCTACCTTCTGTCTCTATTCCTTAATATTTTAGCATGCATTTCTTAAGAATAAAGCTATTCTCTTAACCACAGTAATCAAATTTAATGTTGATTTAATGCTATTATCTACTCCAGAGTCCACGGTTAAATTTTGTCAGCTGTCCCAGCAGCATCCTTTAGCACAATTTGGTTTGTAGTTCAGGATCCAGTCCAGGATCACTGATTGCGTTTTCTTGTCATGTCTTTTTAGTCTAAAACAATTTCTCAGTCTTCCTTTGTCAGTCATGACCTCATTATCTTTTTAATAAAAAGCATGTTTTCTTGAATAAAAATTAAGCATGTTTATATTCTGCACACTGTTCCAAACCTTGCATTTTTTTTTTAATTTAACAGTAAATCTCAGCTATCTTTCCCCTGTCTGCACAGAAAGTATAAATCTAACTCAATTTAAAACACTGTTGGATAGTTAATAAATTCTTATGGTTTTCAAATATATTCAGAAATACAGAAAGGTATACAGTATAAAGTCTTCTTCAGACCCTTCCCCTCCACCTATGGTTCACATATGCCCTCCCCTACACATGAACCCACTGGTACTCAGCATTTCTTTATCAAAGGTGGTTGTTATTTTTTTTCTTCTACACAAAAGGTAGCATATTACACATGTTATTCTGTATCTCTTTGTTTAACTCTATATCTTAGATGTTTTTTTTTAAAATATCATTACCTAGAGGACTTCTTTGTTCTTTTATATAGTCTGCAGTCATTGTGTTGATCTACTACATTTATATAATCAGTCCTTTCTTAATAGATATTTGGTTAATTTCTCATCGTTTTACTTAGTGGCTTCCTAGTATTCTGATGTAGGTGTCAGTTTCCCCTGGTGGACCTGAAAGTTATTTCTTGGAACAGTTGATGCTTCAGTTACCAGAGTATCTTGGAGAGCTTTTCATGTTCCCATTCATGGATGTCCTGTGTGATGTAGTCTCCCACTTCCCCATTGGAGCACATTTAGCAGTGTTGGAGTGAACAGTTTGCACATTCTTATATTCTTGTGGGCATACAGTTGTAGGATATATGCTACTGAAAGCATAAATTCTGAGTCAGAGGTATAGTTTTAATTTTTGATAGCTACTGTGAAGACTGTACTCCAACTCCAGAGAGGTTGTAGCAGTTTAATGTGTCATCAGCACGTGACTTGTGTTCCCCAAGCTCTCTCATTTGGGCGTGACATTCTGAGTGTGTGGCAGTTGGGAACTTTGTGCCTTGACTCTTGCTTCAACCAGTTCACCTTTACTTCTGTTTTTTAAGACTCTGTTCAGTTTCCTGTGTTTAAAGGATCAGTTCAGTTCAGTTCAATTGCTCATTCATGTCCGACTCTTTGCAACCCCATGGATTGCAGCATGCCAGGCCTCCCTGTCCATCACCAACTTCCGGAGTTTACTCAAACTCATATCCATTGAATCGGTGATGCCATCCAGCCATCTCATCCTCTTTTGTCCCCTTCTTCTCCCACCTTCAGTCTTTCCCAGCATCAGGGTCTTTTCAAATGAGTCAGTTCTTCACATCAGGTGGCCAAAGTATTGGAGTTTCAGCTTCAGCATCAGTCCTTCCAATGAATATTCACGACTGATGTCCTTTAGGATGGACTGGTTGGATCTCCTTGCAGTCCAAGGGACTCTCAAGAGTCTTCTCCAACACCACAACTCAAAAGCATCCATTCTTTGGCCCTCAGCTTTCTTTATAGTCCAACTCTCACATCTATACATGACTACTGGAAAAACCATAGCCTTGACTAGACGGACCTTTGTTGACAAAGTAATGTCTCTGCTTTTTAATATGCTGTCTAGGTTGGTCATAACTTTGCTTCCAAGGAGCAAGTGTCTTCTAATTTCATGGCTGCAGTCACCATCTGCAGTGATTTTGGAGCCCCCAAAAATAAAGTCTGTCACTGTTTCCACTGTTTACCCATCTGTTTGCCATGAAGTGATGGCATCACTTTAAAAGATTCAGAGCGAAGGGTTAAGAAAGGGTGTGAAAAATCAGTGACCTGAAGGGGGGAGTAGGGAGGACATTTGTGTCAGAGCTTGAGTTCTCGGCATTCACAAAACAGGACCAAATGACCTTCCAGGTGGAGAGAACAGTATAACTCACTTCGGCAAATCATAAGGAATAAAATACTTGGAGCCTCAGGAACAGCACAAAGAGGTGTGAGAGGTGAGGCTGTGAAAACACACACTTTGAACAGTTCCAGGCTTAAGGACTTTGGGTCCTTAGGCCCTGGAGTGGCATCCACGAACATTTTAGCAGAAGTGACACAATTAGACTTGTGTCCTTGACTGTTGGCCCTGTTGTGCTGGGTTTGTCAGTTGAGGGTGCTGGTTTCCATACAGTGAGGTAAGTTCCTATAGTGAAGCTGGTGGACATAAAAAAGGTTAGCCCCTGTCATGTTCATTTCCACAACAGAGCAAAAGTGACCTGGGCCATTCTTGCTCAGGTGAGAAGATACGGGAGGGACCATACTGCAGGGATTGAGGCAGGATTTAGTCCAGCAGATGTTTGTGTGTCTGCCCTGCGTGATCTCTACCTGTATGGGCGCTTACAGACACAAAGGACCATGTAGAACTATGCCCTGTGACCACTGAGGAGGGTGGCGAGGAGTCTCCTTGGGGGAAGGGGGCTTTCACAGCTGCTCAAAGACAAGTCCCAAGATGGTCTCTGCATGCAGGAGGGAAAAGAATACAACTCAGCCTTTGCTCCTGTCTGCTGTATGACCCCAAATTTTGAGTCTTCCTTAATTATTAACCTTTGCCCTGCAGCTGAAGTGATCTTTGTGAAACACAGTTTTGACTAGGCAATTCTGCTCTTAGGAGCAAGTCAGGGGCTCTGCTCTGCTGCCATCAGCAGAAATCCAGACTCCTTCCCCACCCCCATGCTTCAGTCCAGAGCAGTGTCTGGCATCTGGGAGTGAGACCACCCACTCGTGCTCTCATTCTGTAGGAAATGCATCAACCTGTTTAGTCTTTAGCATAACTCTTGCTATATGGTGGAATCTTTTTTGATAAGGAAACTGAAGATGTAGTAAATGGTAGAACTAAACCCATCTACCTTCCTAAACAGGATCTTGACACTAAACCTCAGCTGATCAGTAAGAACTCAATGAATTGTTGAATTAATGAATATGGTCCCTTCCAGCTGTCCAGCTGTACCTGAAATTACCACCTCCCAGTTCTTTATGTTTCAGCCAGTCTGACCCTGTGTCCTCTCACTGCCAGATTTGTACATAATCACTTCTCTTTAGGACTGTCTTCTCTCACCCCAAACTTGGCTCGTTCCCGTTTATTGTTCAGGACTTGGCTTACAGGTTCCTCCTCAGAGAATCTTGATCCTGCGTGTGTGTTCTCACTGATTTAGGATAATGTCTTTGTCTGGTTCCCCACTAGGCTCTGAGCTCTTGTCAGGCTCAGATGACTAGAATATGCATCAAGAAGAGCAGGAACTCAAGGAGCACGTGTTGAACATATAAATGGATGCACTTGTGGAGCCAGGCTTGGCTTAACAGGCTCTGCTGTGAATTTCTTTCCATCCATTATCTTGTGGGAGTTGAGAATGGACAGGACAGCTTTCTCTCCATCTCAGGCTAGGCACAAGACTCAAATACTTGGAACTTCCTAAAATTACACACTTCACATCCACTTCTGGGTTATGGCCAAAGAGGGCCTTGGGCTGTATATGGTCTGAGCCATTCCTTGGGGCTGGCGGATGCATCTATATGTTGAGGAGGGCTGCACTTGAATCTGGGGCGAAGCTGTTACCACCCCCTACATCTGCTCCCTGACTCATGGTTCCTGGTACCTTATGCAGAGCATTGGAACTTACCTTTCTTTGGATTTTTTTCCCTAGGACTTTGAATGTGGAAATGACGTGGAACTTTCCTTCACCAAAAATGGGAAGTGGATGGGCATTGCCTTCCGAATCCAGAAGGAAGCCTTAGGGGGTCAGGCGCTCTACCCTCACGTCCTGGTGAAGAACTGTGCGGTGGAGTTCAATTTCGGGCAGCGGGCAGAGCCCTACTGTTCCGTCCTCCCAGGCTTCACCTTCATCCAGCACCTTCCCCTGAGTGAGCGCATCCGGGGCACCGTCGGACCAAAGAGCAAGGCAGAGTGTGAGGTGAGGGGCCTGGAAGCCTGCCTGGGTGGCCACCTCTGCAGAGCCACGCTGCTGCCTAGACAGGAGGCCTGCCCGCAGCTGAGTGTGGCGGAGCTGCCTAGTTTCGGGGAGAGTGAGGGGGTGTGGGCGTGGCTTAGGCCAAAGAGGGCAGGGCTATCGTAACTAAATACCAGAAAGATCCCCGAAGTTGCCACAGTGCTCCTCGAGTGAGGTCAGAATCTTGAGAAAGGAGGCCGCCCAGCAGAAAAAGGATGCGAAGGCACTTTCTGGTGAGCAGGTTCTTGGAGGAGGTTGTGTGGCTCCACACTCCTGCCCAAGCCTGTCTGAGAACCAAAATGACACCTGGGCTTGGAGCTGATTCGGCCGCAAAAGCTGTACTCCTGGTCTTGGTTCTCAAATAATTTTTTTTGTTTTTTCTGGTGTATAAGTGATTTTGCGTTTATTCTAGAAAATTAATATAAAGGAGAGTTTCCCGTAATTCCACCATCTACAAATGTTTCCTTTTAAGTGTTTTGAAGTTTATCCTATGCTTTTTTCTGTATTAGGTACTAGTTTTACACATATTTTATTATTGATATCTAACAGTATAAGTAAGCATTTTGATACCCTGCCTTTTCACTTTACATTTTTGGTGTGCTTTTATCTTAACTACGTGAACACCTTTTTGAAATTCATTGTTAGTAGCCTCACAAACTATTTTCCTCTTCTTGGACATTTCACTTGCATCCAGTGTTTGCCAAATTTTAAACATACTAATTAGAAATGGTGCTTGTCCTTGCACATACATTTGTCGCCATCTGAGACTCCAGGAATGTTGTACCTCTCCTTGTGCCTATTCTGTGGGCCTTTCCCTGTCAGACACCCCTGAATGCTGCCTAAACAGAAATGTTAATATTCATGGTAACAGCAGGCCCTCTGCTGAAAGTCTCACAACCCTCATCTGTTTCACTCCCAACAGCAATACTGTGAGGTAGACACTGTTAACTGCTTCCATTTCCCAGAGATGGCTGTGAGGTTTAGAGTTACCCTCACGGTCCCCAGTGAGTGGTGATGCCAGGCTGCCGTGGTACACACTGTTCACCGCACCCGTCTTGGGTCCTGTTCTCGTAGATTCTAATGATGGTGGGCCTGCCTGCTGCTGGGAAAACCACGTGGGCCATCAAACATGCAGCCTCCAACCCCTCCAAGAAGTACAACATCCTGGGTACCAATGCCATCATGGATAAGATGCGGGTAAGCACAGCCCCCTCTCTTTACCCGCCCCCCTGCTCCCTGCCTGCTGCCTAGCAAATAGGACCCCCACCCACCCCTCACCACTCCTGCCCACAGGTAATGGGCCTACGCCGTCAGCGAAACTACGCCGGCCGCTGGGATGTCCTGATCCAGCAGGCCACTCAGTGCCTCAACCGTCTCATCCAGATTGCTGCCCGTAAGAAGCGCAACTATATCCTAGATCAGGTACTTACTGGTGACCATCGTCCCCCAGGAGAGGGAAGGGGCCTTTTGGGTACCTGGGAAGTCCTCTCTCCTCCTTTTTTTTTCCCCTGTAATGCTCTTGGACTACAGTATTGGTCAGAGGTCAGCTATACGTGGTGGCAAAGTCCCAGACCCTTGAAACAGCTTTCTGAGTCCAGTCTGCCAGGGGGTCAGGGGGCAGCGATCCAGACCTGGCTCAAGCCCCCAGCAGCCCAAAAGAATATTGTCAAGTGAGAGCAATTGTGTGAGATGGAAAAGCTTAGATTTCTGAGCCAAGCAGACCTGGGCTTGAATCCCAGCTCTGCCACTTGCTAGCTGCATGCCTATGGGCAGTGGACTTTATCCTTTGACTGTTAAGTCTCCTGATCTGGAAAACAGAGCTCAGAATAAGTGCTCACACACCTAACTTGGAGACTGGCATGTAGTAACTGGAGATTGTTTTTAATCTACAGAATGGGTCTGTCCCAGCCTCTCTCGGCATGTTCTTATGACTATCAGGTACATGTATATGTCATGTATTTTCTACCTGCATTTCAGTGAAGAGCAGGGTTCTTTACATTAAAAGTATGATTGACCCAAACGGTTAAAGTTCCTCGTTAGTACCACGTGTGAGACATCATCCTTGATATTTGTCCTGAAGTCTTTCTCAAGTAGCAGGCTTTGTCTAAGTGTGCAAATATATAAACTAAGTAGCACTGCTGACCTGGCAGCCTTAACTGGAGTGCCTTCCATGAGTGTGGCCCTGGGCACTTGGTTACCATGAGTTTAAAGGGCTCCTGGTGAGGTTGGAGCTGGCTTTAGTGATTGACTGATCAGAAAGGTGGTTGAAAGGGATTCCTGGTGGTCCAGTGATTAGGACTCCGCACTCCACTGCGGGAGGCCCCTGTTTTCAATTCCTGGTGGAGGAACTAAGATCCCACAAGCCATGTGGAGCAGCGATAGATAGATAGATCCATTATTCATCCAACTAACTCACAACCTTTTAGAAAGAAAAGAAAGGTGGTTGGAAACTCCCAAGAGATCAGGGTGCTTTTGTATAGGAGAGAACATCTTACAGAAAACAAGCCAGAGCTTCTGGGTTGGTGAATATTGGAGATTCGGGGAGGGTGGCACGTTCCACATAGCTTGCCCTTTGCGTCTGTTCCATCAGGTTGTTCCTGCATTATATCCTTTTATAATACACTGGTAATCTAGTGTTCAGAGTTGAAAAATTGATTCCTTAACATCCAGCCTTTGAAAGGAACACACAGAACTTAAGACAAAAAAAGACTACTAGTTGGTGATGGTTCTCCATGGCAGGTAAATTACACAGTCTCGCCAGTTAACTACTGAGAGTGGAAATCTGGTTTGCTGGTGAAACAGTTACACTAGAAAACTGAAAGTTGGCAAGACTGCGATACTGTTGATACTCTTCTGTCATGGTGGAGATACAAGATTTACACTGGGTTCTGCTTTTCTGGAAGGTGAACATGAAAACGGTGTACTTTTAAATTTTTTTATAAGTGTTTTTTTTTTGGCCGCACTGTGCAGCATGGGGGGTTCTTAGTTCCCCAAGGATCAAACGCGCTCTCTCCCCACCCCCCACCCCTGCACACACAGTGGAAATGGAAATGTGGAATTTTGTCCACTGGATCACCAAGGAGTTCCCTGGAAAGGTGTACTTTTATCTCGTGACTGATGCTGCAACCCTGGGATTAAGCCCTAAAGACTCAGATTTGTGAAGACAGACATGATCCCATAATACTAAATTTTGATAAAACAACTAATTGGGCCGATGTTTAGACTGGATTTATGGGGGAGGGGCACAGGGTAGTCCAAGAGCCACTCAGGGTTGCTGCCCCAGCCCAGCCCCATCAATAATGGGTACAGCCAGCCTTCTTCCCCTTTGAAGACTTCGTTTAAATTAACCCTGGCATCACCTTGCCCCATTTCTTGTCAGGGCATTTTGGAATTGTAGTCCATACCTTGAGAATTATTTTTTTGGATACAAGTGTTCTCTGCCTCCCTTTTTCCCAGTTTGTTAAGTTAAATCAGCTCTGAAACCCATTTCACATATAGAGAAAAAAACATGGTCTAAAATGTTTATAATCCTAGGGGTAAATTGTCTGAACATCTCCGTCCAACATTGCAAAATGTGCTTTCTCTGAAGGTCAGGCCCCCAACCCCTCAGCCAGGCACAGAACTGCGGGACACTGTAAAGACTCACTGTTGGCCCTCTTGGCTTGTGCCGGTTCGCTCGGGACAGGGTCCAGGGCTTCTCCAGGTGCCCCTGTGGTCTCCAGGGCTGCTCGCCTCCTGGTGAAGGAACATGCAGGTCAGGCCAAGTGCTCCAGGCCAACAGCAAGGCAACAGAACACAAACTCTGAAGGTGGGGTGGGGTGGGGAAGAGGGTTCTCTGGCTCACCATAGATTGGAGGATTGACTTGGGGCCCCAAACCAGAGGTTACTGAGGCCTGGAAAGAGGTCTGAAGCCAGTGGTTTGACCTGTTTTGGCTTAAACAACAAAAAGGGTATTCCAGAAAAGCCTGTGTGGGTAGATGTGTGTGTAGAAGATTCAGAGCAGGCTCCAGGCCAGATCCTGGCATTTCCTCCCCCACCAACCTTGGCAATGAGGGGTAGGTCGATGTGCAGCTGACTCCTAAGTTAGATGGGGTTCCCAGAGCCAGGATTGGGACTGCAGGCAGAGTCCCTGCAGTCTCTGGATCTCAGCCCAGCACTGTCTTTTTCTTTCTCTGGTTTTTCCTGAGTGGTCTGACCTCCCTACCTCTGGGTTTTCTGGGTTTCCTGGTACCTAGTTTGACCCCAGAAATGCCCCTTCTTGAGAGGGGAATGTGCCTGCAGAAGCCAGGAAAGGCCAGGTTTCGAGGTGGGGGTATGTCTTTTGCTTTTGTTCCGTGGTGACCTGAGTGTCCTCTTCAGATCCTGTGGGTGTCAGAGCTGTGGAACAGCTGAGCAGAAAAAGTAGCGGTAGGCCACATTGCTTCAAGTGGCTCTTTTGGGTCCTCTGTTGCCAGTGGGAATCCTCTGGAATGGGAGACTGCCTGGCCTGTCCCTGGCCTACCAGATGCAGAGCAAGAGCTGGCCTCCTAGAGGCTTCTGTGAAGAGCCTAGGCCACTCCCAGAGTTGAGGTCTGAGGCTAGGAGTTCTTTTAGGAATCCAGCAACCCAGAGCCAGGCCAGGCAGATGATCGGAGGCTACGATATGACAGCGTCATTAACCTTGCCTCAACTCAAGGTAGTTGTGCTCCTGCTTAGCATCCCTGTGGGCAGGTGCCATGCCTTTGCCTGAAACAGAGACCCAGGCTACTGTGGGGACCCAAAGTAAACTGCCTCTTCTGGAAAGGCATGGGAGAAGAGGGTGTTTCTTCTATCCTCCCCAACCCCAGAACCTCAGCCCATTCCATTGTTGACACTAGCCAGTTCTGTGTCTGCACACGTGGTTCATTCTACTGGGTTTACCTCATGCTGAGCCCAGAGTGAACTCTTCGGTCAGCAATTTAAGCTTGCTTCTGTGGGATTCATGCATGTTTCTCCTGCTGCCAGCCTGATCTTGTTGAGTTGTAGATGGGGGACAGTTGACAGGAGACCATGTCTCAGAGATTTCAGGCTGTGAGCAGCCTGTTTTGTTCCCTCCTGCCTGCCCCAGACTGTCACACACCAAAACTACACAGGCAGCTGCTCTGAGAAACCCAACCCCTGTCCTTTGGCCCACATCACAGAGGAATGGGAGTAGCCAGGAGGCCAGGGAACACAGACAGCCCCAGACCTCCTTCAAGTCAGCATCTTCAAGCAGGGTGGGACTGAGAGAAGCAGGAACGAGGCAGCAGGAGCCCTCACAGCTGGAAAAGCTGACCTAGCTGTTGTGTTGGTCTCCTAGCAACAGCCACCAGCAGCCCCCAGTGACCACAGCAGTGCTGGGCCAGCCCAGGGGCTCTGACCTCACTGTGTTTGCTGTGGCAACAGCCACCAACAGCTAACTCCCTTCCCTCTAGGAAAGCCAAGTATTTGCATTTTTGCTGGTGTGGCTTAGATGCTCTTCTTCCTTTCCCCAAGCCAAGGAGTGAGGGGAGGGAGGTGCAGTCTTCAAAACTGTCACCACGAGGGTTCTCAGCACCTCAGCTCTGAAGTGTCTGAGGAGCCATCCCTCAGTGTCTAGCCTCTTCCCAGGACAGAGACCAGCTGTTGAGGAGTCCCATCTGCTTTTCCCCCTCCCTCCCATCAAGAAGCTGTGGGGACTGGCCCCTCTGGACAGCAATGCTTCTCTTCTCTGTCTCTTCATCCGGACCTGGACAGGGCAGGTCTGCTTCATAGAAAACCTCCAAGAGGCGTTTATCCACGTCCTTGAGGTTCAGAGGAATCAGAATAGGATTGCTGATCATTTCTTATGGGCAAGCAAACAGTGGAATCAGTTGTCCACAGAATGTCTGGGGCCACACTCAATCCTGACACCCACCCATCTGGGTTATGTGCCAGGCGGAAGCTTCATTATTTAGCTGGAAGTCAAATTCTGTCTTCCAATGACCAGACGCCACCTGATTCGCTTTTAGGAATGGAACCTATGAAGAGCAGCAAGGAGAAGGACTTGACTTTTCCTTTGTAACCATTGTGCTTTTTCACCATTTGTGTGGCTCACGGCGCAGATGTATGGCATACACGTGTATGCCTTCATCCCACCCCCAATGAACGTTGAGACTTTTCCCTAGAGAACAAGGAAGACCCTCTAATGTGTGTGTCAGAGCCATGGGGTCAGGTTGGTTTAGAGAACAGTTACACCCACAACCAGATCTCCCAACAGGTGTGCACTGCGGTCCCTGGCCTCTGGCTGACCCACATCCCAGCTTCTGTTCCTCATGTTTTTGGAATAGGCTCTCTTGTGTTTCATCTTCTCCTCAAACTTAACTTTCCTTGATGCTCCCTATTGGGAAGCCTCCCCAGGACAGCGTCAGTCCTGCTGGCCCCAGTTTCAGACTTCTTTCCCTGCCAGACATTTCCACATCTGCAAATTCCCACCAGAGCCAGGGGGAGGGTGATAGGATCTCCGTCTTTCAGATGCAGAAATTTGAGACTCAGACTAATTAGGTGGCTTGTCTACATCCTCACAAATAGAGGGCACAGCTGCAGTTTCAACCTCCAGCCTCTTCCCCAGAGCCTAGATTTCCACTCTGATTCACCGTTCCTGCCCTTCTGATGGGAAATCACCGTAGCTTGACCTTCTCCTGGTCCGGGTTGCTTGAACTCAACCATACAGCGAGAAGAGCCAGTGCAGCCTGCCCAGTGATAGCCACCTCACAGCAACCATGACCTGTTTGTTGAGTGTCAGCTGTGAGCCAGACCCTGGACTAAGCAAGGGCTTTACTTGCCTGAGCTCCTTCAGTCTTAGTAGTGACCATATGATTTTCCTCTTATTTTCCCCTTTCAGGGTTTGAGACTTAGTAGATAGGCAGACTGAGGCTCTGAGAGGAAGTCACACCCTCAGGGCCCTGTGGTGTGACTTGACCAGGTCACATTAGATCCAGGGTGTGCCAAGCCTCTGCTCTATACCACTGGCCTCTGTCTGGGCAGCTTCCATCCTGGAGGCCACAGCAGAGCCCCTACTTCAGGGATCCCTCACATGGTTAGATGCTTTGTGGTCCTTTTTCCGCTCAGTCTTCACCAAGTCCAGGAGAGAGGCTTTTCTCCCGCATTTCATGGATGAAGCAACAACACGGACTGGCCGTGGTGAGCGAGTAGCCACACTGGATACTTGATACTGGGCTTTTTCCACCCCACTAGGCTGCATCTTCAAAACATAACATTTGTTTGTCTGTTTGTGGATGCAGGCCTCTTTACAGGTTTGTTCCCCTCTGTGGCTTCTCCCCTGATAACCTTTCCGGGCCACTGAAAGTTGTTTAAATGCAGTATTCCTTATCATTCCAGCTCTGTTGTGTGAAAAGGACACCTGTATGTGTCTGGGCCCCACTCCAGGGACTGGGGTTGAGGAGGACCCCTATAGGGGGGTTCCAGCTGCTGTCTCAGTGTGTCCAAGTGATTCAGGTCCATAGGCTGAGTCCTTGGACCACTGGGGTTTGATAGGTCTGGGCCCCAGTCCCAAAGGGCCCAGCATGTAGGAGGTACACAGTGAATGGAAGCCGTTGTGCTCTCAATCAGGTGTGTCCTAGAGCACCGCTCTCTGCCAGCACCAGCCCAGGATGCACCTAACCATCACCTAGAAGAAGCAAAGAGAAAGTTATTAGCAAAACTGCACTTGCAAACAGCACAAGCTATTGGCTTGTCAAGCACCCTAGTTTAGAAGCTTGTGGGTGCAGCTGGTGTTTCAGAGCAGGACTAAGGGGATAAAAGAACCACAGTGTTGATGAAAATGATCTACACAACTGTCAAAGGAGCTGGCTAATTACAGCATCTGTTCTACAAAGAATAAAGGAGAAACCAGGGAGTTCCCTGGCGGTTCAGTGGTTAGGATGTGGTGCTCTTGCTTCCTAGGGCTGGGGTTCAGTCCCTGCTCGGCGAACTTAAGATCATGCAAGCTGCACAGCATGGCCAAAACAAGGGAGAGCACCAGCACAGAAAAATGATAAATGTTGAGTGATAAAAAGGCTTCCGGAGAGTGTGTGTTGTTTGAGTCCATTGGTTTTAAGAATCACACAGATGTTTCTAAAAATACATAAGAAATTCAATACAGGTCATCTCTGAGAAGTAGGAATAGTAGTAGTAGGTGGATGAGAGGCTTCTTATTCTACACTTTACACCTTGTACTCTGAATTTTTTTTATGGTAAGGATATGCTACTCTTAGAATAGGAGCCAAGAGAGCTGTAATGTACAATACCAAGAACAAATGGGATTAAAAAGCAGAGCCCAGACATTAGGAATCTCCTGTCCTATGACTGTCAGCAGCCACTTTCTCAAGTCACTTCATTTTCTGAGGGTAGATTCAAGAATCTTAGAAGTGAAGAAGGAGCATTTTCCTGAGTTTCTCTGCTTAGGAGAACTGGTGTCCTTTTCTCACTCCCTAGCCCACATAATACCCCACAGAGGAGAAACCAACTTGTAATGTGCCACCTCTTGCCTCTTCTGATACCTACCCCTAGACAAATGTTTATGGGTCAGCCCAGAGACGAAAAATGAGACCATTTGAAGGCTTCCAGCGCAAAGCTATTGTAATTTGTCCCACTGACGAGGACCTGAAAGACCGAACAATAAAGCGAACTGATGAAGAAGGGAAGGATGTCCCAGATCACGCGGTCTTAGAAATGAAAGGTAGGAGATGAGCAGTTCCCAGAGGGACATCGTGGCAAGGCCCTTAAGGGGAAAAGTGCCTTATCCCGTTTTTCCTGCCCAGCTCCTTGAGTATTCTTTTTTTGATTTTGTTATTTCTTTGCTTTTGCTTTGTCCCTTGCCTGTGTAGTACAGCTGTAACTGGAAGAGCTGCCCATATCCCTGTGGGGGCAGGCTTTTCAGATTAGATGGGGCTTGGGCAGGATGCGGGAGAGGGTGTGTGGAAACAGATGCTAGAGACCCGCATGGTCTTCTGCCTCTGGCACCCACTGGGTGGGCTGGCTGAGCAAGCCTCAGTGAGGCTTCTCCATAAAAAACAAGGATGGTGATTCCCCTTGTCTGGCCTGTTCCCTGGGGTATCAAACACTGGTTTGGTGGAGCTTAGTCACCTCTTCAGAAAAAGAAGAGGGTCATTGTTAGCCCCTGATTGTTGTCAGGGAGGCAGAGCTTGGGACCCTCTCTCCTCTGTTGATCACACTGTGGTCCCCTACTCCTCCCTTCTGGCAGACCAGTGTCCTGGGGGTGAAGGAGACTGACCCTCGGAAGGTACTAACTGTCTTTCCTGTCCCTCTGGCACCCTCCCTTCCTCCTAGCCAACTTCACGTTGCCCGATGTCGGGGACTTCCTGGACGAGGTGCTGTTCATCGAGCTGCAGCGAGAGGAGGCAGACAAGCTGGTGAGGCAGTACAACGAGGAGGGCCGCAGGGCCGGCCCGCCGCCTGAGAAGCGCTTTGACAGCCGGGGCGGGGGCGGCTTCCGGGGCCGCGGGGGTGGCGGCGGTTTCCAGCGCTTTGACAACCGAGGGCCCCCAGGGGGCAACCGAGGAGGCTTCCAAAATCGAGGAGGAGGCAGCAGTGGAGGAGGCAACTACCGAGGAGGTGAGACATTTCACAATGAACTCCTACTTGTGGTTCCGGGGTCAGGGTTGACTGCTTCCTCAGTCAGCAGATGACATTTCCTTGGCACCAGCTGTGGGCTGAGCCCTGGTAGGGAACTGAGATAAATCAAAGTGTGGGGCCTCAGGGAAACTCCCACTGTCATCTCTTCCCTGCTGTCCCCCCCACCAATATTACCCCTGAAGGCCTTGCCCATTTGTGTGTCACATTACTATTACTTTTGTGAGTCTTTCCGACCCCTCATCTGACCATGAGCTCCTTGAGAAGAGGGGCCAGTCCTGGGTCCCAGGACCTGGCACAAGGCAAATATTAGGACTGTTTTTGCTTCTAAAACATGGAGAAACAGGCTTGGAGAGATTAATTTGCTCGATTGACCCAGGTGAATCTGTGGTTGGTATCAAGTGATGGATCCAAAGCCCAAGTTCTTAGTCACTAAGTTATGCTGCGTCTGAAGTGTATGGTCATGATTTTAATAAGCATGCCCTACTCTGTTTCAGTCTTATGTTGGATGGTTTAGGGGACAGAGCCATGACCCACACACTGTCACCCTTTAGTGACAGTCCAGAAGGATGCTGGGCTGAATGGGAAACCCCAGGGGTACAGTGAGCTCCAGTGATTCAGCCTGCAAGGGAGCAGGGCTCAGGAAAGGCCCCCAGAAGTGCTAATGCCTAAGCTAAGGTCCTGAAGCCAGCAGGAATGGGTTGGGGAAAGGGTTCTGGGCCAAAGGCTCGGGAGAGGCTGGCTCATTTGACTAAGCACTTAGATGTTGGGGAGACAGTGGAAACCAAGCAGCTCTGGTTCCAGGCCCACAGTCCAATGGGCAGGACAAACCTGTCAGCAGGCCTTGATGACTGGGCGCTCCCAGGGCTCTGGGGAAGGCCAGAGCGGGTGCTTGACTTGTTTACTGGACCTGCTCTGTGCATGGTCACTGGAGCCACAGCAGTCCCCAAGACAGCCCGACTCCTGAGGGTCTCAACCAATCAGAGAACAGTGGGGCCTCTTACCTGCTTCTCCAATGCAGGTTTCAACCGCAGTGGAGGTGGTGGCTACAACCAGAACCGCTGGGGTAACAACAACCGGGACAACAACAATTCCAACAACCGAGGCAGCTACAACCGGGCTCCCCAGCAACAGCCCCCCCCACAGCAGCCACCACCACCACAGCCACCACCACAGCAGCCTCCACCGCCACCCACCTACAGCCCTGCCAGGAACCCCCCAGGGGCCAGCGGCTACAACAAGAACAGCAACATCCCCGGCTCAAGCGCCAGTACCAGCACCCCTCCTGTCAGCAGCTACAGCCCTCCACAGGTGAGAGGATGAGCGTGTGTGTGTGTGGTACAGGGGAGAGGATGAGCGCGCGCGCGTGTGTGTGTGTGTGTGAGAGAGGTGAGAGGAGGTAGGGCCACAGGTCCTCACTATTACCTACAGCCCTGCCCTTTCTCTCTTTGTTGCCAGTGCTTTCAGCTGGGACAGACTCTAGATATTCCCAGATCCTTCCAGACTCAGAGTAAATCGGGAACCTAACTGTTCTGTCACCCTCCTCGGGGCCAATTATGTTGTCCCACGAGCAAATGCATTTCTCTTGGCTGTATCGTCATTGGCATCGCTGAATTCCCAAGGGAGCACTGCATTGGAGTCACCCCTTGCCCAGGCTTTGTCTTCAGGATGTGGAGACAGACCCTGAGGTTGGTGAGAACTTGACCTCTGCCCTGAGAGCTTCACTGCTAAGCAGCTCCAGGCTCAGTTCAAGTTCTCAGAGAGTCGGTTCTTGGCTCTGATGTGCATGGGCCCTGTAACCAGCAGTCCCCATTTACTGTGCGCATTCCACTCGCCAGGCCTGGAGGCAACTGCCAGGAGATAATAGGTGCATGGTCTAGCCCCAGTCTAACCAGAATATTTGCTAGAACAGGAGTTGGGCAGATACAAATTCAAACTCCAGCCTCACAACCTTCTGGTTTTGTGACCTTGGACAAACAGCTTTACCTCTCAGAACCTTGTTTTCCTCATAAAGGCCTAGAGTTGTTAGTAGAACTCACTTCCAAGGTTTGCTGTGAGGGAAAGATAACATTATAGCTTTGCAGGTAAGGCTGTGGAAATAGGTGGACCTGGAGGCAAGTCATGACTTTTTGCCCGTGTGACTTGGGCCCTGTTGATTTCACCTCCCTGGCCTCACTTTCCTTCTCTATAAAACAAAGCCAATGGAACCTACCTCAGAGAGTTGATCAGGGGTCAGATGAGTTAAGGATACAGCCTGGACATGGGGAGCACTTAGGAAATTGCCACTACTGTTTTCCTTAGCTGGTCTTCCTGTAACAAACACCACTGTTTATTGTGTTCAATGGAGTGTGCACATAAGCATACTGAATATGCAACACAGTCCAAAGGCTTAGTCCTGTTGTAATTCTCATTTTACAGGGGCAGGATTAGGGAAACACCTAGGTTTTCAAGAGATGCTGTGTCCCTTGCTCCCAAGGGTCTCAGGCCTGGCATTAGAGTCCAGGATAGAGCTCTGCACCCTCCCCTGTCCTGCCCGGTCACAGAGCTGACCCACCCCCTTCTTAGCCCTCGAACAGCCTCCCCAGGGGGACATTCCTTTGTGGGCTCACTGCTTACACAGGCCCTTCCTCCATCCCAGCTGAGCTAGCTATTTCACAGAGACCTGTTTTTTTTCCCCCTCCTGCTTTCCAGCCGAGTTACAGCCAGCCACCTCCCTACAACCAGGGAGGGTACAGCCAGGGCTACACAGCCCCACCACCTCCACCTCCTCCACCACCTGCCTACAACTATGGGAGCTACGGCGGCTACAATCCAGCCCCTTACACCCCACCACCGCCCCCCGCGGCACAGACCTACCCTCAGCCCAGCTATAACCAGTATCAACAGGTAAGTGCCAGAAGCAGGGAAGGTAGAATGGGGCCCCACACGGATGTGTATTCCCAGACTCTTCCCTAAAATGATGGGCAGTCTTTTGGGGTCCATCTAGTATAGCCATTCCTTCGGTGACTATTGCCACACTGCTGCTGTATGAAGGAACTGCCATTCTGGTTCCTCACCCAGCGCAGCAAGTGAAGGGGGCAAACCCTGCTTCAGCACCATGGCCAGTGTCCATTCTGCTTGGTTGATGCTAGGCCACCAGACCTATCTTTGAGTATTTTGATCGTGGTATAACACACGGTATAGCTATACCTGAAAGGGCAGTAGATTGGCAAGCCAGGAGACCTGGACTTCAGTCTCTTAACTGCCCACCCGTGCTCCATCAGGTCATTCACTTGTCCTCCCAAGCTACCTCGGTTTCTCTGTCAGGACTCCTGTGTGTTGACTGTCGTCACTGTACCATGGTGGGGGGGGGGGTGCGGGGAAGAGCCGGATGCGGGTCTGGATGAACACGTGGTGTTCTTGGTTTCTCTCCCCAGTACGCCCAGCAGTGGAACCAGTACTATCAGAACCAGGGCCAGTGGCCGCCGTTCTACGGGAGCTATGACTACGGGAGCTACTCCGGGAACACACAGGGGGGCACAAGCACACAGTAGCCAGTGTGTCCTGGAGGCCCCTGCCGGCTTCCTCCACCAGCGCCCACCTTGACCCTCCTCGTCCACCCCCACCGGGTCCCGTGGTGCTGGGGATGGGTCCTCCCAGGGCTGCCTCCCCTCTGAGGGGCTCTTCCCCCACACAGGGCCGGGCATTTCCTCTGGATTCAAACAGGCAACAATGACCTTTTACTTTCTGTTCGTCCCCCTACCCTCCTCTTCCTTCCTCCCTTCCTACTTTTTGACTAAAGACCCCCATCCCTTGCCTTGGTCGTACAGTGAGGCTACAGGGCTGAGGGGAGGGCCCCTTCCTGTCCTCTCCTCCCAGCCCTGCTCTAGCCCCTCAGCTTCCCAGACTCTCATGCAGTTGGTTGTAAATTCTTCCAGGAGCTGTTTTACTGTCTACTTTTCAGGATTTAAAAAAAAAAAATCAAAAACTTAAAAAAACACAAGTTTTAAAAAGCAAAATGCAGAGGGAGGAAGCAGTGACAGATATTTTTTTTGGTAATTATGCTTTTTTTTTTTTTTTAATTTTTAGAACTTGTCCGTTTTTACTGTGGGTCGGCTGTTGATATTTCATCAGAATAACCATTTCTTTGCTGGGTTCAGGTGACAGAGGAAGAGCCACACCCTCAAAACACACACAAAACAAAACCACAGAATCATCTTTAACCTAACTTTTTATACAATGTCTCAGTTTCCCGTAACTTTGCACACAAGCTTCTGTGTTGAGTTGAATTGTACCTGCTTTTTGTATTTGGAGAGAGTGTGACTATTGAACTTGAAACCTTTTATTCCAGGCGTCTTGGTAGTTTCTGGTGGGATTAAGCGGGTGAGAGGGAAGAAGGGAGTTGGGGGGCTCCTACCCTTCAGAACATGAAGTTTCTCCCACTGCTCCTCTCCAGAGGTCTCCCAGTGCCAGACCTAAAGGTTTTTCCTACAGTGATCCTCTGATTATTTTTACTTCCCCTTGACCCCATATGTTTTAACAGAACTTTTAACAAACTGCACTTATTAAGAAATGTGTTTGCCCTGTTTTGTTTTGTTTTTGTTTTGTTTTCAATAAATGACATGGCACCTCCTAGCAGGAAGGAAGCAGGGTTTCAACCCTGAAGTGTTACTGCAGTTGGCCTTTACTTGGGGTGGGGGCCTTTACAAGGGGACATTATTTACTCATTCATTAAATACTTACTGTGGGATTTGTGTTCAGTTCAGTCGCTCAGTCGTATCCGACTCTGCGACCCCATGAACCGCAGCACACCAGGCCTCCCTGTCCATCACCAACTCCCAGAGTCCACCCAAACCCATGTCCATCGAGTCAGTGATGCCATCCAACCATCTCATCCTCTGTTGTCCCCTTCTCCTCCTGCCCTCAATCTTTCCCAGCATCAGGGTCTTTTCTAATGAGTCAGCTCTTTGCATCAGGTGGCCAAAGTATTGGGAGTTTCAGCTTCAACATCAGTCCTTCCAATGAACACCCAGGACTGATCTCCTTTAGGATGGACTGGTGGGATTTGTGTGCCTTTCCCCATTTTCAGTGCTGGTGTGCCCCATTAAACCTGGGGCCCTCAAGTTTGAAATCCACTAGTTCACTTTTGAAGTGGTTCTCTGGTGCTCGCTTCGCAGCACATATACTAAAATTGGAACGATACAGAGAAGATTAGCATGGCCCCTGTGCAAGGATGACACGCAAATTCGTGAAGCGTTCCATATTTTTAAAAAAGAATAAATAAAGTGGTTCTCTGGTTTCTGCCCCTTTCAGTCCACCCATAGCCCCCAGTCCCTCCCAGAATTTGTGAATAGAAAGGATGTAACAGGTCCCTCAGCAGAAAGCAAGGTAGGGCCGGTGTTTGGGAACTAGGGCTGGACTGTTAGGGTCACCCCCGGGTGTGACTGCCCATCTACATTAGGTCTGGCCTGGTTGCTGGACTTAAGATGGTTCCTGACTGCTCCTGGATCAGGCTGGTGGGGTTCCAGGAACTAATGTATTCAGCTAGTAAGTGTCAGTTCTTGCTCTGTTCCTTATCCACCCACTCTGGACAGTGTTAAGAACACAGCATGACCAAGGTGGTCTTGGACCCTGCCCTCAAGGGGCTCCCAGTCCAGAGGTGACAGACCTCTTGTGGAATGGTGACAGCATCAAGGTCAGCTCAGAGCTTGGGGTGGGTGAGGGGTGTGGTAAGGGCTTCCTGAAGAAGGGGAAAATTTTTTTTAAGTGGGAATGATCTGGAATAAAAGATTGCACCCCCACAGCCTGTCCTTCCCTGGTAACTTGAGTCATTCCTTCATTCCCTCTGGCATGCTGTGCTCCTGGCCCCTTTTGAGGACAAGACTGGGACGCAGGAGGGGCCAGTTCAGCCCCACCTCTTCCTTCACAGAACTATCTCAGAGCCTTCTGAAGGGGACATGGGCTAGAAAAAAAGGGAGGAGGAAGGTTGACCACTTTTGAGGTCAAATGTGAGGCATCTGACATGAGATGGAGCCAAGGTTGATGCCTTTCTGGGCTACAAGTGACCCTTAAAGTGGCCTCCCTGCTGAGAGGGCCTGAGGCCTTCTAGGCTGGGAAGTCCCCCCAGCCGCAGGTCCATGTGTTGGGCAAGAGTGCCCTCTGCTGGCCTCTCTTGGCAACATCTAAGTGTGGTCAGTCCCCATCTATTCCAAGCAGCAACTGAGCCACTTTGCTCCAGATCCCTTATCCTGGGAGTGCAAATAGGAAGTTACTCCTCAGATTTCAGCCATAATATCAGGGTTACTGCATCAGCCTCCTCACAGATCTCGCTGTCCTCCAGTCCCTTACCCTGATGCCCTCACCCTCTTCTAGCTCTCCACAGGATAAAGGAGCTCAAGCTACTTAATTCGGCTTACGTGGCCCACATGCCTGGGCCTTGGTGACCTCACTGCCTTTATCTTTTGCCATTCCTCTTTCAAACTTCAGATCACTAGGCTGTTCAGGGAGAGTCACAAATCCCTTTTAGGCTCTAAATACCATGAACTTCTGCCTTGGAAACCCACGTGTACTTGGAACTTTGCATAGATTCATGAGATTCTCCGATCCTTGCAGTTTGCTCAGGGCCAAGTTAGAACTTTCCTATTCCTTGACCATACTGAAGTCCTTGCAGCAAACAGAACTATGGATACCTGCCTTCCCTTCCAGGGCTTTGCCTTGCCCACTTCCTACATGAGACGTTTCTCTACCTCCCTCTTACCCTAATTCCTGCTCATTTTTCAGGTCTCAGGGTATCCTTTACTCCCAGAAAGACACTTTCCCTGGGCCCTCCAGGCTGGGATGGACAGCTCCCTTAGCTGAACCTGTGGGTCCATCAGCCCTGCCCATTTGGTCACTGGGCACTTGAATGACAGTCTTGACCAGTCCTTACCCATCACCTAGGGCAAATCAAGACCAAGGTCGCCTTTCCACACCTGCAGATTCTTCAGGTCCTGGAAACACAAAGTGGGACGTTCAGTCTCTGATCTCACCACCAATCATGCTAACCAGGGACTGGGTGTGATGACAGGCATGCTACAAGACTTAGCAAATATTCTTTGAGGTGGTGAAGAGGATAGACTGAGGTCAACCAGAGCCCAAGCACTCAGAGGTCATGAAGGATGGTGATTCATCCATTCCCAAATGAAGCATGCTCGGCTCTGGGGTCAGTAATGCGCGGGTTAAACAGTGCTTCCCTCCTGATACCCCACAATTTCGTAGCGGTTCAGGTTGGTGGGGGTGGCATGGAAGAGCCTATCTGACCCTGGCGCCCTTTTCCTGCCCTGCTGGGGTGGGCGGGGCCAGACAGCAGCACGCGTGCGCACAGAAAGGGCTGCCTTTGTCCCGGAACTTTGGTTCCTGGTGCCGTGGAGCACCCGGTCCCAGGAAAGTACTCAGTCGGAAGTGGCCTCTAAGGACCTGCGTCCGGAATTGGTGTTAGGACCTCGCCACGGCGGGTAACAGATAGAGAATCGAGATGGAGGCCGTAACGACAGCGACTGCGGCGAGGGAACCTGGTGAAGGTGAGGTCCTGGCCGCGCGGAGGTGGCAGGAGGGTGGGGCTGCAGTGTCACTGGGAAATGTTTCCCCTTGAAGGTGAAGGAGGACTCTATAAAGAGGGCACCTGCCCTCGACCTTACCTGTTCTCTTCACCTCTTTGTCCAGATTAACCCCTGTTTTTGCGGGCTGACCTCTTTTATCCCATCGCCTCCCCCGAAATTAACCTCTTCCAGCTCTTTTCTTGTGGGCTAACCCGTTTCCTTACCAGGCTAACTCAGGCTAGCAAACCTGTCCCTGTCCCGGCCTAACTCTCCCTGTATCTTAGCCAACCTTGCTTTCTCATGTTACCGCCTTCCCTTGACTCCTCCCCTCACACGAAAACTCTTATTTGCTAACCCCTCCCCGCATTTCATTCTAATTCCCTTTCCCGAAAGTCCATAGTCCCATCTGCTTACTCGGGGTCGTTAATCCATTTCTGTGCTCCCTTTTGCGTTTTCAATCTCTATTTCTCCTGATGCCTCTCCCATCAGTACCTAAAATGCTTTTGTTTTTATCATCCAAATTCTATCCTGGTCTTCAGGGTATGTGGGGTGAGGTGCAGTTAGGAGGTTGGTTGAAACATCACAGGCCAAGAACTGGCCATTGTTGAAGCTGAATAATGAGTATATTGGGGTGGGGAGGGGGAAGTCATTGTACTACTTCTGTGCGTGTTTAAAATATTCCATAATAACAAAAAAGTTTTAACCTAAAAAGCTATCCCTTGATTCCATGCTGCCTTCCAGATACCATTTAATCTTCTCCAAAGAGTCATTTACATTTGTCTCCTCTTCCCACCCACTGCTGTCTGGCTTTTACCTTCAGAAACTGCACAGATTAGGGTCCCCAGTGACCTTCCTGTGTAGTTTGTTTTCTTTTTGTTTTAAGAAATATTTATGTATTTATTTATTTATGGCTGGGGTGGCTCTTGGTTTCTGCACACAGGCTTTCTCTCATTGTGGAGAGCCGGGGGCTACTCTTTGTTGCAGTGTATGGGCTTCTCACTGTGGTGGCTTCTCTTGTTGCAGAGCACAGGCTCAGTAGTCGTGACCTATGGGTTTATTTGCTCCAAGGCATGTGGGATCTTCCCGGACCAGGGATCAAACCGGTGTCCCTTGCATTGCAAGGTGGACTCTCAACCATTGTACCACCAAGGAAGCTCCACTCTGTAGTTAAACCACATGGCCCGGTTCGGGTTTTTTTTTTTTTTCCTAATTAAACTACTTGCAGAATTTGATGCCATTGACCCCTCTGTCTTTACTGAAAGTTTTTCTTTGGTTTCTATGACACCATTCTTTCTGATTTCCTTCCTATCTCTCAGGCTCCTCCTGCTCAGCCAGCATGAGTTTCCCATGGCTGCTGTAGCAAACGACCACAAACTGGGTGGCTTAAAACAACATAAATTTCTTCTCTCACAGTTCTGGAGGCCAGGAGTCTGAAATCAGTATCATTGAGTTGACATCAAGGTGTCAGCAGGGCCAAGGAGTCTAAGGGAGAACCCATTCCTCACCTTTCCTGGCTTCTGGCAGCTCCTGGCATTCCTTGGTTTGTTGCCATATCACTCCAGTCTTTGCTGCTGTCTTCACCTTGCCTTCTCAGGGTGCATCAAATCTCCCTTTGATAGGACACTTGTAATGGCATTTAGGGCCCACCAGGATAATCCAAGAGAATCCCCCTATTTCAAGGTCCATACCTTAATCATATCTGCAAAGACCTTCTGAGTTTTGTGGGGGTTTTTTGGCCATGTAAGCTTAACATTCACGGGTTCCAGGAATTAAGATGTGGCTATATTGGGGGGCCATTTTTAGCGTCTCACAGCCTCCTTCCCATCCAGTCATGGCTCTTTCTTAGTCCCTCCTCTCTTTTCATCCCTCACACACTCTCCTGTACCCTCCCCGTGACTTATTTCCTTCAGCTCCACTGCTTTCCTTGGCTCTGACGACTTCTGTAACTCTGTCCCCAGCGAAACACTTCTCTCCTGAGAAGTCTCCAGTTCCAGGTACCAGCAGTCTCACAAATGCCTCCCCTTGGGTGTTTCCTGGGCCTGTCATACCATCCATGTCCCAAATTGGTCTCAACATCTTCCCCCAAACTTGCTCCTCATCCATGCCTCTGCGTCAGGGACAGTTTGACCAGTTTACTGGCCAGAGGCCTGGACCTTAACCGAATGCCTTCCTTACCTCCCAGCCCTTCAATCCCATAATTTGTCCTAGTCAGCCTTTCAAGCATCTTTTTAACCTATCCTCTCTTCCACAGCCCCTTACATGGTCCAGCCCAGTCTTCTCTTGCCTCAGTGATTAAAACGTTCCCTGAAGCCCATTGCACTTATAACCACCACCCTCTTTCTCTTTCCCATCACAGTCAAGCTACCTAAAGGAGTTGTCTATACTTCCGCTCTTCACTTATTTCCTACTTGCTGTAGCCTTGCTCCAATTCCCACCACTTTTGAGAAATAGCTCTCACCAAGGTTTGCCCAGCCCTCAGCTTTTCTGTTACCAGTGCCTGTGTTGTCTTTGACCTTGTCTGTCTTCCCCCATCAAACCAGGTGCTCCCTGGGAGCTGATTTGGATCCCTCAGTGGATCCAGCTCAGGGCCCAGCATAGATTTAGAGTTGCTGAAGAGTGGTTGGATGGATGTATATAAGTAGGAGAGAAGGATGAATGAATGAGTGAACGAGTTAGTGAATGTATTGATGATTTCATGAACAAGGGAAAAGGCAAAATTGAGTGAATCAGTGAATGAAGTGGTCAAGGACTAAGGAAACACACCAGGCACACTTCTCTCCCGGGGCCTTTTCACTGGCTGTTTCCTCTGCCACTTCCCACAGAAATCTCATGGCTCAGTCCCTGACAAACTCAGGTCTCTACTGGAATGTCACTATTTTGGCAAGACCTTCACTGACTGTCCACTTAAAACTGCAGCCTGACCCCCATACCCTCCTCCTTCCCTCTTAATTTTCCTGCACAGCTCTTGGAACCACCTAACACACTATTGTTTTCACTAATTATGTTTCCATTTGTCTGCCTTCCCCATGAAACTGTCAATCTCTTGCTTAAGGTGGTCTCTCTAGGGCCTAGAACAGTGCCCAGAATATAGCAGGTGCTCACTAAATGTGAAATGAGTGAGTGAGTGAGCACTCAGTCCCTTTCACCCACTCGCCTATCCCCTCTCTCATCCCTGGAGTGACTGATCTCCCCTCTCCCCACAGGCCGCACTGAGCCCAGTCCTGGGCACTGGGGGGAGCTGAGCTGGATGCCGGTCCTATCCAGACCCCAGGACAAGGCGGAAGCAGCAGAGGGAACGCCCAGGGCCCTAGACGCCGACGCCCCTGAGGTGGAGGACCCGGCGGTGAGTGCCATGCTTCGCGCAGTGGCTGCCAGCCGCCTGCCCGTGTGCAGCCAGCAGCAGGGCGAGCCCGACCTGACAGAGCGGGAGAAGGTGGCCATCCTGGGCCAGCTGTACCACGAGAAGCCGCTGGTGTTCCTGGAGCGCTTCCGCACAGGCCTCCGGGAGGAGCATCTGGGCTGCTTTGGACACTTGCGCGGTGACCACCGTGCAGACTTCTACTGTGCCGAGGTGGCCCGGCAAGGCACCACCCGCCCCCGCACGCTGCGCACCCGCCTGCGTAACCGCCGCTACGCTGCCCTGCGTGAGCTCATCCAAGGTGTGCAGGCACACAGACTGAGTGGGAGGGGAGACTGGGGCAGAGGAAGTAGAAACAAGGGGGCAAGAGCAGAAGCGGAGATCCTGGAGAGACAGAGACAGAAATGTGAGGTGACAGGGCATGATAGGGAGAGACAAACAGGGACTCAGGGGAAGAGAATGGGACAGGAAGTGAGAAGGGCTGGAACTTTGCAGATGACGTTAGTGCCATTTCAGACCAGCGGGTCAAGGACACAGTGTCCAGCACTGATAACTGGTCATCCCTCAGGAAAACTAGGTCCCTACTCATACTGTATAAAGAGGCATTGCCAGAAACCTAGGGGAATATGTTCAGGAAAGGCCTCTTCAAACACACACACGTGAAAAGCGTGGAGAAAAACATCAGTGGGACTTCCTGGTGTCCAGTGGTTAAGACTTCGCCTTCCAGTCCAGGGGGTACAGGTTCATCTCCTGGTCAGGCAGCTAAGACCCCGCATGCCTCAGGACCAATAACCCGAAATACAAAACAGAAGCAGTGTTGTAACAAGATTCAATTAAGACTTTAAAAATCGTCCACCTCAAAAAATCTTTAAAAAAACAAAACAGAAAAAAAAACAGGAAAGAAAATATCAGTACCTTTTTCTCTTTTCTTTAATTTTTAAATTTAAAAAATTTTTGTGTAACATTGGTCTATTTATGACCATGATGTAATTACAAGCAGCTTTGTGACCGAAGACACCAGAACTAAAAGATGTTAAAAGATGAGAGCAAATGAAGGAGAGGGTGGGTTAAGATTCTAGTCAGAGAGAAAGCACAGGCTATAGAGAAAGGGAACTGGAGAGGGACACAGTGACAGATGAGGAGCAGGGATGAAGAGCTGAGGGACAGTGAGTGAATGAAGGAAGTGGGGTGAGATGGTAGAAACTGAGGAAGCGGGAGAGACAGAGATGGGGGGAGACAGAGGGGCAGAGGAGGGGAGGGAGAAACTTGAGACTCAGAGAGAGAGTGTGTGCCAGTGAGAGATAAGGAGAGAGAAACTGAATGTGGTGGGAAACACCGGAAACAGAGCCATGGGGGTAAGAGGGAGGGCAAGACGGAACCCAAGACAGGGCTCTTGAGGGCGGGGCTGGGCAGGCTGAACCGTTTTCTAAGGGACAGAGCTGCCTCTGCAGGGCCGACAGCCAGGGGAGGTGCCAGCCCAACAGGGATGCCCACGCCGGGGCAGGTGCCCTGTGAGACCTGATCCGGTGCACACACACGCCTGCTCCATGCAGATGTACTCTTACGTGCCCAGCAGTGCAGGCGTGTCTAGGCAACAGCCAGAAGGAGGCTCAGCAGACAGGCATGCACCGTCTACACCCTGGCTCCCGTGTGCAGTGTACCGGCCCACAATGCCCTGCTCACCAGCTCTGAGACGCAGGGGCCCAAGCAGTGTGCTGATGTGTGTACGCATACACGCACGCATGTGCATGCACACACGGGGTGCAAGTCCTTGCCAGCACAGCTAGACACGGGCCCTAGGCCACCAGGGCCTCAGGGGCCAGAATGTCCAGCAACCTGACTTCACCCGACAAACTTGGGACATGTGAGTCCACACGTAGACACAGGCCTGGTCACGTTCACGAGTCCTCATGGTCATGACCTCAGACATCTGTTCATGTTTCACTGCATTCCTGAATTGGACAATCACACACTTGTGTGTCTACAGCTTCCGGTCAGTGTGGTTCCACACCTGGGTGGACACAGGTCTGCCCAGATGCTCACCCCCACCCAGCCCGTCGCCTCACCCACCACCCCCTGACCCCGAGCCCACCCTGTCTCCTCCATTCAGGGGGCGAATACTTCAGCGACGAGCAGATGCGCTTCCGGGCCCCACTTCTGTACCAGCAGTACATCGGGCAGTACCTAACCCAGGAGGAGCTCAGCGCCCGCACCCCAGCCCACCGGCCGCCCACACCTGGCCCCCCCGGCACGCCCACCTGCCCGCTCTCCGACCTGCTGCTCCAGTCCTACCAGGAGCAGGAGCTGCAGCAGCGGCTGCTCCAGCAGCAGGAGGAGGAGGAGGCCTGCCTGGAGGAGGAGGACGAGGAGGAGGATGAGGATGAGGAAGGTGAGGGCCGGCAGCCAGGGGGCCCCAGTGTCCACACACCCAGCCCCGGCCTGTGTGCCTCAGCTCCTTGGCGGCACCACCTTCAGGAGCAGACGGCACGTCCTCCCCTGCCTGAGCGCCCCGGCCCTTCCATCCTCTCCAGCATCCCTGTCCCCTTCCTCGGACATCCCTCACCTCTAGGCCTTCGCTCATGCTGTTCCCTCTGCCTGGAGGGCCCTCCCTTGACCGCCCTCCTTCGGGTGTCAGGTCTCCACCCTGTTCTGTGGCCTGGAGGCCACAGACAACAACACTGTGTTGTCACGGGTTTGATGTATGCCCTGGGAAGGTAGGGATGGGGCCGTCTTGGTCATTGCCCTGGTCCCAGGGCCGCCCAGCATGAGGGACACAGCTCTCTGTGCACCCCTCATATACCCCCACCCTGGGCGTCTCCCCTACAGACCAGAGACCTGGCAAAGACTCAGAGGCCTGGGTCCCCGACTCAGAGGAGAGGCTGATCCTGCGGGAAGAGTTCACCAGCCGCATGCACCAGCGCTTCCTGGATGGCAAGGACGGGGACTTTGACTACAGGTGCTCCCCTGCCCTCACCCCTGCGCCCCCTCTCCCTGGCACCCCACAGGGCAGCGGCTATGGGTTCACCCAGCCTAGGGGTTTCAGGTCAGAGGTCAGTGGGTGACTCTGGAGTAGCTTTGTCCATCTCTGAGCCTCTGCCTTCCCCTGAAGGAGGGCTTTGAAAGGGGCTGACATTCGACTCCACGTTGACAAGACTACCGAAACAGTCCCGTCCAGGTAGATGATGTGGCGGCCTAATATGAAGTGTCCCCAGGACCGCAGACCTCCTCATGCTGCAGGAAGTAGTCACTGGCAGGGTAACGCCTGGCGTGGAGGGGCCTGTGGCGGGTGCCCCCGCCGTGCTGGTTGTTCATTTCTCCAGTACAACCCCAGGGATAAGATCCCCAGGCCTCCTGGGTGAAAAGAAATTTTGCCATCAAGGAAAAGGACACAGGCGAGTGAAGTATCAAGAGTAAAAAGATAGCTGGTTTTGTCACCCGCAGCAGCCTCACCTTGTGGTCTGAAACATCAGAGGTGCCAGCAGAAGGCCCACCCCCCACAACACGTGAACAAGCAGCCCCTTGGGTCTTATCAGTAGCATGGGGTCCTCATTGCCTCAGCCACGCCAGCCCCTGGTACTAGAGCATCTCTGGTCCAGTCTAGGATCCCCAGCTCCAGAGGCAATTCTGGCTGATCCACTTCGACATTTATCACACTCAGGGTTCCACACAAAGCAGTGAGTAGAGTGCCTGGGCCCTGGGCACCCAGTAAGGGCACCACCGCCATCATAAAGCCAGATGCCCACGAGGAAGTCAGACCCAGCGTGGGGAGTGGCATGGACAGAAGCCTGTCCCATCTGTTGGGAGTGGTGGGGGGAGCTGCTGGCCTACATTAACTACCAGGTTCTCAGTGCTGCCGTGTCCAGACTCTGGGGATCAAGCAGGGAACAAGACCAGTAGAAGGGTTCTCTGTCCAAAAGCATCCCACTCCAGTGAGAAAGGCAAAAAAGGATCTAGTGGTAAGGGAGCCAGGAAGAAAAAGCAGGGGGCCCGGTGATGAGGAGGCCAGGAAAGGCTCTCTGAGCAGAGACCTGCAGCAGGGGAGGGGTAGGCAATGCGAACATCTGGGGGAAGAGCATCCGGGCAGGGGGCAGGAGCAGGAGCCTTGCGGGGCACAGAGAGCCACAGGGTGGGTGAGGGGTGAGGAGGAGATAGGGGTCTCATCAGAGGGGAGGGGGCTGGACTGGACAAAGCTTCCTGCACCGGAGAACGTGAGCAGGCCTGGGAGGTCCTCCTCACAATAGGACCCCTGGCCACCTGAGGACAAGGTTTCTCCCTATCGGCACTGTGGACCTTTTGGGCCAGATAATCCTTTGTGTGGACTGTCCTGCGTGCGGCGGGCATTGAACAGCCTGCCTGGCCTGTACCTCCGGAACACCAGCAGCAGCGCCCCCCCACCCAAGTTGTAACAACCAAAATGTCCCTAGTTACCACGAATGTTCCTTGGGGGAGGTGGGCAGAATCTTCCTGGTTGGGAAGCGCTGCCTCCAGGGAACATGGGCCCATGTTCCCATGTCAACCGCATCTTCCAGCTTTTTAAGAGAAACCAGAACTTGTAAGATCTTGCTTTGGCAAATGTTACTTTTTTGTGTGAAGCCCTCAGAGACCCAGCCTAACCCAACTGTAAGTTAGCTCCGACTTACAGCTGCCAACATATGGCCTTTCATTTCGGGGGGGACCCTGGGCCCCAGCTCCTCCACCGGATGACAAGTGGGGAGGCCGGGGTGCAGGCAGAGCCCATCGCTGACAGCCCCACCCCCTGCAGCACCGTGGATGACAACCCCGACTTCGACAACCTGGACATCGTGGCCCGGGATGAGGAGGAGAGGTACTTCGACGAGGAGGAGCCCGAGGACGCGCCCAGCCCAGAGCTGGACAGGGACTGATGGCTGCGGCTGCCCGCCGCCTCCCGCCCTCACGAGGCTGCTGATGACAGGCCAGCTCAGGGACTTTCTCTAAGCAAAAGCAGGGCGGTTGCGGGTACTACCAAGGCTGGTGGTGGTCTCCACGCCCTCTCCCCAACTGTGCCTGGGCATCCCCCCTCCCCCTGTCCCCCCCTCACCTCTCTCTCTCTCTCTCTGCCTTTCTAGCTCCTGCTGTCTCTGTCTCTCCCCACCTCCCTGCTTCTCCTTTCTGCCTTTCTCTTTCTTCCCTTCCCTCTGTGCCTTGGCCCCTGTCCCCATAACAGGGCCCGGGATGAACATCCTCCCCTGGACCTAGGCCAGGGGGCCCTCTGGCTGGAGCTGGCCAGGTTGACCCCAGAGCAGTGCTGCACCACTCTGCCCCGCCTCCAAACCCTGCCCTGACTCTCCTGCGCTCTGCCGTGGGGTCTCGCAGTGCACCGGCTCGCAGGTGCCCCTCCTTACCTGTTACCTTCTGTCTCCTGTGGACTCAGCTCTTGGGACCCATGGCCACACATTCCCATCTCTCTCAGCCTCTGTGCTGGTTCTGTCCCTCTCCGCCTTTATCTCTGGGTTTCAGGATCCCCACCCCTTCCCCAGGCCGTGAGCATCCCCCATCCTGACTGCTGGGTAACCCAGCCTCACTGTCCACACAGCGGGGAGACCATGGGAGTGGCCACCTGCTCTCACCGCTCCCTCAGGACTCAGGTTTGGGAAAGGTGGGCAGGAGCAACGTGGGACCACGGGCCTGCCAGGTTGGGTGGGGGGACTCTCCCCTCCCAGCGTCCCTCTCCCAGCCACAATTTTCCCTTCCTTCCTTCACTTCCTCCACCTCCCTCTCCCTCTCCTGTTTACACTCCCTGAATACGCACAGGCTGTTATCATGGGTCCTGAGTCATCCCACATATACACACAGCCGGCCCCAGCCTCCCTGCCCCCAGCCAGCCACAGAGCCGGCCCCATGGAGCCCCCTGCCGCCCTGGGCTAATGGGAGCCAGATGGCCGCCTGGTGACTCAGCAGCCGGCCTGTGGGAACCCAGGCGTCCCGCCTTCCCATGGCCCCGCACTCAGCTCATGCTCCCCCAGCAGACATAGAGAGAAGGGGCTGGCTGCTAGTTGGGGGAGGACACAGGCCATGGGTTGGAGAAGAGGGGTGTGGGGACCCCTCACTCCCGTGAGCCAGGCCATGGCCTGGCCTGAAAGCCCTCTCAAAACTGCCGCCTCCAGCATGCAGCCCAGGGTGAAGGGAGACCCCAAGGACTCCTGGGGCCACAGCACTTGACCCCCAGGCCTTGGCTCTGCCCTCTGGGTCAACTGGAAGTAGAGCCAGACAGACTAAGTGAAAGCTGGGAGGCTGGGGCTGGGGGTGGTCAGTGTGGTTCAGAGAGATGATTGAATAAGGAAGCCTCCAGTTCCTGAGCAGTTCGATCCTGTGCCAGGCCCTGGCCAGGTGCCTGATGCTGCACTGAACCCTCCAGACTGCCCCAGGAACCAAGGGCTCAGTCCCATCCCGTGTGTGGGCCATGGGCAGTCTGGAAAGGAGATGTCACATACTCAAGGCCAAGTCTTTGAGACCCCCCTCCTGGCCTGCCTGTCCACTCTCAGGGCCATGTGGAGTGGACAGACGCACCCATTTCTCAGGGGTACCACCTGAAGGAGACTTAGCTGTTGAGGCTGCTAACAGAGGATAACGCCTTTGGGGCCCTCCTGGTATGCTAGGCACTGTCCTTCCTCTCCACAGACGCATGGAATCTCCTAGTGTTTAGTCGGTATCTGAATCACTGAACCATCACAGAGATCCCGTGCGGTACATACTCTCAGCACTGACAGTGCATCTCAGGAGGAGGCCCAAGGCTATCCCATCAGCCAGGCCCACGGTTTGGAAAGAAGAAGAGGGTGGGGTGTTTGTCTCAGGTGCTTGTGTTCACACCCTCAACTTGTGAGGGGTCTTTCATACCACAAGTAGCAGCCCTGGATGACCTGTACATTTTCCATTGGATGATTAAATTGGTGATATACTGTGCCATAGATAAATTTGTTAACATAATTTTTTAAGTGATGAGAGACAGCATTTTGAGTCAGAATTAGGGTTAGTCAGATGGCGGAGCAGGAGCGTCTGTACCGAGACACAGAGGTGGAGCCCAGAGACACACCCCCATCAGAGCCGCTGAGACACGGAGGTGCCCAGAGAGGCGCCTACCCCTCAACTCCTGCTCCTGGGGTTGGGGTGGGCGGAGAGGCTGAGTCAGGGAGGGGAGAGCCCCCCCCCCAGGGCATCCGGCCCCCACCCCCGTGTCTCCGGTCTGTCCCGGTCAGGCTCTGCTGGCAGCCAACCCCCCCATCTGACACCTCTGTGCACCCCGCCAGAGCTAAACCTGTCCCAGCCCCTGTCCTCGCTGTCCCCTCCTTCCTCTGCCCCTCCCCTGGCTCCGTCTTCTCTCTGGCTGGGGGGGGGGGGGGGGGTCTGTCTCTGCAGCTCTGTCAGCATCTCCCCTGTCACTTTTCATCTCCCCTCTCTCAGGCCCTTCCCTAACCGCTGCTTTGCCCCCTACATCTTTCTCCTTGTCTTTCCCTCCCTCTTAGTCTCTGCTTCCCCATACCTTTCTGTAGCAGCTCCCCGCCCCCGCCCCTTGCCCCAGCTGCTCCTCTTGGCTTCACCCTCATTTCTTCCTACCCCTCTCTGCTGTCTCCTGGCCCACCCCCCTTGTCCCCCCTCTGTTGGTCTCTCTCCCAGATCCTGGGAAGCCCAGCGGGAATGTGTGGGTCAAGATTTCACTAGTGGCCCCTGGGAGCCCAGGATGAGGGGTCACCACCTCGCCCCCACCCAGAAAGGGGGTGGGAAGGGGCAGCGAGGCTGTGGCCTGTCTGGCCAGAAGGAAGTGACTGTGCTGTGGCCTGGTCACCCCCGCCCCCAAGGACCTGCCGGGCTGCTACCGCCCCCGGGCTGGGGCCGAGTAAACACAGCCGCCGGCAGCTCAAGATATTTATACCGCGGTCCGGGCGTGGGTCCAGTGCCCACCACAGCCCCTGCCCTGCCCTGCCTGCCACAGCCAGCCCCGAGCCAACGTGGCACCGGCCGGCAAGGGGACGCGGCCGCAGGCACAGCCAGCCTCCACTCGGCACCGAGGCCGCTGGGCGCGTCACTCGGGACACCAGCGGCCTCACTGGGGACACAGGATGCCCCCCTACCCTGGAGACACCAGCACAAATGCAGCCCCGCACGGGCAGCTGCCCGTGAACGTGAGCAAACACTCCACCGAAAACTCCAAAGCGACAGCGCAAAATAGAGACCCACGCAGCTGCTCACACTTAAGTCATCAGCCCACATGCGGGGACACAGAATGCAGACACCACCTGCTCACAGACCCCACAGGGGCTGAGAACACCAGTCCCGGAGATGGACACGCACACACACCGCGAGGACAGCAAGCATGTGGCAGACACACCCCACAGACACAAACATGCTCAGAATACCAACAACACACACTGATCATGAAACAATGTAACCCAGAAGCTGCTCGCCCACAGACGCACCGGGAACTGTTACACACACATACTGAAAACAGCCTGAGCAGGAAACACAACACACACACACACCATACCTCCTGGAAACACACTTTTCTCACATACCCATAAACACACGTCTACTCAAACTTAATCCAAGAATGTACAAATTTACACCCAGAGAAAAGCAAGGGTGTTGAGAAAAAAGATCTAGACACATAACACACCCCAGGGTCACAACCAACTTACACACACAGACTAACCGAGTCACATGGTGTCATAACACAGAACCCAAGCGTGCAGGCCAGCTGTACAACAGAAACACAAAGCAGGTGCAAGCGCCACGAATGCAGTACAGTCACACACACACACACATTCACATCAGAAACACGAAAGACACCACCAACTGGATGTCCAGAGATGGAGGGAGAAAGGGATTTTCTCTCCCTCCACCTCACCGCCCCCCTCCCTTTTCTCCCTCTCTCGCTGACCCTGTCCCAGGTCCCAGGCACGTCTGGGGGAGGGGACAGGAAGGCCTGGGCTGGCCTCCCTCGGCCCCGCTTCCTGCCCTGTGGGGGCCGGACGGGAAGCTGGGGCTCCAACCGGAACCCAGGCTCCCCCCATGACTTCCCTCCCCGCCCGGGCTGCCCGCGGAGGCTGGGGAGGGGAGCGGCGGGCCCCCCGAGCCCCCGGGTTCGCCTGCAGCTGGCTGGCGGCCGGTCCCGCCAGGTCCGGACCGGGCCCGGCCTCCCCGCGGGGGCCCGGTGCTGGGAGCGGCCCGGAAGGTGCTGAGCCCGCAGCTTTGCTGCCCCCGGCGCCCGGGCAGGTGGGCGGGGTGTGGCCCGAGGGCGGGGCCGGGCTCGGCGGCCGCGGGAGCGCGCGGCCCCGTGCGCGGCCGGGACTTGTCCCGGGCCCAGGCGCGAGCTGGGCGTGTGAGGGCCGCGGCCCCGGGGGTGTGTCTGGGTGTGGGGGACTCTCCGTCTGGGCCCCGGGGTGTGACAGCGCGTCTGGGTATGACGGGGAGGCCGCCGTCCGGAGGGCCGTGGGGGACTCCCCGGGCTGCGCGTGTGGAGCGGCCGCTGTCAGGCCGAGTGGGCACGGCCGCCCGCCCGGCGGTCTGCGCGGCCCTGACGTGTCAGGTCTCCGTGTGTGGGACGCGCCCGGGTGGGGCCGTGACGCGTCAGGCCGCGTGCGTGCACGCTGTGCCTGTGGGTGACGGTGACCCCTCGGAGGATGTTTGTGTAACTGCTGGTGGGTCGCAACCTGAGACTGTTTCATTTCCTGAGCGGCTCGGATGCCGCGAGGAGTGTGTGCCGGACACTGCTCTTCCTCTCTGTCTGCTGTGCGGTGGTTGTGACCAGGACCCCACAGAAAAAACTTGTATCACTGCGTCTTGCTGTGTCCCTGTTAGGTCTCTGCTTATGGTGTGTCCCCGCGGAACTCCAAGGCTGGGCTGTGGGCACGGAATGGGGCGCTGTGTCACCTTGGCACCAGGTCTCCCGGTCAATGACTCGTGGGTCCCACGGGTGTTTGTGTGTGTCCACTGTGGCACTCAGGCGACTGGGACATTGTGGGACCTTTACCCATATCTTAACCTCTGTGTGAATGTGAATGTGTGCGTACATATGCCACATCCTCTTGGGGCCACAGTGACTACTATTCATATCCTTGTGTCCTTGCCGGCATCTCCACACAAGAGGCTGGTAACAATGGCGACACGTCCTTGAATAGAGACCTCCTCTGGTCCCCCATTTCTCGCCCCGCCCCTTTATGGCTCCCAGACCTGGGGCAAGAGGAGTGACCACATGTCTACCATGGGTCTGGGCTGGAGGGGGCACATGCTGGGACTCACACATCCAGACCTAGAGCCGCTGCACCCCCCAACAAAGGAAGCTCAGCACTCACACCATCAGGGCAGTCACTGACCAAAACAGATTAAGGAGATAGGCAAGGGAGAGACAGGAACTGAAACCAGGGAGGAAGAGGAGAAACTGAGAGGCCAGAGAAAGAGGAAGCAGGGGACAGTTCACCAGCAAGACCCCAGCGGACGGGAACAGAGCAAAGGGAAAGCCACCCCAGCTCAGGGTGCTGTCATTTCTCTCCTGGACAGTTGGTCTCCCTGGGGTCACCCTCAACCCCCTTGAGTCTGCTGTCAACCATCAGCCAGAGGGAACCTCTCAGCAGGTCAGATCACATCCCTCTTGTGTTCAAAACCCTGTCATGGTGCCTGCCTCCCTCAGAGAACAGGTTCCTTGATGGGGGTCTGGAAGGTGGGACCAGTGCAGAAGTCACGTGCATAAACCCTCAACTCCAGCTGCCTGGATTCGAATCCCAGCTCTGCCATTTGCTAGCTGTGTGACCTTAACAAGTCACTTAACCTCTCTGTGCCTGTTTTCCCATCTGTGGAGTGGGGAGCAAATGGTCCCTGTAGCAGGAGTTGTCAGGCTTTTCCTATCAAGGGTCAGATAGTAAAGGTTTTTGACTTTGCACAGTTTCTACTCAGCTCTGCCCTTGTAGTGCTAAAACAGCCACAGACAGTACAGTAGGGAATGACCATGGCTGTGATCCAGTAAAACTTTATTTACAGAAACAGGCAGCCTGTCAGATTTTGCCTCGGGAGACAGTTTGCCAACCCCTGCTTTCTTGAGCTGTGGGGAGAATGCCATGAGCTAGAAGCTCCATACCTGGCGTGGAGAATTGTTGTTATTACTCTCTGGGCTGAGTGTTAACTTTCTGACTCAGATCTTAACACCCTTCCCTATGCCCCTCCCTTCTAACCACACTGGCCTCTTTCCTGTGTAGCTTACCCCAAGTTCATCTTCACTTCCAGGCCTTTGCTTTTGTCCTCCTACCAAGAACATGCTCCCCGATCCTCACCCAAGCTGCCATTTTGGCTTCCTTCAAGTCCCAAATGCCACCTCCTCCAAGAAGCCCTCCCTCCTCCCCAAAGCCATCTCTAGCCCATCCTGCTTTCCTATTTTTGCCCAACGCTACTATGTCTGTCTCCTCCCTAGAAAGGAGGTTCTTAGTGGGCAGGAACAATTCCTTAACCTCTCTGGGCTTCGGTTTTCTTAAAGTGGGTGTTAACAATCTCTTTATCTCAGAGCTTTGTTATGGTGGTTTAAAAAGTTAATTAATATAAGACACTTAAAATAGGGTCCAAGGTGTTCAATCAAGAAACCTAACAATAAATAAATCTAAATGTTCACTAGGAGTAAGGAACGTAACAAGCGCAAAGGAAGTTTTTGTGTGAAGAGGGGCAAATGAATAGTGGACAAAGACAGGAGGAGGCAGATGGAGGGGAGGGAGAGAGGTGAGAGAACGTCGGAAGGGAGAATGCCATTAGGCGCCCAACGATACAGAGACCCAATCCTCTCGCCACCTTTAATGGACCCCAGGTGGGCTTGATAGGGGGGCGGGGTGCTGTGTCCTTAAATACAGTCCTGGTGAGGCGGGCGGGGGCGGGGCCGGGCCTGCCGGGTGGGCGGGGCCTATGGGGCGGGGGCTGTTGGGGTGGGCGGGGCCTCAGCTGCACTTGCAGGAGCGCACGATCATGTTGGACAGCTGCTCCACCTTGGGCTTGCGGCCCACGTAGTACACGATGGGCAGGGGCTCCAGCGCCTGAGGCACGCAGCACGGCGCCGCCGACGCGCCCGGGTTGTGCTGGTTGTACAGGGCCAGGACCTAAGGGGCGGGTGCGCGGGGTCAGGGTCGGGGGTCGCACGGAGGATGCCACCACCCTGCCAGCCTCTCCCCATCTCCCTGTCTTATCTCACTCCAGGTCTTTCTGGTTCTCTGCCTCTCCCCATGTTCCACTCTTGGCTTGTATCTCACTGTCCTTCTTCCATCTTCCGAATTCTCTACCCTCCTGCCTTTTTCTCTCTCATTCTGTCTGTCTTTTTCTTTCTCCTTCCATGTCCCCACGTCTTCCCACGCCCTTTATCCGTCTCCACGGGCTAAGTCACTTTAGTCGTGTCCGACTCTGTGACCCCATGAACTGTAGCCTGCCAGGCTCCTCTGTCCATGCGGTTTCCCAGGCAAGAATACTGGAGTGGGCCGCCATTTCCTTCTCCAGGGGATCTTCCTAATCCAGGGATTGAACCCACGTCTGTCTCTTATGTCTCCTGCATTGGCAGGTGGGTTCTTTACCACTAGGTCTCCCCATAACTCTGTCTCCCACTCCCTTGAGTCTAACTTTACAGACGCTGCCTCGAGCTTTTCTCCCATCCCATTATCACCTCCCCTCCAACCTCCCTCTCCCCTGTATTTCGGACTACCATCTCGCCAATTCATCTGATTTGACTTCTCTTTCTCCCTCTCTTCCCTCAGTTTCTGCTACTCGCATCCCACCCCCAGCTGGGGAGTGGGGAGGTGTCAGGCTCCAGACGCACCTTGCTGTACTGCGTGTCCAGGCTCCAGATGTAAGGGCACGGCCCCAGGCAGAAATTGGCGTGGTACCCCTTGGGTTCGTGAATCCACTTCCAGCCCAGGTCCTTGCGGAAGTCAATGTAGAGCTGACGAACACAGCAGTTCTTTTCTGTGGAGCTGCAGGCAGGAGGGAAAAACACTGTCAGGAGAGCAGAAGGCTGCCCCTCGTCCCCTGGAGTGTGTGTGTTTCACCCTGGTTGCCCTCCAGCACCTTATCCAACTTGGTCTCCCTTGCACCCTTGTGATAATAACAGCAATAATAGTAATAATAGTAGTGATCATCGCTAACACTGGTAAAGCACTTCCTCTAGTCCAGCACTGCACTAAGGGCATCCTCATAAGCATTATCTCAGACAGCACTCAAAACAAGCCTGTAAGGCGCCAAATGAGGGGAGTTCCCAGGGAGATATCCAGTGGTTAAGACTCCGAGCTTCAATACAACAAAAGAAACAAACAAACAAAAACCAAACAAACAAAAAAAGACTCCAAGCTTCCACTGTAAGGTGCGTGGATTCGATCCCTGGTCAAGGAAGTTCCACGTTGCATGCTGCACAGTGCAGCCACAAAAAAAAAAAAAAAAAAAACCCAAGCCTACAGAAGCCAAATGACCGTCCACAGGGGACAGCTACACAGATCACACCACATCTACACACTGCAACATAAACAACACAGTGCAGGGCCATGTGCCCTGATATGTTCTAAGTGTGCAACAAATGTTTACTGAACTACTACTGCGTGTTGGGCTGGGGTCTACTGGGGACTCAGTACAAATGAAACAGACAAACCCCTGCCTTCTGGGGCCACATACTAGAGACTGTCATGTCGCTCCTCTGCTCTGAACAAGCCCAATGCCCAAGTCCTCGCCACAGGCTCAAGGAGCCACCAGATCGAGCTGATCTCAACTCCCTCCCCACTTCCCCTCTCACTGTCCTCTGGCCGCTTTAGCATCCTCGCTGTTCCTGAGTCCCAGTCCAGGACCTTTGCAGGTGCTGTTCCTTCTGCCTGACTTGCTGTTCCCACAGATACCCTCTCTGGCTGTTTCTTCACTCCATTTATACATATGCTCAAACATCCTTCACTTTGGGGAGTCTTCACTCCTACAACACTGCCTGGCATGCAGTAGGTGCTCAATAAATATCAGTTAAACAAATGACCTCATTGCCTCAGAGACTGGCCTGGATGATCCTACCCAAAATGCCAATCTAAATAATTAATTCCTAGGGACTTTCTGGGCAGTTCATTGGTAAAGACCCTGTGCTTCCAATGTAGGGGGCATGGGTTCCATCCCTGGTCAGGAAAGATCTCACATGCCATGAGGCGCAGCAAAAAAAAGATTGTTAATTCCATTTCGTGTAATAACAACATTTCAGTTCTGCAAGAAAATATAAAAATGTCTGCAACTGAAATGGGGCAAATCTTAATGCCTGATGATCTAGATGAGAGTATACAGGGGTTCATTTTATCATCTTGTTGCTTATACATTTAAATGTTTCCATAATTAAAAGTTTAAATCAGAATAGGAAAAACAAATCATCACAATTTCTTTCTTTCTTTCTTCTTCCTTGGATTTATATTCATTCTTAGAACTTACTGCCACCTGCTCTTTCATTAGAGATTGATTTGTTTATCTGTTCATTTCCTGTCTTCCTCCGAGGACAGGACTTTTTGTCTATTTTGTCCCTAAAGGTGTCCTCCCTGCCTACAATAGTCCCTAGCACGCAGCAGGTGCTTAGCAAGTGTTGGCTGTATAAATTAATTGATCAATATGTTATATTTTTTAGAAGCACATCAGAGAGTGGTGGTGTGTACTGCCATGTACTCATGATCTCTGTCCCAGGCTTAGATGCAAAAGTCAGTCCTCGGGCTTCAGTCCTCAGTCCTGGTGGCTCAGTGGTAAAGAATCTGCCTTGCGATGAAGGAGACATGGGTTTGATCCCTTGTCGGGGAAGACCCCATATGCTGTGGAGTGACTAAACCTTTGTGCCACAACTATTGAGCCTATGTTCTAGAGCCGGGGATCCACAACTACTGAGCCTGTGTGCTGCAATTACTGTAGTCCATGCACTCTAGAGCCCGTGCTCTGCAACGAGAGAAGCCACTGCAATGGGAAACCCACACACTGCAACTAGAGAAAAGCCTGCACAAATATAATAGAAGTCTGTTCAGAGGGGGACTGAGGGGTCAGAACTGGAGAGTCTTTGAATATCCTTTCTAGGTTTGGTCCATGTGCATGTATTTTCCTATTTAAAAATTAATACAGAATTTCCTACAAGGCAGGGCTTTTTTTTTTTTTTTCAATATGTATTTGGCTGTGCCAGGTCTTTGCAGCAACGGGCGAATTCTTTGATTGCTCTATGAGGATCTTAGTTCCCTAACCAGAGATCGAACCCAGGCCGCCTGCGTTGGGAGTGTGGAGTCTTAGCCACTGGACCACCAGGGAAGTTCCAAGGCAGGTATTATATTATTATTCCAATTTGAAGGAGGAATAAACTGAGCCTTAGAGAAAGGGGGATGCTGTCTGTCCAAATGTAGGCTGTGGGTGGTAGAGTTCAGGGCCAGAGGTCTCTGACTTCATTTGCCCAGCCCAACCATGCCAGCTCAAGCCAAGCGGGAGGAGGCGATGCCACAGGCTCTCCCAGGGCAAGCCAAGGCCTTTCCAAGAGCCACAGGACCTCAAGAAGGAAGTCAGGAAACAGATTCCTGTGAGCTCAGCCTGATCCCTCCTCAGTCTGGTTAGGCCTCAGTTCCTTCATCTGTACAAAGATGCAGGGCACGTTAGATCAAATAAGATATTGTTAAGGGCCAAGGAGACATCAGGAAGCCCATGGACAGGCTCAGGGAGGGGTCTGAGCTCTCTAAACCAGGCACACATATGTGCGGTGGTGTTGTTTAGTCGCTAAGTCCTGTCTGACTCTTCTGCGACCCCCTGGACTGCAGTCTGCCAGGCTCCTCTGTCCACGGGGTTCTCCAGGCTAGAATACTGGAATGGGTTGCCATTTCCCCCTCTGAGGTATCTTCCTGACTCAAAGATCAAACCTGTGTTTCCTGTAGCTCCTGCATTGCAGGCGGATTCTTTATCGATGAGCTACCAGGGAAGCCCACATATGTGTGTATGTATAGGCATATTCTGGGGGGAAAAGGTTCCTGGCTTTCAGCTTCTCAAAAAGGTCTTAGATTCACAAAAGGGAAAGAAGCACTGTCCAGAAAAATCTATCATTTCTGGTCCAGCTCTGCTGGGGTGCTGAGATCCTCTGATTTGAAGTATGTGATTCCGTTACCCAACTCAACTGCTCTCCATGTGGGGTTCCTGGAGCAGCCGAAGCAGCATCGCCTGGGAACTTGTGGGAGATGCAAGTTCTCAGGCCCCACCCCAGATGCACTGAATCAGGAACTGGGGGGTGGGGATGGCTGGGAGACAGCAGGCCACATTTAACAAGCCCTCCAGGTGACCCTGAGCTACTCTCTAGCCCTGGATGTTGAGGAAAGGGTCACGGAGGCTTCCCAGTGGAGATAGTGGTTAAGCTAAGAATAACTTTTTATTGCGGAAAGTCTCGGACATACACCAACCCACTCCAGTAGTCTTGCCTGGAAAATTCCATGGACAGAAGAGTCTGGCGGGCTACAGTCCATGGGGTCGCAAAGAGTCAGACACGACTGAGCACAGCACAGGCATGGGACATACACAAAAGCAGAGAATCTTACATTTAACTGCTGTGTCTCTACCATCCAGCTCCAACAAACATCAAGTCATGGTCAGTTTCACTGTATTTCTACCCCTATCCACTTTCTCTCCTTCACCGAATGATTTTGAAACCCACGTCATCCACCGTATTATTTCATCCATAAATATTTCTATCTCCAAGGAAATCTAGACTACTTTAGAGCATCACACACAAACAATTAACGGTAATTCCTTGATATCATCAAATATCTAGTCAGAGTTCATACTTCCCCAACTGTCTCATAATTATCTTTTGAATTATTTTATTTTTCTATTTTTTAGCCATTCTGTGCAGCATGTGGGATCTTAGTTCCCTGACAAGGGATGAAACCCACATCCCCTGCATTGGAAGCACAGAGTCTTAAACACTGGACTACCAGGGAAGTCCCAATACCTTTAAAAAAATAAGAAAAGAAAAAGTTTGGGGAATTCCCTGGCGGTCCAGTGGTTAGGACTCCATGCTTCCAATGCAGGAGACATGTGTTTGATACCTGGTAAGGTTAAGATCCTGGAAACCATGAAGCGAGGCCAAAAAGCAAATAAGTAAATACAATTTTAAAAACAGTCTGCATACATACTCAAGTAAAGTTTATACATGGCTATTGGTTGAAACATCTTTTAAGATTCTTTTAAAAATCTATAAACCCATCTCTCTATTTCATCCCTTTGTATCATATTTGTTGAAGAAACTAGGTCAGGTTTCCCACAGTCTAGATGTTGCAGACTGCATGCCCATGGTGCTGTTTAAGGTGTTTCTCTGTCCTTGTATTTCTGGAAACTTGGGAGTTGGACCATTATTGATGGGCTTCAGGTTTGATTTTTTGGCAAGACTTCCTAAGTGGCACTGTGTCGCTCACATGGCTGGCTGCCTCTCTTTTAATGTTATAGCAGACTGGCACTCAGACTTTAATCCATCCATTCATTCATAGAGTTGTTGGGCAGAAGGTAGGATCGGGTGATGAAGGACCTTGGAAACGGAGCTGACTTTCCAGCAGGAGAAGTGCATGCAACAAAGCCCAAAGGCACCATCAAAGTGCTTAGCAGAGGCAGGCCAAGGTCAGATTATCATTTTAAATTTGCGACATTCTAACCCTCAATTTCAAAATTCCAAGACTACAACTTCTCAGTTTTCTTAGACTGCAATACACTGGCATCTCAAGATTCTAACACAGCAACAGCTTTCCAACTTTCTAGAATTCCCACATCCCCACTCTCGAGGATCTTGGCATTCTTTTTTTTTTTTTTTTTTGATCTTGGCATTCTTGAATTCCAATATTTCAAAACAGCATTCCAGCATTCCACAGTTCTGAGCCCATCTCCCAAGAGGTCCAAGCTGCCACTTTCTAAGATTACAGGCTTCCAAGATTCTAACAAGACTCCAGCACTGGGACTTCCCTGGTGGTCCAGTGGTTAAGAATCCACCTGCCAATGCAGGGGACATGGGTTTGATCCCAGGTCAGGGAAGATCCCAAATGCCCAGGAGCGATTTAAGCCCACAAGCCACAGCTACTGAAGACCGAGCACCTAGAGCCCATGCTTCTCAACAAGAGATGCCTCCTCAACTAAAGCATGCCCAAGCAGCAGTGAAGATTCAGCACAATCAAGAATAAATAAGACTAAGCCCCAACATTCTAAGGTACCAGCATTCTGGCTTTCACCAACTCCAACATTTATGGATGCTAAAAGTTCAACACAGGATTCCACCATTGTGGACCTAATATTCAAGGACTCCAACCTGCCAACATGGGAGATTCCAGTCTGTAAATGGTACCCATCATGGGCAATCTCCCGGTTCTGAATTCCCAACTTCTAAGAACCCAACATTCCTTGAATCCAACATTCTCAGACTTCAATAATTAATACCGAATTCTAACATCCTAGAATCCCAACGTTTTCAAACCCCAACCTGCCCACAGTACAGGAATCTAACATGGTGACCTTCCAATGCTAAAATCCCACATGTTCAGTGTTCCACATACTGATAAGTCTCCGATGCCAACCAACCAGCAAGAGACCCGCCTGATCTCAACATCCGAGAACTCCCAGTTTACACACACTCTAGCATCCGAGGCTCGGACCTCGTCCCCTGAGCCCTCCAAGCTGAAGGAGGTGCTAGTCCAAGAAAAGCACCAGCCAGGTGCTCAACCTGCGGTGGCCGCTCAGTGAATGGCGAGGATGCCCCCAGCCCAGAAGGCTGCAAGGTTCACCTGAAGCAGTAGTTGGTGTCCAGGGCTCGGCGGTGACGGGAGCTGTGCAGGTGCTGGGCCCTCTCCAGAGGGGTGGCCATGAGGAGCAGGAAGGGCCGGTTCATGCCGTGAATGGTGGCGAGGTCACCCCGGCGGCCGGAACTGAACCCTGCTTTGGTTTTGGGAGTCAGGGGGGTGGGGAAGATTGGGGACAGACACACACACACACTCAGATGGATGAATGACAGGGATGGGTGGGGGAGGACACACACACACACACAGACACACATCACTGCTGGGGGGGGGCAGGGAGGGGGCCTCACCGTTAATGTCCACTTGAAGCGTGTTATCTTTACTGTCACAGGAACAGTGGGCACTGAGGCGAAAGCCCTCTATTTCCTCTGTGGGAGTGGGGAGAGGGAAGCCAGTGTGAGGGGGGCGGCTCACCCACCCCTGCGGGTGGGCAGGAGAGGAAGGAAGGTGCAAACCCCTGGGGTGTGGGGGGGATCTTCTTGCGCCTTACCCTGCCTGCCCCCTCACTGCACCCTCTCGCTGCAGTTCTTGGCCTTGCGGCCTCCTCCTCCTCCTCCTCCAGGTCTCAGCTCCAAGGCCACCTCCTCCGGGAGGCCCTCCGGGACACAGCCCCTCCCCCAACCCTGACAGCACTTTCTTTTCTCCAAAGCACTGACCTCTGTAGCTCTGACATTTGTCTTTGGCTATTTATTTCCTCATTGTTCTCAGTGACGAGCAGGATACAACGGGGGCAGGGAACCTTGTTTTCTTGTTCCCTGCTGGGCCTGGCCCACGGTCTTACAAACAAACATCTCCTGAGTGCGCTGGGCGCCAGACCCTGTTCTAAACACTCTTTGTGAGTTATTTCCTTTAATCCTCACCAAAGTTCCCCATTTTACAGATGAGGAAGCCAAGGCCCACAGGCAGGGCTGGGATGGGATGCAAGGACCAAGGCTCCTGTCCCAAAGCAGGTGCAGAAGAAAGGTTTTCCTTGTCCAGCTCTGCGACCCTATGAACTGTAGCCCACCAGGCTCCTCTGTCCATGGGATTCTCCAGGCAAGAATACTGGAGTAGGTAGCCATTCTCTTTTCCAGGGCATCTTCCCAACCCAGGGATTGAACCTAGTTAGTCTCCTGCATTACAGGCAGATTCTTTACCATTTGAGTCACCAGGGGAGCCCTTTTGAAAGAATATGTATATCTAATAATCATAGCAGAGTTTATCAGTTGTTCTTATTTTTTAAATTAACTTTTAGCAGAGTGTAGTTGCTGTACAATGTTGTGTTAGTTTCTGCTGCTGCTGCTGCTGCTAAGTCGCTTTAGTCGTGTCCAACTCTGTGCGACCCCACAGACGGCAGCCCACCAGGCTCTGCCGTCCCTGGGATTCTCCAGGCAAGAACACTGGAGTGGATTGCCATTTCCTTCTCCAGTGCATGAAAGTGAAAAGTGAAGTCGCTCAGTCGTGTCTGTACAGCAAAGTGAATCAGCTGAATGTATACATATATCCCGGAAGAAAGGTTTCTCGAATGAATGACTGAATGAATGCTTTCCTAAGCACCCACTATTGTGTGGACCCTGTGTTGGGTGCTCTGGACTCAGCAGTCAGCCCAGAACACTTGCCCCAGTATGCACCTGCTCCCTAACCCCCGTCATTTCCTCTGGCCAAACCATCACCTCTTCCATGAGTCCCAATACAATCATTCTCACCCAGAAAGCCCTCTTGGACCCCCCTCAGAGGTGTTAGGGTGCCCACTCTGGGCTCCTATAGCACTTACGGTCTCCTCCATCCCAGCCCTGCTCATCCTGGCCATCATGGCCTGCTAAGGCTTTGGGCAAGATTTCCTGAGTGTCTAGAAGTGAGTGCGGGTCCCCTGAGGGCAGGCCTAGAGGTTGTCATGGTTACCACTGTGTTCCCCCACCCCACCAGCACAGGGCCAGCCAAGAGCAGGAACCTACTAGCATTTACCGATGAAGGAATGAATGAGAGGGAGACTAGGAAGGGAGATGTGAGCACTGGGGCCTTTGACGTAACAGGACAGATAGTCCTCTTCCAGACAGAAGAGGTGTGTCAGGCCTTCCCCAGACTCAAGGCCTCTGCACAGCCTATCCCTCTGCCTTGAACACTCTTGCCCCTCCCTCGTTTCCCAGGCTGGCCCCATGCATCCCTCAGACACCCACTCCAATATCTCCTCCTCCAGGAAGCCCTCCCTGACCTCCCAGGCTGCATCAGGCACCTCCTCTGGGCTCCCCATCCCAACCCTGCCCACGCTGGGAAATCACTACCTGGTTTTCAGGTCTTTTCCCCAAGTCCCCCAACCCAAGTCATGGAGCACGAGCTTCCTGAAGGTCAGGATGAAGCTGTTTTCGTCACTTCTGTGTCTCCAGCATCACCCAGCACAGGGCAGGTGCTCAAGAAATGGATTAACCATTAATCACTCAGGTGTGAGTGTCTGGGAGGAGGGCCAGGTCTGGGCTCTTCAGCACCAACATAGGGCAGGGGGGGTGCTAGGCAGGATGGTCCCAGGACAAATAATGGGTTACAAAACAGAGGTGGGGCAGACAAGTGGTCCTCACCTCTGTGGGTCAGCCACTGCCGCACAACTCCAGTGACGTCAAAGGACAGCCACTCTGGTGAGTCGCTGGGGGCGAGCAGCCGGTTGCTGAGGTAGCGCCAGGAATTGTTGCTATATTTCTGGGGGATGAAGAATTGGGGGTTGAGACAGTGGGTAGAGGCTGCCACACACACCCATGTACCCTGCACCCCTCAATCCATCTGCTCCCCAAAAACGGGTCTCCACACAGTCCATCAGACAGTTCCCCTCCCAGACATCCACACTGAGGGGCTTCACAGGAACCACCCAACCCCACGACAGGGGACAGAAAACTCCAGGCTGGCAGTCAAGACACCTAGGCATTTCAACCTCTACCCTTGATCCCGGGATGGTTGTGGAAAATTCCTTTCTCTTTTTTGGCCTCAGTTTCCTCACTGGTGAAATGCCCGGTTCCTTTCAGCTTGGACAGCTCATGAGGCCATGATTCTCCTACTGACACCATAGAGGTCACTGGCGATGCAGCTCTGAATTCTGAGAGTCTATCGCTTTCTAGAAGTTATGTTCGAAGTCATTCCGTAACTCCAGCACTTGGTGGCACCCCTAGAATTACACATTCTATGAACCCGAGAAGTTTTATGAGACTCAAGTTCAACAAACCCAGGAGTCCGACATGCCAGAAACCTAGACAGTTGCAGACATCTGACATCCACAAGGAATGACGCCCTGGGAGCTGGCAGCATAAAGCCAAGTTCTCTAGACTCCGTGCAATTAGTATCAAAGCTTCCTCGTCTTAAGAGTCTAACATCTACCACTGAATCTAACATTCCATCTGGCATGGCTTCTAGGTCACATAACCTTTGAGAAAATCCAGATTTTCTGGACTCTTCCTGGAGACTCTTCTAGAACAGAGCTATCCAAGAGAACTTTCTGTGACAATGCAAATGGGCTTTATCGGTGGTGTCCAAAATAGCAGCCACTCACCCCATGTGACTACGAACCACTTGAACTATGGCCAGTGAGACTGAGAAACTGAATTCTTTCTTCTATTTAATTTAATCCATTTAAATGGCCTTATGTGGCTGGTAGCTACTGGATGGGCACAAGGCATTTTGAAAGTCTCTAACTTTTCAAAGATTCCAAGTTTTCTTGTCCTGAGTTTTCAGAGCCCAACTCCAAAGATTCCAGCTGCTAAGCACTTAACATTCTAGGGCTCTAGGAGACTCCACAATCTGTGCTCCCTCATCCTTCAGGGTTGGTCTGCCTGGACCCTGCAGCCACCAGCCTTGTGGCCGTCCTGGGACTACCCCAGCCCAGGCCACCTTTCGGGACCCTTGCCCCCACCTGGTACAGCTCCACATGCTGCTCCACTTTTAACTTGAGCCTCAGCAGGCGCAGCTCTGCCCGAGAGAGCAACACAGGTTCGGGCACCGCTTCCCGGAGCTCAGACGTGTTGAAGAACATATATATGCTGTGCGAGTTAGACTTCATCTTCTCATAGATTTCTAGGCAGAAAGAGTCAAGAGGAGGGATGTCAGTGTTTAGCAAGGGGTAGGGGTGCTAGTGCACCCCAAATCGAAGTGCTCTGGGTTGGAGTCTAACCCTGACACTTTTTAGCTGTGTGACCTTAGGCGACCAGCTTCTCCCCTCTGGGTTCGTTTCCACCTCTTTATTATTATTATTATTTTAAATATTTATTTATTTGGCTGTGCAGGGTCTTAGTTGTGGCATGAGATCTTCGGGCTTCGTGGAATGTGGGGTCTTTAGTTGCAGCATGCGAACACTTAGTTGCAGCATGTAGGATCTAGTTCCCTGACCAGAGATTGAACCTAGGTCCCCTGTGTTGGGAGCTTGGAGTCTTAGCCACTGGACCATTAGGGAAATTCCTCTAGCTCTTTAAACAGGGGTCCTATTCATCCTTCCCTCTCATCAGCTAGAAAATGGCCCCTCAGTACAAAGTGAGCTTGGGGGTGGGGCTGCTCTGCTTGCTCAGGCCTCCACCTGGAGCTTCAAATGCAAGTTATGTTGAAGCAGACAGATAAAGGCACTTGGATCAGACTATGCCTCTGCTGCCTTCTGTGACCCTGGGCAAGTCACATTCCCTCTTGGAGCTGTTAAATCTACTTGACATCAAGCTCTCTGCCTCCCAACCCAGGCTCTCCTAACTGAAGCGCAGTGGAACTTTGGGCAGGTGAATTCCTCTCTCTGTGCCAGATTCTCACCTATAAGCCAAGGACTGATGATAGGATGACAGTGTGAAATAGATGAGATGATGCAGATGAAGTATGTCGCGCAGAGTCTGCATACAGTGGTTACTCTAATGTGTATTCAACAATCCCATGAGAAAGAGTCCATTAGTATACTCATTTTATAGATGGACAAACTGAGGCAAAGAGATGAAACAATTTGCCCCTAGGCCACACAGCCGGGAAACTGCAGTGTGGGGTGGGGATTCAAACTCGGCCAGTCTGATCAGAGCCTATGCTCCCTATAATCCCTCGGCTATGCTCCCTCCCTGCTAGTGTGACATTATTTTTGTTATTATTATTAGTATTTCCTCCCTTAACTGGTTAGAGAAAGTAAAGTTCATTCTAGATAAGGATGGCTTCAGGGGTGGGGGAAGGGAAACAGAAAATTAAGACTCCTAGTCCAGGAGACTTGCCTGGTGGCTCAGATGGTAAAGCATCTGCCTACAATGAGGGAGACCTGGGTTCAATCCCTGGGTCGGGAAGGTCTCCGGGGGAAGGGAATGGCGCCCCCCCCCCCGAAAAAAAAGGGCTCAAAGAAATATTTCTGGAGAAGGAAATGGCAATCCACTCCAGTACTCTTGCCTAGAAAATTCCATGGATGGAGGAGCCTGGTGGGCTACAGTCCATGGGGTTGCAGAGTCGGACACGACTGAGCAACTTCACTTTCTTTTCCTAGTCCAGGAAAAACTGGGGACTGGGAATGAGGGGGACAGGCCATGATCAACTGGAGCAGTTTCTTTAGGCTTCTGCAGTGGGGGCGTGGAAATGGTGGAGACATGTTGAGAAAGGACAGAGGAAGACCCTCTTGAGCACCTCCTTCCCCCTGCTCCTCCCATCTCTTGCCGGGCTGGCCCCTCTCCCTCACAAATAAGCCCTATCTTGGCCCAAATGTTACTCAGCCCACCCAAAAGGAAGGGCAGAGCCCAGGCCCAGGAGACAGAAAGGGAGGAAAAGCGATAGAGGGAGCAGGAAGGGTCAGAGGGAGAGATGGAGAGTAGGCTATGGAGGAGAAAAAGAGAAAAAGGGAAGAGATGGAGAGAAACTAGGAGACCCAGAGAGGGACAGAGTAACACGGATGCGGGAGAGACGAAAAGGCAGAAGACGAACGGGAAGACAGACGGAGGGTTTGGGAGCGAGATGGAGGCAGAAGAGGGCTGAAGAGAAACTGAAGTGTCAGCGTTGGAAAAACCTCTCCAACGAAGGTGAAGCGTCGACGGAAAAGGTGAGACGGAGATGTGGGTGGGTAGGCTGTAGGGATGTCATTTGACTGAAGCCGCAGCTGGGCGCCCAAATGGGCCAGAGACCCACACGTCTACTTCTCCAGAAGGAAACTGAAAGCGGGGGGCGGGGTTCGCCCCCGAGCCTCGGGGCCCAGCGGGACGCCTGGGTACCCGCGCGGGCGCCGACAGGGCGGGCCCAGGGTAGCCCCGCCCTGAGCTGGGGGTGAAGAGGGCGGGAGCCGCCGCCGTCGCGAGGGCGGGGACCGGACCTGCCTCGTCTCGCCCCAGGCTCCGCGCGCGATCCCCGCCCCGCAACCCCCCTCCCCACCCAACCCCGAGGCATGAGAAGGAAAGGGAAGGGAGGGCTAAGCAGCCGGACGCTGGGGTTTCCCCAGCCTCGCAGAGAGGAACTAGGAGCTTGGGGTCTAGGCTCTCTGCACTGAGCTCTGCGGGGTCCTCCTGCCCCTTCCGGAAGCGCAGGCTCCTCCCCCACGCCCGCGCGTGGCACCCACGTGGGGCTTCTCCAACCCCTACAAGCTCGGTCTTTCCCCGGGTCTCGCAGAGTCGCATCCACCCACCTACCTCTCCCTACTACGATTCCTCACTCAGCCCTCTCCCTTCCAGCCAGCGGCGGGAGGGTGGGGGGCCCTGCTGCTCCCAGCATGACACGGTCCGTAGCTCCTCTACCCCATTCCAGGTCCACCTTTCTCACGCTTATCCTCCCGTTCTGTAAAACCCCTTCCCACGACCCAGTACTGTAGGTTTCCTGGGGGCGCGCGCTTCCTCCTCTGGGTTTCCTCCCCCTACAGTCCGTCTGGGAAATATTCAGAGCACCTCCTGGCGCATCCTGGGCACCCCCGCCCCCACCCCCTGGGCACATCCTAGGGTCTCCGCTTCTCTCCCGCTAGTTTCCCGCACCCTGCAACCTCGCGTCCCCTTCCGACCTCACATTTATCACCCCCTCCCCGCCTCTCCCTCTAAGCCCTCCCCCAATCTCGCGTGTTCTTCGCGTCCTGTGCATGCGGGTCCACTCTCTACTTTCCTGGCACACCTCTGGGGTTCGCTTCTGTTTTTCTGTCCTTGAATCTTCCTGCCTCACGGCCCCTGAACACTGGGTCAGCTTTCCCCACTACCTCTCTCTCCTTTTCCAAATGCCGGGCTGCTGGTTTCTCCCCAAGTGAGCTCCCTCTCTGCAGCCCCGCTCCCACGACCCCCGCATTCTCGAGCACCCTGCAAGGGGAAGTCTTTTTCGAATTGCTTCGCTTCTCTCTAAGGGACTCCCCGCACGATCTCGCATGATCCCGTCGCCCTCTAAAAGCGGTCCATTTCGCTCACTATCTCTTCTTCAAGACCAGATACCTTGGGGTTAGGGAGCTCAGCTCTATCCTCTTTGGGACCCCTCCCCCCTACACGTTCCCGGCGCCCCCGGGGGTTCTCTTCCTCCAGCCAGTTTCCTCTACCAGCAATTTCCTCCCCGTGACCCCTGCACTCCGGCGCCCCCTGGGGGCTCCCCTCCAGGGTCCCCTGCCCCTGCGAGCTCACTGTTGCCGTATTCCACCATTAGCACGCGGGTGACCTCCTTGGCGTAGTAGTCCGCCTCTGGCTCAGGCTCCGTTTCGGCACTTTCCCCGGCCACCCGGTCGCGGGTACTGTTGTAAAGGGCCAGTATGGCCTCGGGCAGCGGGCCGGGTGGCACGTCCCCCTGGCTCGGGGGGCTGGCGAGCCGAAGCTTGGACAGAATCTGGCCGCGGATGGCCTCGATGCGCTTCCGCTTCACCAGCTCCATGTCGATGGTCTTGCAGGTGGACAGTCCAGCCACCGGCCGGCCAGGCGTCAGCATTAGTAGCCACAGCAGCGGCAGCAGCAGCGGCAGCAGCCGCAGCCCCGAGGGCGGCATGGGGGAGGCGGCGCCCCCCGGCACAGCCGAGAGCGCGAGCTGGGCTGGGGTGGGAAGAGGGAGGCCCCGCCCCTACAGGGGCTGGGGTGGGTGGGGGTCTCCCGAGGAAAAGGTAGGAGGGTCTGTTTGTGGGGAGAGTTGAGGCCTTCAGGGAGAACGGAGCAGAGCTGGAGGGGAGGCTCTGATGGGTGGGTTCTCGGTATCCCACGGAAAAAAACCGAAACGGGTGAGCTCTGGTACTAGAGATGGGTGATCTTGAATAGGAAAGCTGAGGCAAGTCTGAGAGAGATCCCGTCTCCCGGATCCCGGAGAAGGGTCCTCGGATGCGCGGGGGCTCAGGAGAGAGGCTGGGGAGTTGGGGGGCCGTGCAGTGGGGCGCACCCGAATTCTGGGGTCAAGTCTTCGCGGGAGTCGGGTTTGCGGTTCCTGATGGCTGGTCCGGAATGGGGGCGCCTGGGGAATGCCTTGTAGGCGGCAGGGAGGGAGCAAGCGTCCGAGGCGGTGGCGAGGTCTGCTGCTGTCTGGGGTCCTCAAATCCTGCCTCGAGGAGCAGCGCTGCGCGATGCGGTCCCCGCGCCTTCGGCTCCCAGCGGCAGCGGAAAAGTCTCAAAACTTTTTTTCCTCTTCTCCCAACCAGCTCGTCCCTCCTCCCGCTCCTCCTCCCCCTCCTCCCCGCAGTGGCGGCGGCGGCGGCGGGGGCGGCGGCGGCTCGTCTCAGACTCTGGGGCCTCGGGCTGCTCCTCGGCGGCTCCTTCCTCCGCTCCCGGCTGAGGCCGGCCCCGCGGGCGGCTCCGAGCCCGGGGGGTGCCCCGGAGGGGGCGTCCCCCCTGCCCCCGGCCGGGGGCCTCGCTGTCTGGCGGATCCGCGGCGGGAGGAGGGAGGTGGGACGGCCTGGGGCGCGAAGGGCGGCGGCAGCGGGGACCGGCAGGGGCGGCGGGGGTTTTTGAAGCCGCCCCGGCCCCACCCAGGAAGCGCGCGGGGCGGGGGCGGCCCTCAGGGGGAGGGCACGGGGGGGCCGGGCCACGGTCCGCATCTCGCGTGGGCGGGCTCCAAGGGGGGTCCCTTAAGCCCGGAGGGAGGGGGCGGGGACCCGGCTCCGCCCCACCAACAGGGTGCTGCCTCCTGGCGGTCGAGCGCCACCGAAGCGGGCGGCAGTGATGCGTGTGGCTTTGAGGACTGGGCAGGGGGTCAGCGAGAGAATAAAGACCTACCTAGTGCGGAAGGCTCAGAGGATGGGGACGCAGGGTACAGGGACTCCGAGGTGGACCGCCCCGAGTGGAGAGTGGGAAACCGGCGCAGAGGGGAAGAGGGTCAGCCAGAAGCTAAGGAGCCACTGGGGAACGGGGCACGGGGCGGGGGAAACCCCCAAGGAGTGGGGGCCCTTAAGAGCATCACCCAGAGTGGGGAAAGGGGTCAGACGCTGAAGCAGAGGGCAAGGGAAGGGGGCTTGAGGAGGAGGGTAACAGTAGGAGGAATTCCCCCCCTCCCACGTCTGACAGATGAAGGTCAAAAAAGCACCCACACTTGAAAAACACACCTTTATTGAGCCCCTCCATGTGTCCGCAGCTTCTCTGCATCCAACCCCCATGAGCCCACACACCTACTGCCCCCATTTTACAGATGGGGAAACTGGACCTGGGAGGGACAGCCACTGGGCTTGAGGTGCTAGTCAGGATAGAAGCCGCACCAGCTTTGGCTGGGGTCAGGTCTGACAGTCTCCAAAGCCCACACTTCTGACTACTGCACCATCCTGCCCCTTATGGGGTGTCCCAAGACATGGCTGGGGGCCAGTCATCCGTACAGGCTCCTTCAGCATTCGACCCCATAGCGATCGAAGTGGCGCAGCAGCAGGCTCAGCTCAAGGTGCACGGTACCACCGGAGGTGGTGTGCAGGCGATAGCGGTCAGCCCCACTGTAGATGGCATCTCCGTGCAGCAGCTGAGGGCCGCCACCCACGAAGGCCCTCGCCAGCTGCTCTCGCCAGCTGCCCAGGGGCCGCCACGTGGGGCAGTCCAGCTGGTGGGTGCCTGGACTGCTGGGCACATGGCAAAAGCCATAGCCTGCAAGCTGGCAGCGGCCGAAGCTGTCCTGGGACCACACCTGGAGATGGAGCCGGGGCCAGCCTGCATGATAGGAGGGAGGGAGGAAAGGTGAAGGGGTACAGCCCAGCCTCTTGCTCCTGAAGACCCCAGGCCCATTGCTTCCCTGCCAGGTTTCTGCCCCACTCTCCTCCTCTGGAATCCTACTGCCACAGAGCAGCCAAGGGATCTTTCTGAATCCAGGTTCTTCCTCTGCTCAAAACCCTTCCATAATTCCCTAATGCACTCAGTATAAAGTCCAACCTCAACATTCTAGGCCCTTGAGGTCTGGCCTCTGTTGAATTCTCTGTCGGCCTCCTCCTCTGTGTCCCCATCTCCGGGGAGCCCAGTCCCCAGGTGAGGGTGTTGGGTCTTGTTCTGGATGCCTCCCTCCTTCCCTCCCCATGGCCACACCCTGTCCTCTTTCCTGGCCTTGGGGCCTTCTTTCTTGCCTTCATCATCATTCACCTGGCAGCTGGAAGCATCTTTCTCCCCTTTCCATAGACTTCCCAGTTCCTCACTCAAGATACAGTTCAGCTCCTCACCCTATAGGCGAAGTACTTGGGAGATCCAGCCCCATTTCACCCTTCTTTCTGAGTCTCTCTGAGCTTGGCCCGGTTCTGGAAGCTGGGGATACAGCAGTGAACAGGGCAGACAAAAATTCCTGCCCTTGTGCAGCTGACATCTTAGACAACCAACACAGTAAATACGCAAATTATAGGGTATGTCAGATGGTGATAACTGCTCTGGAGAAAAATAAGCTGGGTAGGGTGGGAGTAGGCATGCAGTTTTAGAAGGCAGTGATCAAGAAAAAATTTACTGAGAAGGTGACATCGGAGGGAAGAGACTGGGGGCTATGTGGGCTATCTAGGAAAGGATGCTCCCAGCAGAGGGGACAGCGAGTGCAAAGGCCCTGAGGTGGGAGCTGCCTGGTGGGACGGATGTGGCTGGAGCAGACAGGGAAGGGGAGACAGAACCAGATCAAGCAGGGCCCTGTCCTTCCAGGGTAAGGCTTTGCCTTTTACCTTGAGTGATGTGGGGACCACAGAGGGTCCTAAGCAGAGGAGGAATGTGACCTGACTTAGGTGTTCACAGCAGGGACACCTCAGTAAAGACACTACGTAACAGCCCAGTGAGAGGTGATAGTGGACAGATCAGGGTGCTTTGAAGGGGGTGGGGGGAGTGATGACATTCAGGATTCATTTCAAAGGTGGAGCTAATGGGATTTCCTAATAGAATGAGAAAAGAAACAGGCATAGGATATTTGGGATCCTTAAGAGCTGAAAGGACTGTGGCCTGCCTCACCTTCCAATCCATCACCCATGAGGCAGCCAGAGGGATCTTTTTTTTTTTAATGTTTATTTATTTGTTTGGCTGCGTCAGGTCTCACTTGTGGCATGTGGGATCTCTGTTGCGACATGAGGGCTCCAGAGCCCACAGGCTCAGTAGTCACATGGACCCAGCTGCCCCACAACATGTGAGATCTTAGTTCCCTGACCAGGGATTGAACCTATGTCCCCTGCATTGGAAGGTGGCTCTCAACCTCTGGGCCACCAGGGAAGTCCCCAGAGGGATCTTTTAAAAGCAAAATCTGACTTGTCAATCACCTGCCCTGGCTCCCCAGGTATGGCCTCCACTCTGCGGCCTAGCTCTGAAGATCCTGCAGGGCCTGCCCCCGTCACCTGCCCCATCACCCCGTGTAGTCCCCCTGCTTGCCTTCCATCTTCCAAATACCCCTGATTCACCTTCCCCCTTGACCCTTCCACACATGGCTTTCGGCCTAGAACCCTCTTCCATCTTTCTGTTTTAATAGCTCCTACTAACTCTTCACAGCAAAGCCAAACATTCCCCCTCCTCTGGGAAGCCCTCCCTGAACTCCCCAGCCGAGTAAGGTACCTCCTCTGGGCTCCCAGAGCCCTTCTGGATCCCTCATCCCAGGCCTGCCCACTCTGGATTGCCACTCAGGGTAGTTCTCTCTCTCCCCAGAGATGATCTGTGTGGAAACAGAGCTGGGCTAGCAGGGGCTGTCTCATCACTGACATCTCCTTGGCACCCCCTAACACAGGGCAGGCCCTCAGTAACTATTATTTATATGATAGAAATATATGGCATATTTATCTAGACTATTTCCTGGAATCTGCTCCTTTCTAATGACACATATTCCTCCAGAAAAGGTTTTCTGATGCTCCTCCTCTCTCACATATTCATTTACCCTCCGAGCAGCAGAAAAGCCCTGCTTGCAGAACAGCCTCTGGCCTTCACCTCTTTCTCTCATAATCCTCTCCCAGCTTCCTCCTTTTTTGTCTTTTTTTTTGGCTGAGTCAAGTAGTGTGTGGGATCTTAGTTCCCCTACCAGGGATCAAACCCATGCCCCCTGCATTGGAAGCGCTGCATCTTAACCCGTGGACCTCCAAGAAGTGCCTCCCAGCTTCCTTCTGATGGAAGACTCTCTTGCTTTGTCTCTGTGAAAGCCACATCCCTCTCCCCTGGCCCGCCCCTTGACCTTGCCCCCTTAACCCTGGCCTCTGCCCTGGTTGTAAGGAACTCTAGAGCTGGCCTGGGGAGGTTTCTGCTCAGCCTCTCCAGGGCCAAGTCTGGTCAGGAAAGGGACCCAAAGGCACAGGAAGCAGGGCCAGCACTTGCTGTTCCGTTCTGGTAGCATGGGGATGCCGCTAACCCACCTCCCATTAGTCTAGCCGGAAGCCCAGGCTGGGAACCCACCTTGAAGGCCTTTGGTGGCGAAGTGCAGGTCGATGGGGTGGGACCAGTAGGCCATGTCCCCTATCTGGGGAGTGTCCACCTGTGTTTGGCCCTCCCGCACGCCTGACAGGAGCTTCCATGCTGCCCCTGCAAGTGAGAGCCAGGATATGGATGAGGTGGGGGGAAGGGGCAGGAGACAGTCCTCAAGAAGGGGATCCCACTGTGGCTGCAGGACCCCCTTTTTCTCTAGAACTGGGGATGGGTGGTGGTCAAGGGTTGCAAAGCATAGATCCTGGAGCCAAATGTTTAGATTTAAATCCTGGCACTATTTCTTCCTGCCTATGCAACCTTGGGCTTGTTACTTTTCTGTGCCTCGGTCTTCCCATCTGTAAGGTGGGTATAATAATAATGCATCCCTCACAGGTTTGTGAGGTGATTAAATGAATTAATACACACGAAGCACTAAGAATAGTGTCCATGGCATACTGCCTGCTGAATAAATGTTGGGTATCACTTTATTATATTACTATTCTCATTCCACATTTAGAGGCCCTAGTCTGAGGACTAAGATGGGGCCAAGGGTGTCCTTCATGAACAGAAGCACAGAGCATATTGTGAAAGGTGCATCGTAACAGCAATCCTACCGATGGTGACAGTAATAGCAAAAATGCACCGAGTGCTTACCAAATGCCAGACGCTGTGCTAAGCGCTTTAGTAATGAATTCATTTAATCCTCCTTCTGGGACTCTTAATCCCCACCCCACCCCCTGCTTACAGATTCTCCTCCATAGCCCATAGGCCCTGCAAGGCCTGGCCTGTGCGCCCACCCACCACCTTCCTGAGCTCATCTTTCATCACTTTCCTCATTCCTCACCACTCTCTGGCCTCACTGGTTCTATTTTTGTTCTACTCTTCAGGGCCTTTGCACTGGCTGTTGTTCCTTTTGCCTAGAAAACCCTCCTCCTGGATATCCCCAGACTTTTTTTTTCCCATACTTCAGGGATCAGCTCAAGTGCTACTTTCACAGAGGTGTTCTCCCTCACCCTCCTATCCCCAAACTAACCAGTCCCTTTCACATCATCTCTCAGCTCATCTCTTCCTAGGACCTACTGCACTATCTGTAATCACTGGACTCATGTCTTTATCTGTTTATTTATTCTCTGTCTCCCCTCCTGTGAGCCCCAAGAGAGCAGGGATCTTGTAAAGTACTGGATCCCTAGGACTGCAAACCCAGATCTTGGTACACAGAAGGTGCCTGATACATGTTTGTTGGACAAAGAATTGATCCTAGGAGGTGGGGGCTAATACAATTCTCATCTTACAGGTAAAGAAATAGATGCTGAGAAGGAATGGCACTTGGCCATTCATTCCACAAACCTTTACTGAACAACTTCTCTGTGCTAAGCACTGTTCTCCACGCTGAGCCTACAGCAGGACCACAGCAGACCAAGTCCCACAGCGGAGCTGATTCAAATGGAGCTCTGTTTTGTTTCTGGTTTGTCTTTTTGTTTTTGATCATGTTGAAGCATGTGGGGATCTTAGTTCCTCAACCAGGGATCAAACCCGTGTCCCCTGCAGCGGAAGTGTGGAGTCTTAACCACTGGACCACCAGGGAAGTTCCTCAAATAGAGCTCTGACTGATAGCAGAGACCAAGCCTCTTATCTGACTGCCCTTCGGCTCTCTCTTGCATAACTAACACCCCTCTCCCTGGCGAAGAGCCCCCTGAAATAATAAAAATCATGTTGGTTACTGCTCCCTTCTGGGCCAGGCGAGGAAAGCAACAGGCCTTGAGTCAGGATTCTCACATACAAGACTTCCTGACACTGCTATGAAGGACAAATAGTCCCATTTTACAGACAGGAAACAGGCTCTGAGAGGGAACAGCGCTTGCCCCAGGTCACAAAACAGATAAGTGGTAGGGCGCTGGAAACCTAGTCAATTCCGGGCTTGTCTTCTTATCTACTCAGCTGGAGGATCCCAATTTCCCAGGGAATCTCAGCCACTAGTCTATCCACCAGTGAAATCACAAAGGACTCTTGACCTAAAAAGATGATGACGACGATGGCCACACTCATATCACAGATATGTATCTCTGCTAGACAACATATCTCAGGCTTAGAAACAAGAACCCATCCAGCTGTTACACAAGCCAGGCAAACACTTACGAGGACTTACAAATCCAGGTCCTCTTCTGAGGGCTGTTGATATTCATGTAGTCCTCACAACAACCCCAGGAGGTAAATAATGTTATTATTCCCATTGTATAGACAGGGAAATCGAGGCAAAGACAAGTGCCCAAGGTCACATAATTAATAAACAGGAGCTGGTTTTGAATCCAGGCAGTCTCTGCTCTTAACCTCTCAGTACTCTGCTGCCTCTTAGGTGCTATTAGCTTCATTTTCAGACAAGGAAACAGGCTCAAAAAGGTCAAGTCCAAAGGCTCCTAATTAATAGGTAAGGGAGTTTGTACTTGAGCCCAGACTTGGTGACCCATGGCCCTATCACACTAACCACCACAGTCTACTGCCTCTGATGAAAAGGCATGAAAACTGGGACCTCCAAGGTCCCTCTTGGGCTTGCATGGATGGCCTTGGATGATGATCAGAACTTGGTTCCTACGTTTTCACAGAGAAATGTGAATACAGGAGGGTGGTTTCTCCTCTTAATTGCAAGATGGGAACTTCCATTTCACCTTAAGAACTCAATAAATGGAGACAGTAAAGCAAACAATTAAGATGGGGGCGTCACACAAGGCACCTCTAAGACAGTGAATGGAACCCAAATAGTGTTGTTAGGGCCATTAAGTGTTTTGAGGATTGGGAGTGTGTGTTGGGGGTAGGTGGGTGTGTTAAGCCTATAGTCCCCCATCCTTGCTGTGTGTCCTAGGTCTCTTCAGCCGTATCCGACTCTTTGTGACCCAATGAACTGTAGCCTATCAGGCTCCTCTGTCCATGGGATTCTGCAGGCAAGAATATTGGAGTGGGTTGCCATGCCCTCCTTCAGGGGATCTTCCAGACCCAGGGATTAAACCCATGTCTCTTATATCTCTTGCATTGGCAGGCAGGTTCTTTACCACTAGCACCACCCATGGGAAGCCCTCAGGGAATGTGTATTGAGAGACTAGAACTCAGAGTACCCAGAGGTGGGATGGCAAGGGATAAGAAGGGAGCTTGAGGCTCGCACAAACAGAATGTGGTCAGGGGTAGGAGTCCTGAGAACTGATGGAAGCTGAAGATCAGGGACTGAGCCAAGGGGTCAAGAAAAGAAGGTGGAGCAGCTAGACTGAGGTTTCGGTGGGGAAATGAACCATGTCGGGGAATACCTGTGTGGATGCCCCACTTGCAGAACAGGCTACTTTCCGAGAAACCGGTGGCCCCCATGATCTGTCCGATCACGTGCACCTCAGCCATTGCCCTGAAAGGGGAAAATATAATCACAGCCTTATGAGAAAAGTGTACAATTATCTCCACCTAATAGATGGGAAGACTGAGGCCCACCAAGTAAGGAGCAATACGTGGGATTCCAAGCTAGTTTCGTCAAACCACTGAGGTTGCGGTTTCAACCATGATACTAACTGCCTCTCCAGGAGAGTCTCAGAAAAATGAGGGGCGAGAAACAGACGCTCCAAGGAGCTGGCGCGTAACTCGGCCTGCCCCTAAAATAACTTCTTCCTAGGCGCAAAGCCGCGGAAAGTCCCGCCCCGGGGGCCCCAATGGCTCCGCCCATAACACAAAAGCTCCGCCTCCCACGTCAGATATCCGCCCCCCAAGTCCATGAGGCGCATGCGTTTTAAGTTCTAGGAGCCTTAGCTTCGCCTGTGAGTTCGCGCATGCGTTATTCCTACCTCAGAGTACTTAACGGTTAGGAGAGAGAGCGCTGGGGGGGATTGGAGTTCATGGGCCTGAGCTGTCCCTCTCTTCGCAGGGGTTGACCTCCCAGGTCTGGCTCACGCCTCTCCTAGGACCTTCCTGGCAGCGAGAGAGCTGAGGCGCAGATCTCTCCAAGACCGCTCCCGCCTCCAGCCTCCCAGGTTGTTGCTGGGGCAACGGCAGCCTCCTCCCCTGGCCTTTCACCCGCCCTGCTGGTTGCTAATTGGCCCTAGCGGCATTTTGGGGGAGGGACTGTGCTGTGATTGACACTTTCTCTCCCCCACCCATCTCCATTTTTGGGTAAGAAGTCTCTCCAGCCACGATCCACGGTTCAGCCATTTGCGGCGTGGCCCCATTGTGGCCATGTTGAGCGCGGCGAAGAAGTTTGAACAGTGCCTGTCTCAGATATTCTCATAACAGAATAAGCAAATCCATCCATGCCCCATTACCCCTCAAACTGTTTCTCAACAGGGACCACAAGACAGACTTGAGCCAGAGCTAAGGGGGAATCTCACGAGTTTGGGTGCATCCCTCTGCCTCCTAACTGGAAATAAACTTCATCTGGTTGGCGGGGTTCCTTTTTAGCCTTCCCCCAAGCTCCTCAAAGACTGATTAATTCAACTTCCGTCTCCTAAATACCGCCCATTTCTTCATTGTTAGTGCTGATTCTGAGCAGTGAGTGGGTGGGGTGGGGGAAGGGGTAAGAGAAATGAGGAACTGAGGCCACTTGATCTGCAGAAAATCCTGTTTTTTGAAGGCTGGACTCTGTCAGTAACTTAGGACCTTGAGCAGCTCTAGGTCTCAGTTATCTCATCCATGTCATGAGCCCAAGAGGAGTGACTGAGTCAGGCACTCACATGTTCTGATTCCTGAACAGTACCTTCTCCACCCTCCAAGTCCAGTTGAACCAAGACCAGGAGTCCAAAGGGAACTTATTCCCCTACTTATTGTAAAACAGGGACAGCAAAAGTTAGAGTCACCAGCTCAAAGTTATAGGGAGGGTGGCAACATTTCAACAGGATAATGTCGTGGTTTGTGTGCAGGTTAGAAAGGAATTTCCAGACATGAAGCAGAATGAGAGGAAGATAGAGTTTATTAGAGAGGGAGATACCCTTGGAACTGCAGGCCTACCTCCTGACAGAGCAGGGAGAGCTGACTGTTAGAACAGCAGGCCGGCCCAAGAGAGAGCCAACACCTTTCATCAGCTAGTAGCCAATTTCTGTAGCCTCAAGGCAAAACTTCTGCTGGAAGGGTGGCATTAGGTGATTGTTTAGGATGCTGTAGGGTGAATAATGGAGTGGGTGTTTTTACCTAATATGGGGTCAGGGAACTCAGTAGTTTAGATCTGGGGCGTGCTCATGGCAATGGTTGCTATGGGGGCTCTGGTCAGTTCCTGAGATGACCTTAGTACGGGCCTTCACATCTGTGGACCTGGTACAAGGCTTTACACCTGTGACCTTAGTGTAGGGCTCCACAGATAGTATTTATATAGAAAAAATAATTCAATAGGTATGTAATTTGATAATATTTCACTAATAGGTATATGTGAAAGCTACCATTTATCAAGTGATTTCTCTGTGCCAGCCACTGTAAACTGATTGTTTTGCAAGCATGATCTCCTTTAATCCTGAGATATCCCATGTGTGTGTGCTCAGTCGTGTCCGACTCTTTGCAACCCTTTGGACTGTAGCCTGCCAGGCTCCTCTGTCCATAGGGATTTTTCAGGCAAGAATACTGGAGTGGATTGCCATTTCCTTCTCCAGGGGATCTTCCTGACCCAGGGATCGAATTCATGTCTCTTACATTGGCAGGTGGATTCTTTACCACTGCACCATCAGGGAAGCCCACAGATATTCCACAGGGTGGGTAATTATCAGTTTTATTTAAGATGAAGAAATTAGGGCAAAATCATTTATCCTTAAACCAAATCGACTATAGTTCTGTCCTGTGCTACGTGCTCAGTTGCGTCTGACTCTTTTGTGACTGCATGGACTGTAGGCTGCCAGGCTCCTCTGTCCATGGAATTTTCCAGGCAAGAATACTGGAATGGGTTGCCAGTTCCTACTCCAGGGGATATTCTCGATCCAGGGATCGAACCCATGTCTTCTGCATTGGTAGGTAGATTCTTTACCGCTGTGCCACCTGGGAAACCCATAGTTCTCTCACGCTCTGTCCCAAAACTTTATGTTCTTCACCTTCTGCTGTCTTACTTCTCTTGGATACACATCTCATCTCCCAGTATCAAAGGAATATGGAGGTCATGGGTGTCATCCTCAACTCCATCATGTCCCACGTCCAGCCAGTCGTCAAAGTCCTATACATGGGACTCACCTGGTGGTCCAGTGGTTAAGACACTCTGATTCCACTTCACTGGGCACAGGGTTCATTCTCTGGTCTCAGAACTAAGATCCCACATGCCACACAGCATGGCCCCAAAACAGACAAACAAAAGTCTCATAAAAACTCCTTCTTAAATATTTTTTCTCCAGTTGGTTTCTTTCCCACTGGTAATATTAGTGATTAAGAAAATGCTTCCCAGTTCAACTACCTGGATTTAAGTCTTAGTTCTGGCCCTTCCGTTTGACCTTTAGCCCTCAGTTCCCTCGTCTGTAACAGAAGAATGAGTAATGGTACCCACCGTGTTAGATTATGGTCAGAATTTAATGAATGTGTGAAACTGGACATTTAAAACATGTCCACAGGTTCTTGACACTCCTTTCACTAGGTAGTGGAGCCTGCCTCTCTTGAGTATAGGCTGCTGTTTGTAACTTGTTCCTAATCAGTAGCTCGTGGTACAGTTGTTGCTGTGTGACTTCTGAGACTACGCCATAAAAGGCATTGAGGATTCCGCCTCCATTTCTCTCTTGCATGGCTCACCTTGAGAGAGCCCAGCCACCACGATGTGACAGCAGGGAAGCAGCCAACAGAGAGACCCAAATGGGGAAGAACCAAAGCCAAACAAATCAGCACCATGTGAGACCTATCTTGGAAGACCGTCAGCTGCAGCAAACCTTCAGGTGACTTGCAGCTGGCCACCATGCCAACTGTAACTTCATGACACCCTGACCCAGAGTCAGCCAACAAAGCCATCAACGGATTCCTGACCAACAGAAACTATGTCTGATGGTAGGATTTGTTGTTTTAAGCCACTAAAGTTTTGGAGGATAATTTGTTAGGCAGCAATAATAACAATGTAAATGCCTAATAATAATAATAATACAAATGCCTAATGAGTTTAGGGTAGTGCCTGGCACATAAGAAGCACTATAAATGTTTGTTATTATTGATGGTTTTTACTGTTCATGTTGTTGTTACTGAGATGGCATATTTTACATATTTTTTATAAGAAGCACACTGAATATCTCTTTATGTAGTTGTTATTCTTAAAGTCTGTTAAATTGTGATAACATATCATAAAATTTACCATTTTAACCATCTTTAAGTGAACAGTTCAGTGGCCTTAAGTACATTCACATAATTGTGCAATGTCTCTATAACTCTCTTCATTTTGCAAAACTGAAACTGTACCAATTAAACAAAAACTCCCATCCCTCCCTCCCTTCCTCTAGCCCCTGGAAACCCCCTATTTACTGTTTCTATGAATTTGAGTACTGTAGGTACCCCATATGAGTGGAACCAATATTTGTCCTTTTATGACTGGGTTTTTTCATTTAGCATAATTTAGCATAATGTCCTCAAGGATCAGCCATGCTGTAGTGCATGTCAGAATTTCCTTGTGTTTCAAAATTATATGGCAATTATTTATTTATTTTGAAGCATAGTTGACCTCCAACACCATGTTAGTTCCAGGTGCACAACATAATGCTTTGGTATTTCTATACATTACAAAGTGGACATCACAGAATTTCCTTCCTTTCTAAAGTTGAATAATATTTTTAAATATACACTCTGTTTTCTTTATCCATTCATATAGTTGGGTTGCTTCCACCTTTGGGCTATTGTGAATAAAGCTACTATGAACATGGGTGTATACACACATCTCTTTAATACCTTGCTTTCAGTTCTTTTGGGTATACATCAAGAAACAAAATTGCTGGGTCATATGGTAAGTCTATTTTTAATTTTTGGAGGAAATGCTGTACTCATTATTAGAGTGACTGTTCATCCTCTTTTATATCTTTGCTTTTTTTTTTTTTTTGGCCAAGCAGAGTGGCTTGTGGGATCTTAGTTCCCTGACCAAGGATTGAACCCATCTTCGGCAGTGAAAGAGCCTAGTCCTAACCACTGAACCACAGGGAATTGCCACATCTTGCATTTTTCACTCAGTGATACATCTTGAAAGGTTATCCATATCTTTAGATCGAACTCACATTTTCAAAAATAAATGTTTGGCAGTATGTGTACAGAAAAGTGCACAAATCATAAGTGAACAGCTGAATTAAATTTCATTAACTGAACACACCTGGTAACCAGAACTCAACTCATGAAAAGAACATAACTAGCCTCCAAGGATGCCCTTCATGCCTCATCCAGTATGCCCCCAAGGGAAACCACTAACTGGACTCCTAACAATATGCATT